TGAGGTATGAGACTACTGTGCATCACACCTGCACTCACTAATGGCGTTCACTCTGCAGGGTTTTGACCTTGCCGTCCTTCCTTCCTGCGACGCGCTACGCCGCAAGTTCACCGTCGCTCAGCTACGGGCAATTGCCCAAGCTTTTGGGCTCATCGATCAGGCTACCTTCCACACACGCAAGCAGCCCTACCTCCAACTCCTCTGGCCGCTCATCCAGCGGGAACAGCGCCTCTACACCCCTGCTGCTTCCTCCCCACCTCTACCCCCTATTCCCTCACCCCCTTCCTCTCCGCCTCCCTCCGCTGCTCTATCAATAGCGCACAGGCTGGCAGCACTCCATGCTCACTTGAAGGAGCAGCGGAAGAGGCAGAGCTGCAACAGACAAGCTGTCCTCACGCATCAGCCACCTGTCCAGAGACAGTCTGCAACTCGTTCACACTCTCATAAATAAACTGCCAACTTGCTATCAAGTATGTAGTGTATAGGCTGTCGTAGGAGAGGGAGGCGAAGACGTAGGGCGAGGCCTCGCAGCAGCCGTTGGCGAGCAAGAATCATGCTCCGGAAACGGCGGACCGAAGTTGGCCGGGGAAGATGAGGCTCGTGTGACCACAAGAGTTGCACGGCCCACCTGTACCCTGCATGACTAGTCGGGCGACAGCCTTTGGGTTGGTGAGCGCCCATCTAACTCTTCTAAAAGATGGCGCGTACCAGCCACTGGGCCAGCGGATGAGTTCGGCACCACCGGACTTTGGCGCGGCGAGCGTCCAGATCGAACACGGCCGCACGAAAGCGCCCATCGCGTGCGGTCACGGATAGCCCCACGCCACCGCGTACACGCTCTCCTCGTGCGCATCGTAGCTCTTGATCAGATACTCCTCCCTCCCTCTGCACCGCCCACATGTGAGCATGTCGTGTCGTGTGCGGTGGCGCGTGTAGTGTCGTGTGGTGTGGTGTGTACCAAAACTTGACGTAGCAGTCGTCACCGCCGGTGGGGATGAGGTAGAGCTTGTTCGGGTTGTAGTCCAGTGCTCGCACACCGACCTGATGTCTGTAAAAAGTCTGCAACCAACAGACACAAATAAACTGTGCTGGCCACGTTTCCACGGTTCCATGGTTGCTTCTCCTCCTTTTCTTCCTCTTCTCCTCCTGATCACCGCCAGTTGAAAGAACCCAACGCGTCTCTCGACTTGCTCTTTCGCTCCTGCTCCTCCCTCATCGCTCTACCCCGCATGCACAACCTTCGCGCACCACAGGAGCGGCATCGCTCCTGCATGCTCTCGGGCTTCACTGTCAGTGACGCTCGCGGCCTACCCCCTCCTCCACCGGTCCCGGAACCCCCGTCCATCCTCATTGCCGACCTCTGCCATGAGCGAGAGGTACTGGCAACCGACCTTCGAGCAGCACGCCTGCACCTCAAGCAGGCGCACGAGGCCCTCGGGCGCAGCATCGGCGCCTCAATCCTCGCCGAGATACGCCCCACCTACTCTCTCACACCACCCGATCTTCACTTCGCCTGTGGTCAGCACTTCTTTGACACCTTCACCAAAGGCTGGACGACCTACTCTCCAGCACGCCTTCGCTGTGGATATGATTCGTACCGCCTCTGCACCTCTCTGCCGCTCTTTCTCACGCAGCTGCCGGGCTGGGATCTCAGTCGTCAGTTCTCTGACGACTGCGATAACCCAATCACCTACCGGCTGACCGCCTCTCCAGCACATCCTATCTACGCTCTTTACTCTCCTCTGTTCGCCCGTATGTCTCTCAGCTTCCACTACCTCCCTGACCCTCTCCCTCCCCTCTTCATCCCCCGCTATCGCTCCGGTTCAACTCGCAAGCGCCTGCTTTTCTACTCTGCGCACGCTCCTCGCCCCAAGCGGCAACGGAGGCAGCAGCTCCTTCCTCCCCTCACACCCTCACCACTAGACACACTGCCCACACCACAATAAAAAGAACGTGTCCCGCACGCTCTAGTGCCTTGTCCACATTTTGTCCACCCATTTTTGTGTCTGCAGTTGTGCTCACTACGAGACATGGACCAGGGAGATCTCGGGGCGTACCGTTTACAAACTGCGGTGGCTTGGCACAGGGCACGCACATCGTGCCGGGCCAAGTGGCAAAAGATGGCCAGCAGTACTTCGTCGGGCAGCACCTGGCCCACCACCTTGCTCTCGCTGCCCCTCATTTATTTTTTATCTATTGTTTTCAATCATTTTGAAATCGCTGGCCGGAAAATACCGGGCAGGAGAAGTCGGGTAAAATCGTGGCAAGGGCGTGGACAAACACGCAAGTCTGAGCTGGAGTGGCTGGGCAGATTGCGTGGCGAGAGATTTTTCTAGATAACAAAGAGATCGTAGAGGTCACACACGCGAGTAAGAGAGAAATGATGGAATCCCGCTTTAGTGCCCCCATGCCTGCCGAGTACGGCCCGCGCACGCAACACGGCCGAGGATGGTCTCCCTACACCGACAATGGAGGGTAAGTACACATTTGCTGAAATTGATCAACCGCACGCCAGATCGTCAACATCACAGTCCAAATAAAGCGCAGTGGCTGGATGTGAAGCTAATCGTGGGAATGCACACATTCAGCACCACCCTCGCCCTCCACGGTAAGGACTTTTGCGTGGTGGCCGCCGACACTCGCCTCAGCACGGGCTACTCCATCCATTCCAGGGAGGCGCGCAAGGTCCTCAAATTGTACGTCCCCCCACCACACGATCCCAATCGCTACGATCAATGAGGCCTCGATGCGATCGCTCGCTCACTGGCATCCACGCCACCACCAGGACGGACAAGTGCGTCATCGCCACGGCGGGCATGCAAGCTGACCAGCTTGCGCTTCACAAGCTGCTGCAGACCCGCCTGCAGTGGTACGAGCACCAGCACAGGAAGCCCATGAGCACTCCCGCCATCGCGCAGATGCTCGCCACCATCCTCTACAGCAAGCGCTTCTTCCCCTTCTACACCTTCAACGTGCTCGGCGGCGTCGACGACAACGGTGCCATTTCCCTATTTCTCCCTACGCGTCTGTGCCATCGCAATGACACTCACTGTGTGTGTCGTGCCGTGCCGTGTGCCGTGTCGGGTGTCATCAGGTGTTGGATGTGTGTACAGCTACGATGCCGTGGGTTCGTTCGAGCGTGTCAAGTACTCTTCGTCGGGTACCGGCAACCAGCTCGTGCAGCCTCTGCTCGACAACCAGATCGGATGGAAGGACCAGAGGGCGACCAAGACCAAGCCCGAGCTGAACGTGGAGGAGACGGTGGACTTTGTGCGGGACATCTTCACCTCGGCCGGCGAGAGGGACATCTACACGGGCGACTACGTGCTCATCGCCGTCATCGACAAGGACGGCGTCAAGGAGATGAAGTTTGATCTCAAGCAGGATTAAGTTGACCTGTTCTTCCCTCTGTCTCTCCACCCAAACACCTATCAGCCAATTTAAAGATGTCGTTGACGAAGAACAACATGTTTATACAAATACAACTCCTGTTCTTCTACACTGCCTCATGCAGGTGGCACCCAACAAAGAATAATGTTGGTTGGGCAAGCTTCCCGTTCCCAGTTCGAGAAAGAAGAAGAGACATGAAGCAACCAAGAAGAAGAAGAACGTGTTGTATTGGAATGCGCGCTCTGCTCATCTTTATGAGGTGGACCACCCAAAATCTATCTGTAGTGTACACCTGAACCTTGTTGTGATCTTTCTCCTTTCTCTCTTCTTCAGCCTCCCGCCCCAGTAGGCTGGCTTCTTGCTGCTCTTGCTGCTGCTGTTGGTGTGGTTGTAGTGCTCTTCTCGGTCGATTACGACGTCGTCGTTCCGCCGCCGGCCGCGACCATCCGCCTTCTTTCTTCGTCGTTGTTGATTCCTTCTTCTTCTCCTTCACTTCTTTTCTTAGCTCACCTCTCCTCCGTCGAGGGAGCCGGAGAGGAAGACGGCGACGAAGAGATGACGGTCGGGTTGGCGGCAGTGGCGGGCGCGGGAGCGGCAGCGGACGAGTCCTGCTCCTTCTTGGGGCCGTCGTGGAGGCCGATGTCGCCCAGCTGCTGCTGCATCTCGGCGTACTTCTGCTGCGGGAAGGCCTGTTCGAGGGCCGACACGACGAACGTGCGCAGGTACTTGAGCTGGTCCTTGACGAGCTGGTTCTCGGTGACGAGCACGTCGACCTTGGCCATGAGCGCGATGTTCTTGTTCGTCACCTCGGCCACCTTGTTCTCCAGGTCAGAGATGTACTGCTTCTGACGCTGTAGTGTGGAAGGAAGATAGAGATGTCAGAACACGCGGCTTCCGAAGAAAGAAGAAGGTCTTCTCTGTGCCGAACCTTACGGAAGAGCTGAGCGGCCTGCCTGTTCTTGACCAGGCGCTTCTGCCTCTTGTTGGTGGGCTCCTCGCCGCCGTAGTAGTCGTCTTCGCCCTGGTCGCCGCAGCCGCCGCTGGGCGGGGAGTCGACGTAGAGGGACTGCGACGACATGGAGAGCGAGGAGGAGGGGCGCATCGAGGCGCTGGTGGTGGGCTGGGGCGCGGGCGCCATCGGCATCAACGGGGCCTTGCCCTGCTGGGCCTGGGGCTGGGCCTGCTGCTGCTGCATGGGAAGCAGCTGCTGGACTTGGGCCTGCGCCTGCTGCTGCTGGGCCTGGGGCTGCCTGGCCTTGGCGGCAGCCTCGAGCTTCCTCTTGGCCGCCAGCTTGGGGTTCCTCCTCACGCCCGCACCCTGGCTCTGAGCCACTTGCATCAAAGGCGCCTGGGACTGCATGACTACAGTTTTTGTGTTCGGGGTAAGAATCGGTCGTCTACATTAGCCTAACGATCATCCCCCGCTCCATCTAGAAAGCTAATTGGAAAGAAGTCGGAAAGAATTAAAATGATATGCGTACCATTGTCGCCCAAATGCTGGAGGGGGAGGCTAATGTCGATGGGGAAGTCAGGGTTGAGGAAGGGCGAGAAGAAATCCTCCGTGCCCAGACCAGCATCGAGGAACGACGTGGCCTCGAACGAATCGAGCGCGGAGAAGCCCTTGGGGGCGCCCACGCCTCGGGTCCCAGCCCCGAGCTGCTGGGGCGCGCCATACGAAAGGCCGGGGGCGGGCGAGTACGGGGCGGCGTTCATGAAATCGGCGGCAGATGGGATGTGGCGGTGCATGATATGATATAGAGGAGGTGGCGGAGGCTGGGGCTCGCACACGGAGCTGTGTGGCTTATGAGTAGAGAAAGGAGAAGATAAGAAACATGGTCCTCGGCCTGGAAGTCATTCCCCCGCTGGCCCAGACTATCGAAATTTCGAAAACGTTTGTAGTTCTCGGCTAAGGCCCTGATTGGCGGGCGATAGCGAGTGGTGCGGGCTATTCCTTGATCCCACAAGAACTCGACATAGTCCAAGCCAAGTGAGTATGTGGATGCTTGGAGGTACTCGGACGAAGCTCTGGTGGGAAAATATGGTAAACTGCTCGATGCTGGTTGGCGCATTGTTGCACAACGGAGATGTGCGCCGATGGGAAGCGAATGTGCGGGCGAAAGGTTCTGGGTCGCCACCCAATGGCAAACCTCCCGTCTGCAATATCGACCACCAACAGAAGCGCCTGCTGGGATTCTCCCACGAACCCGCACCTGGTGGTAGGGTTCACGCCTTCGCCATTGGTGGCCCATATTCTTATCGCCCGTTGCGTACATACCTCAGTTTACACACCAACCAGCAGTTCGTTGCACTCGGGGTACACCACCGGCCAGCGGCGCCCGAACACAGCTTTGATGCGGTGCTGGTGCGCTCGAGTAAGATCTCAAGTAGCCGAGTGAGGTCTGATGTTGCAGCCTCTTGTTGCTGGCCTTTAGATTCTCTGGTGGCTGTAGAGTACCACACCATCGGGATTGACCTCTTCACGATCGATCATCACTGTCGCAGATCTGTGTCAGCGCTGGCCGGTCGAAGGTGCTGTGATTCTGGAGAGCAAGAGGGGGAGCGGTAGTAAGGCGAAAAGGACGATTGCTTGTGGACGCCTGGCCAGTGTTGCTTCTTTTGCCTGCTCTCACCTTTTTATTCTCACCCCCTGTGTTGTCACTTATGACAAACCAGCTTGCTGACGCACAATGATCTGGATGGAGACAACAGTGTTTTTACGTAGCCCATCGTTCGTCACTGTTGAACCATGGCCACGCCAGGTGAAGTCGTGTGTTGCCATCAACACCTCCCCGTTGTAACAAGCACTTTGGACCTTGCCGTGGTAGTTGCCCGCCAACACCAAATAAAGCCAATCCAAGTTTTTAGTTCCTTGTTTGAATTTCACTTCACCAACGGCCGCATGTGTAGGAGAGCAGCAAACAAGGAGACGCAAGTGATGGAAGCGACGAGCGAGGCGAAGCTGCTTGAGGCCGTGCGGGCGGGTAATGTGCAGCACGTGCAAGAGCTGATCAAGTCGCACCCCGACGCAGTCAAAGCCGCCGACCCCCACGGCTGGTGCCCTCTTCCCCCCAGCAATCAATAAATCAATAAAAAAATAGAATCATTATAATAATTGAAATTTGATGTTTTTTGTAATTATGAAATAAAAATTGGATTAATAAAGAAATAAAAATAAACAACAGGACGGCGTTGATGGTGGCCGTGGAGGGGCGGAACGAAGCGATGGTGAAGCTCTTGCTGGCCGCCGGTGCCGATCCGCACGGTGTGACGGAGAGCGACCGGATGAACGCCCTCCACGTACTCGCCGAACAGGACCATCGCAACCCCGCTTGGCAAGACGTACCGCCACCCCGAACCCGCTCGCACGCACGCACATCACCGCATGCACCACCGCACACGACACGACACGCCACGCACTCAGTTGTGATGGTTCGTGCGCAACGTCAGACGAAGGGAGGAAAAGAGGGCGAGGACGCCTCGGTTGCGTATTCGCCCATCTTCGAGATGCTGGTCAAGGCCGGCGCCGATCCCAATGCAACCAACGCCATGGGCGAGGTGCGCCGCATTTGTCAGTCCTCGTGATGAGCGGCTCGAACTCACCCTGAGCGCGCTGTGTATCGTGTGCCTGGTACGTGTGTTGTCACGTGTGTCGTGGCGTGTGGTGTCACGTGTGTCGTGTTGTGTGCGAATGTGGACACAGGGGGTGCTGCACCTGTTGTGCCTGCGTGGTCACACGGAGGCCGTGCGTTGGCTGCTTTCGCGTAAGTTGTTCAGCGACATCAACGCGACCAACGCGCACGGCGACACCGCCCTGCACTACGGTACACACCTTCTCTCCTCCGCCTCCCCCTCCCCGGCTGAGCCCGAAGAAGGACCCGTTCGCTGTCTGGCCTGACCCAAATGGAAATGGCACGGTACGGTCGGTAGCATCGAGGAAGGGCCACAGACAGATCGTAGACCTCTTGCTGGCCCACGGCGCGTCTCCCGCGCACCAAAGCGAGTTTGGAACCCCGCCCCAGGTACATGACCGACCCTCTTTGCCACCAAGCACAACGGTGGCCCTCACAACACAACACCACTCGACAGGTGGCCGGCGAGTTTCAGCAGAAGGACGTGGCGTCCCTCCTGAGCGGGCTGGCGCGCGATCAAGACGCCGTCGGCATCTGGTCTCTGCCTCCTGTACGCCCTCCTCCTCCTTGTCCTTCACTCGGGAGGCGGCAATCTCACTCGCGCGATCGGGCGCCACACACAGGAGGTCCTGGTGCACCTCCTGTCGTACCTGGGCACCGCAGAGGACCTGTGCGCCGTTTCCATGGTACGCCGTTTCCTTTCCATCGAAAGGCCTTCTTCGATCGAAGACCTGGTGCTCACCGTCACGTGACCCCACAACAACAACAACAACATCGCCGCACGCAGGCATGCCGGGCGTTTGCGGTGGTGGGCAGGGACGAAAGCCTGTGGCGTCCGCTTGGCCACCCCTCCTGGGAACAGCACCACGCCCGCACGTACGTCATAGCACACACGCCCCACCCTTGTGTCGGCATATATTTTGTCTGAATGTGGATGGACGGCAGGGAGGAGGGCTGGAAGGGGGCCTACATGACCTGGCTCCGCGCTGCTGCCAAGCGATACAGGTACCCAAACCACCACCTGAACCCCACGAGCGCCCAACACGTCGGGTTGGGCGTTTCTAGCGCGCGACTTGACACGACCATTGCAATGCCCGCTTTTGCGCGACACAGGAACAAGAACGCAAGTCGGTTCGTGCATGCGCCGGTGGCCCAGGAGGGTCAGCCAGCTCCGACCTACAGCTGCATCGTCAAGATCCTGCTGGCGGGCGATCAGTACGTGCAGTCGTGTGCGTGTGCGTGTGCGTGTGCGTGTGCGTGTGCTGACACGGAACGCTTTTTGTGGTGTCCAGCGGAGTGGGCAAATCGAGCCTTCTGCTGCGCTACGCGGACAACACGTTCTCCGATCAGCACATCTCCACCATCGGAGTCGACTTCAAGATCCACATGTGCGACGTCAGCGGCGAGCTCATCAAGGTACCGCCCCCCCCCCCCAAGCTCCCGACGTCTCTTCGCTCTTCGCTCTTCATTTCCTGTCTCACGCTCTTCCTCGTCGATGCGTCGGTCTGCAGGCCCAAATCTGGGTACGGCCTCTCCCTCTCTGTGCCATGCAAACCTGCGATTCCGCTCACTGACTTATGCGGAATGAATGGAATGTGCAGGACACGGCCGGACCCGAACGTTTCAGGACGATCACTGCGTCCTACTACCGGGGCGCCAACGCCATAGCCATCCCCTACGACATCACCGACAGGGGGTCCTTCGAGGGCGTGTTCCGGTGGTGGGAGGAGAAGCAAAAGTGCGCCGACTCCCCTAACCTCTCGCCTGGGTGACCGCCCTTCTCACACTCACTTTGCGTGTGCGATCACAGGTACGCGCACGAAAATGCCGCGGTGATGCTGGTCGGCTGCAAGCGCGACCTCGCGGACCAGAGGGTGGTCACCGAGGAAGAGGGACGGTACGACTCGGCCTTCGTCATCATCATCATTCCAATCATTTCTGTTAGTATCACTATCACTGTCATTCTTATGTTTGCGTGCGCGGGCTACTCATCAAAACGCGCACGACGCACGACGCACACACGACCGACAGGCTCAGGGCGGCGGAGCTGGGCGTGCTGTTCGCCGAATGCTCGGCCAAGACGGGCGAGGGCGTGCGAAATGCGTTCGACCTGCTGGTGGAGCACGTCGCCGGCGGCTGGCGCACCGTGGGCGGAATGGAGACGCCCGCCTACGTCCCCGCCGAGGCCACGTTCGCCCTCTACTGCGGTCCCGCCGGCGCCGGCGCCGACGCCAGTCCGCTCCAGAAGGCCAAGAAGGAGGCCAAGTGCTGTCTTCAGTAGCAGTTGAGTCCGCTTGTGTGATACAACATATAAATCTACAATCTAGGTCAGTGAGAAGGTGGTGTCATCGTCGTCGGTGGTGGAGTTGGTGATCTCGGCCTCTAGCGTGAGGAGCTGTCGTCTGAACCCGGGATTGACTCGAACGATGTCCCGCAGGGTGGTGACTGTCACACCGCCAAGGAAACGGAAAGAACAGATCAGCCAAACACATCAACGGACACAAAGACGCACGCACCACACGCATCACCGCAAACGCACGAAGAAACAAAAAGGAAAACGAAACGGAAAGAAAAGGGACAGAAAAGAATGGCGTGCGAGAGGGGAACGAGAAAGGGAGATACCGTGAGAATAGGCGGTCTCGAAGTCCCATCGGTTGGTGAGCATGAGGTAGGCGGTCACGATGGTGGCCGAGCGGGAGCGCCCCTGCGCGCAATGCACCAGCACATTACCGCCTGACAACGTATGTATGTCGTGTACAAACCGGCCAACGAAGAAGTGGTGTGAGTGGTGCGCCATGGCCTGATAACGAGTGACTCCAAAGTAGAGATGTATGGAGGGACAAACCACCGCTTCGTGCTCTGTCGATGAACTCGCGCGTCTGGTAGAAGAACCGAAAAATGTCTTCCGTCACCTCGTCCATCACGCAGCACCTGTCGTTGCATTGGCTAGGATGAGCCTCTGTTTCGTGTTGTACCAAACCGTGTAGAACCCCCCCCCCCAAAGCCAAGTCTAACCTGTGATAAGCGATCCCAAGCGCCTCGTCGAACTCGAACTCGTTGAGCACTTCGTTGGTCACGTTGACGATGTGTCTGTGCGATAGAGAAGAAGTGCGTTGGCAAGAGCCTTCTTCGACGACACTACTACCTCGTGTCACACGAGGCGCTGTGGAAGAAAGAGAGAGAGAGAGAGAGAGAGGGTACGTGATCTTGAGGTCTTGTAGGACCTGCCGGTTGGTGGTGGTGATCTGCGAGCCGAGGAAGAGGCCCGACGGCGAGGGCAGGATCTGGGACGGGTAGACCAAGAAGGCATCCGCCCCGCCGCCGACCCGCAGGAACGGGTACTGCTTGGCGAACGCGTCAGCTCCGCCTGGTGCGAGTAGAGAAAAGTGATTGTCAGGCTTGAGCTACTGCCTTGCTGGACATGAAGCTGGCAGAAGTAGAAGATGGTCGAGCAGGAGCTGTACCCTCCAGAATGAGTATCTCCTTGAGGTACTTCTGCTTGTGAAAGATGGCCAGACGCGGGTCGGTCGGCGTAATGCGGTCCGAGGGGAGGTGGGTGTAGGCCAGCAGCTTGTCCCTGCGCTCGTAGCCGAAGTCGTCGACAAAGCTCGACGTGCCCTCAGGCAGGTGCTGAGCGCCCATCAGCCTGCCGCGAGCAAACTGCTCTGCCGTCCCCAGGTCTACCACCACGAACTCTGTTGATGACCATGGTCATGGTTATTCACTGCTGCGATCGATGAACAGCCTAATTGAATTTGTACCTCCTTTCACGAGCAGGCTGTAGAAATGCATGGGCGACACGCATGCTACCTTGACTGAGGCCTCGTGTGCGTCCTTTTGCTGTTCCATCTCTTCTGACAACTGAAATGGACTGCTAGTGCCGCTGCCCCATCTTCGTGCAATCTTGTCGTCACTTTTTCTGCTCATATCTCAAATTCCATTTGCAGTCGACAGCGGAACGCACGTGAAACCTCATCTCCCACATTCTCGTCGCCAAGGCCAACCTTCCAGCCAATCGTTACATTCCTTTCATCCAAGTTGCTGTCACTTCGTCTCTGAAATTTTGCAGAACATGAGGGATACGACCAAGAAATTTCGAAATTTCTTTTCTTTTCTTCCCTTTAGCGCAAGCGTCATCTTGAATTGAGCCGACAAGTGCGCGGGAGGGGTGATTGATAGACATCATGCAACGCATTCGAACCTCCAAAATGGCCGCTACGGCCTCCTCTCCTTCTTTTTCTTCTCTTCTTCCCTCATCTTTGCCGATTTTGTCCCCGGCCCAGATGCCGCCTTGCTGCCTCATGCGGGCCATCGGTGGCTCTGGTGCTGGCCGAAGTGCGCCTTGCTTAATGGGCAGTCGCGAGATTGGTCACTGGGCTCCTCTCAATCGCGCCCAATGCTACTCTGCCCTCACATCCAAACCCTCTCCCCTATTTTCATCTTCTTCGATCCTCTCCTCCACCTCACGGCGATTCATTCGCGTACGCACTGCCTCAGAGGCTGACACCGCCTCTTCAACTCAGCATCAGCCACCGTCAATCGAAGAAGACCAAGCCTCCAATTGCGCCGACTGCGGGCACAGCACCCAGCAACATCAGCATCAGCATCAACACACTACCGCGCCTGGCTGTGGGTCGGACAAGTTCGGCTCGCATCCCAAGTGCTGGTCATGCGACAACTTCGTGAAGGGTATCCCTCTGTTCTGCACCTGCTGCCAGAAGGTGCAACCGCCCTCCAACTACGACTTCTTCGAGCTCATGGGCATGTACGTACTCTCTCTCTCTCTCCCTTCGCTGGCCACTCTCAATTGACTGTAGCCCACTCACTTTGCTCGCCCAGGCCGAAGCGGTTCGCCGTAGATGCCGGCAAGCTGGAGAAGCACTACTGGGCGCTTCAGCGCAAGCTACATCCTGACAACTTCCACACCGCCACCACTGTACGTGACCACCACTTCACCTTCTCTCCACTTCACCATTCTCACCCCAGCTCTGGCGTTCGCCGTTTGTTGTTGTTGTTGTAGAGGGAACGCAACTATTCGGAGGGCGTGTCGTCCATCATCAACGAGGCCTACCACACGCTCAAGCACCCCAACAGACGGGCCAAGTATCTTGTACGTGCTCTCCAGGACCACATGTGCGTACATTGACCTAACCACCCTACCCGCTGTGCGCAGATGCAGTTGAAGGGAGTGCCGCTCGACGAGACGACGGGCACGATCACCGATCCCGACCTGCTGATGGAGGTGATGGAGATCCGCATGCGGCTGGAAGATGCCGACGACGCCGAGCTCCGTGCACTCGAGCGCGAGAACAAGCAGAGGCTCGACCGCTGCTACGAGGAGGTCGGACACGCCCTCGACGCCTCCGACATGGACAAGTGCCGAGACGTGGCGGTGCGTCTACAGTACTTCGTCAAGATCGAGGAGGAAATCAAAAGGAGGAAGAAGGTCGAGTAGGCAAAAGAAATAAAATATGTTTTGTGTTTGTGTTTAACGAAACGAAATGTTTCTTCGAATTGTGAATATTCATTTTTTTTCTTTTGCGCTCGAAAATCGAGAGGATTAATCCATTTTTTGTTGACAAGGCAGAATGAGTGGCCCAGGCGTGGGTGTGGAGTCTGTCTCATCGAGCGAATGGGAGGCAATAGCTGCAATGATGGACTGCGTGGAGAGCACTCCCGCAGCTCCCAATCAACGCCCCTCCTCCAACTTTCATTCATTTCGACCAGCCTCATCTCTGCCAGCAACATCTGCACCTCCATCTTCAGCCACCTCGCCTTCTTTTGCGGCATCAGCGACGAGCGGGAACAGACCGCACGCCAGTCGATTCCAGATTCCAACCGGCCCCAGCACGCAGGTGCCCCCTCCTGCGCACGGTGCTCGAGGTACTACTGCCTCTCGGGGCGAGCGGCCCGCGCCCCCTGCAGCCGCCTCTTTGACTCCACAACCCGCCTTTGGGCGCCCGCCTCCCGCCGCGAGCGGGCCTCAGCTTCAGTTCACATCTTCGTCTGCGCCGCCTGGACCGTCGACGTCGGCGTCGCCCTACGCCCGCGGGGCACCACCGACCCGTGCCCCGCACGTACCCACAACCACCACCGCGCCGCCAGCCAAGCCCAAGCCACAATTCGAGAACCCTTACCAGAAGCAGCAGGAGGAGAAGGACAAGTCGTACAGCTTCTCCTACACGCCGGGAACGCCGGCGGCCGGCGGCCGATCGACGTTCAACCGATTCAACAAGAACCCCTCCATATTCAACGCGACCGAGACCGCCCCTTTCGACGACGATCAGCCACCTAACGGGTATGACGGCGACGACGACGACTTCCAGGCGTCCTCGCTCCCTCCTCAACCCGCGCAGGGTCGTGGTCCTTCCTCTTCTTCTTCTTCCTCATCGTCGGGCTTCACCTATCCGTCGCCTTCATCAACCCCAAACGCTGCTCGCGGTGGTCCACCACAGCAACAGCAGCAGCACCATGGAAACAGCAGCCAGCAGTCGGCGGCCATGCGAGGCGCGGGCGGGCGCCCTCCGCCGGCGGTGGCCTTCCCCCAGCCCCGCCCGCCGACCTTCTACGGTAACGCGCCGCCGGTGCCCATCGACGTCCAGCTGGTCGACAGGGAGCGGTTCGGTGCTGCCGAACCGAACAAGCGCGACAAGTGGCTGTCCGACTTCTATGCCAGCGTGCCCGGCAGCACCTTTGGTTCGTTTCGCCAACGCTTGGGCGCAACACTCTCACTCGCCGCGCTGAGCTTCTCACTCTCTCCTGTCTTTTGCGGTGGGTGTGGTGAGCAGATGCCTGCACCAAGATGTGGACGTTCCCCCTGTCGTGCTACACGTCCTTTACCAAGGCGATCGAGGACTCGCGCGGGGTCACGCTCAATGGACCCCTGCCTCCATGGATCATGCGCCTCTTCGTGTACAAGGAGAAAAAGCCCCTCAACATGAGCGGTACCCTCTTCGCTGCGAGCGTTCCACTCATTCTTCACGCTATGCCACAATCTCACCTGCTTCTCTATTGCAGTGCAACTGGACAAGATACCGGTGGGCCTGCTGAATGCGCTCTACCCGTTCCAAAGGGAGGGCGTCATGTTTGCCCTGCAGCGGAACGGCCGGGCTCTTATTGCGTATGTCTGCTTCTCGCTTCTCCGGATTGGCTGCGTACGTGGTCTGGCACTCAACTCTCGCACTCTCTCCAGAGACGAAATGGGGTTGGGCAAGACGCTGCAGGCGATTGCGATCGCTGCCTACTACAAAGAGGATTGGCCTGTGCTCGTGGTGGCCCCATCATCGGTACTCCACGTCATTCACCATCAGAACTGCAACAAACCGAGCCAGTAAATGGCATCAATCACTTATTTATTGGTGGCCGTGTGTTCGTGTTGCTGTTCCGCGCGCGTGTGTGCGCCAGGTGCGGGTCCAATGGGCAGATAATTTCGAGAAGTGGATACCCGGACTTCGACCCGACCAAATCAAGGTGATCATGAAGACCAAGGACAATCCCGACGGTCTAGTCAACATCATCTCCTACGATCTAGGTGCGCACTTTTTCTGATCTGCACGCGCGGGCTGAAGGTTTTCGTGTCTCACGAGCCTCGAACACTTTGCGCTGTCGCTGGCCACACAGTGGTGCGACAAACCAACATCGCGCAGAAGAAGTTCCGTGTCATCATCGCCGATGAGAGTCACACAATCAAGAGCTGGAAGGCCAAGCGCACGTCCCACCTTCAGCCCCTACTCAAGGATGCGCGCCGATGCATCCTCTTGACCGGGGTAACGAACCTCCCTCCTTTTGCTCTTCTTCGGTTAGGATGCAGGTTGAGCTGACTGGCCCTTGAACTCTCTTTCTCTTGCAGACACCAGCGCTCAGCCGGCCCGAAGAGTTGTTCACGCAGCTCCACGCTCTGGACTCGCAAGTCTTTGTGGTAATGTTTTTTGTGCTGCTAATCTGTCAATCCTCGGACTAACCGTAGTCTACTTCTTCGACACAGCGCATGACTGACTTTGGAGTTCGCTACTGTGCCGGGCACCAAACACGGTTCTGCTGGGATTACTCGGGCTCTTCGAATCTCAAGTGCGTAGAGCCACTTCTGCAAGTCAATGATGAGTCAAGTGCAATTCACCAACATTTCGTTTCCTCTCTCTCCGTCAGGGAGTTGAATCTGCTGCTGCAAGAGACGGTGATGATACGGCGGCTCAAGTGCGACGTGTTGGGCCAACTGCCAGCCAAAAAGAGAATGCAGGTGTTCCTCGGGATCATCGACAAGCACAAGAAGATCATCGGCAACATCAACGACAAGATCAAGGAGCACAAGAAGATGTTTCACATCGCGCACAGCACTGACGCAGCCAAGGTACTCACCTTTTGGGTTGTTTTTTCTTGAACCCACGTTCCCTTGGCCGTGGGTGACCAACCATTGCCATTTTCCTTCTTCTAGTCGGCGCGCTTTGAGGCGTGGCGACTCATCAAGGAGCTGTACCACAACACGGGAACGGCCAAGCTGCCAGCCGTCACCGAGTACATCAAGGAGATGCTCAAAACGAAGAACAAGATCATAGTGTGCGTACACACAATCATCACCACCAGCCCACTGGCGTTGACTTACCCTGCATCATGCCTTACTCCAGGTTTGCGTATCATCACGACGTCATGGACGGCATCGGTCTGCTGCTGGAGCGAGAAGGGGTCGAGTACGTCCGGATTGATGGCATGACTCCTCCGTACGCCCGCCCTCGCCGCCTTCTCGCCGCCTCTGTGTAGTACTCACCAGGGCTTGTTCAATTGTTCAACAGACAACACCGGCAAGAGTTGGTGGACTACTACCAGAACCAGCCCAATTGCAGAGCCGCCGTGTTGGGGTACGTCCACCGACTAATGGCATTGACGCCGGTGGCGATGTTGACGTTGTTTTCTTTATCCGGACGTAGCTTGACATCGGCTGGTGTGGGACTTACGATGACGAAGGCCGAGGCTGTCATCATGACCGAACTCTACTGGAATCCCGGCGTACGCTCTCCCTTTACCTTGACAGACAGACATGACATGGATCGCAGGCGAGTGGTGAACTTAATATGTTCGGTCCGAACCGTGTGATCTTCCACCATCATCTAGATCCTGCGCCAGGCCGAGGACAGAGCCCACAGAATTGGCGTGGAGCACGAGGTGGAAGTGTTCTACCTGGTCGCTCGCGGCACTCTGGACGAAAGCATATGGTACGAAGGCCCCTTTTTTGCGCTCCAACCAGCGCTCCAAGTCGTGGTAGTTGTTGTCGGCTGACCGCTGGCTCTCCTGGCAGGGAAATGATTCGGCACAAGTTGGACGTGCTGGGCAACACGCTCAACGGCGAACAGGAGGTCCTCGAAGCCGAGGAGGTCGAGGGCAAGGCGCCGGACGGCAGCACCATCGACGTCTTTATGGAGAAGATCCTCCAAAAGGTGGAGACGTTTGAGGAGAGGGAGAAGGCCTACCAGGAGCGAAGGCAGCAGCAGCAGCGCGATGCCGAGATGATGAACCAGATCATCCGCGAGGACCAGCAGCAGGCGGCGCGGCTGGCGGAGGAGGCGGCGCCCGAGCCCGGCGTTGGCTTCCAGCCGGCGACGATCTACTTCGACGCGGCCGACTCGACGCTGGAGGCGGTCGATGAGGAGCTGGACGAGGTCATGGCCCGCGTCAAGGGCAAGACCGGACGCGGCGTCACACTGGGCCGTGGCGGCAAGGTCACCAAGCCGCCGACCCCGGCTGCAGCCAAGAGAAAGGGCACGACAGCGGCCAAGCAGCACGGCACGAGCGCGAAGCGGAAGCTGGACGAAGTGGAAGAGGACGAGGCAGAGCCGCCCTTGGCCGACGATGGCGTCTGGGCGGACGACGACGATGACTTCGAAGACGAGCCAGCGCCTGCCACTCTACCGCCCTGGAGGTACCACACACCAGAGTGACGGTACACGACACCAGATGTAAGGCTGACGTTTTGTTTTGTCATCAGCGCAAAGCGAGCTCCCAGTGTCGATGAGAGGAGCTACGACAACGGCGACGATGACGACTTCGTGTCAACGCCCTACGGCGGGAGCAAGATCTCCCTTCGAGCCACGCCATCGTCTTCCTCATCATCGTCAAGGACACGTCGCACTTCGGCGGTCGCTTCGTCTTCTTCCTCTGCTTCTGCTTCATCAACACCTGCCGGGGCGCCGCGCAAGAGGCCTCGAGTCGTCCTCGATGACGAAGATGCCGACGAAGACGATTTTGCGGCTCCGACCACCGCACCTGCAGCATTCGTGGACCACGAGGGAATGGAAGAAGAAGAAGCCGAGCCGTACCACGATCGTGCTGGCGCCTTCGAGGAGGAGGGAGACCACGACACGCCAACAACCAACGCCCGGGCTGCAGCCCAGACCTCGCAGCCGCGGGGGCCTCGACAGCTGCCCGGATCGTTCGCGCGCCCGTTGGGCTCGTCATCGACTGCCGCGGCACCCGACGGTGGTGGGCCGATGCCGCGCGCCGGCCAACTGGGTCGCTTCTCCTTCGCTGGCGGCCGTCGTCTCGCCAACCGCGACTGATTGTATTTTCTTTTTTATTTTAAACAAGGAAAATCAAAAAGAAAAACAATAAATTGCAAGGGTCGTTGAAGATGAGCGACAGCGGCGAGCAGGGCTCGCTCAAGCAGCGCAGCTCCAGCAAGAAAACGAAGAAGGGAGCAGAGGAGGCAAGCACAACTTCTTCCGTTGCATCTCCCGATGAGGCTACGAGCAAGTCGTCCCCTGCCGCTGATAAATCCAAGGCTTCTGCGGCTTCAATCAAGAGTTCGGAGAAGAAGAAGGCCAGTTCATCTTCATCTTCGAGCAGGAAACCGGCCACGAGCGGAGGCGGAGGAGTGAACCCTTGTGTGGCGTTGGTGCTGGTGGTCATGCTGGTGGGCGCGGCCTACCTGGTGTGGGAGGCCAGCTTCGAAGGCGACTCGGGCCTCCCGCTCACCGGCCACGCGAGGTCGATCGGTGGTGGACGCCTGGTCTCGTCCCTCAGGCACTGGCCCGCCGTCGTCAGCAACCACCACAGCGAAGGCACGCACGACACCACCACACACATGGCTGACACGCACCGCCCACTAACAGGCCTGTGCGTAGGATTGTACGTGCCGATCCACGACGGCGTGCAAGACTTAAACGTGTTCGTGCGGACGGCTGGCTACTACACCCGCGAGGAAGAAGTCGTCCTGCTTCTCACATCTCGTACGCGAGCGCCGCCTCCCAGTTCCTGCGCCAACATACCACAACGCGGTGGCCACGGGCGCGACGCTAATGTTGTGTAATGGTGGCACAGTGCCTGTGTCGAGCTTCTCCTTCCGTTCTGTGCTGGGCCTGTTCGACAAGGAGACCGGCATCTACGCCGTCGCCTTTGACTTCCCCGGTACAGACAGGCCTCACGTCGCAGCATCCCACACCTCGCGCCATTTCATTGCCTCACCATCAGCGTGCGCGATGGTGCAGGACTGGGTCTGAGCGATAAGCCGCACGACGCGCTCTACGACGTCGACTACTTGGCTGGTATGAGCTCCCGCCATACCACTAATCGTGTGACAACTCATTCGTCACCCAAATCATATATTCATTGGCGCCAATCCTGCAGAGCGCGTCAAGGACGTCATCGCCTCGATGAATCTGGGCAAGGTCCACCTGGTCCTGCAGGACTACGCAGGTACGCCCACCACTCAGCGCACCCGTGTGCGTTTCTGTCGTTGCATTTTAATTGAACGCCTTTGTCCGGGCCTTGACCACCCACAGGCACTGTGGGCCTGCGCTTCGCCGAGCGCTACCAGCACCTCGTGCGCAGCGTGACGTTGCTCGATCCCGGTCTCGAGGTCGCAGCGCCGCAGCTGGCCTTCCCCGTGTCGCTTCTCGCCGCCGACGGCGACGCCGCCACCGCCCGGCTGGCGCTGCCCGTTCTCACCTCGTCCCTGCCCGTGCTATCGCACCTCAACCGGTACCTGTGGCGCTCGGCGCTCGGCGACAACTTCTCCCAGGCCGACTCGCTCGCCTTCTCGTTCCTGGCGCGCTACGCCGGCGGCAAGCACAGCCTGCTCCGCATCGGCGCCGAGCGGGCCAAGGCGCGCGACGCCCTGCTGGCCGACCCCAAGGCCCGACAGGCTGCGGCGGCGAGTCTCAAGCAGCTGCTGGCCAGCGCCGACAACAACCAATCCGGCATTCCGCTCCAGTGCATCTTCACCGAGGTATGATGCTCTCGCTGTGTGTCGTGCTGTGTGACACAGACACCTACATGTCGTTGTGTGCGCTGACAACACACCCACACACCCACACACCACACACACACACACACACACACACACACAATTCAGAACAACAACTATTACTCCAACGCGGAAGACCAGAGGCAGTTCGTGACGGCCACCTTCCAACCAAGCCACCAAGAGGTGAAGCGCTCCGGGTTCCTGGTGCAGGCCGACCAGCCCGCCGAGCTCGTGTCGCACGTCGTCAAGTTCGTGCGCGGGCTGCCCAAGTCGGTGGACAAGCTCAACAACAAGCAGGCCAACCTCCAGGCCCAGCGCGAGGCCGAGGAGGTGCTGGCGCGTCTCGAGGCCGGCGATCCTTCGCTCCACGTCCACGCTCATGGTCACGGCGGCGGTACGGCGAGCCCCCAGGCCCAGCGCAGCAGGTCAATGGTGCGCAGTCTCTCGTGTGGCGAAGCCTCACATGGTGGTGGTGGTGGTGGCGTACGCAGGCATGGGTGCTGCGGCTGGCCACTCTCATGGCCATTCGCATTCGCACTCGCATTCGCATTCCCACGGGCACGACCACGATCACGACCATGATCATGATCACTAGTTGTGGAGTGTGTAATGAGGACGAGCTTAATTCTTGGGTTCTCTGGCCTTGCGCCGAACTCTTTCCAGTGAACAAGCCCCCAAGCAAAAAAGAGGGGATAAAAAGTAGTTGTTCAGGTTGGAGTGCGACGAAGTGCGAGATCCTTCATGGCGGGTCCCCATGAACGAAGGTGAGAGTGGTGACCTCTTGACCATCCATCATACATATATGGACCGCTCACCGTTTTGAGTGCTCTTTTGATGACGAAGGAGGTTGCAATTGACCTTTGCAAGGGAGCACGGTTCTGAGACGCTGTGCATTTCCTGATGCTGGCCACCCCCAAAATGCACGAAGACAAAACACGAAGAAGTTTGGTAAGAAAAAGCCGATCGGTGAGGAGCATCAGCGCACTCCCTTGAGGGAGCTGGCAAACTGGCTGCAGCCGCAGGGCCACATGCAAAATACCAAGGAAAAGGCCGAATGAACCAGCCCAGCGGAAGGCCAGATTGGCGTGCCAGAGTCATGTTTAGTGTCTATGACCCCTTCTCTCCCCAATAGGTATGACAGAAGGGGACATAGGCACTAAACATGAAATGGTGTACTGCTCATCCCAACTCAACCTCCCTTTTGTTCATCATGGCCAGCCAGCACCGCACGTCAGATGAGAGGTCCTGACAGCGGTTTTGTTGGGACTGAGGAGCTGTTGTCCCGATTCTTGAGTTCGTCATCGTGCCATCTCATGGCCGAACTCAGCTCCGTCACAGCGGGCTGAGCTTGCACGGCCCAGTTCGCGTAATTGGCGAAATCTGACAATAAATGCCGGCTGTGACGGAGCTAACGCCCACAGAGAGCAAAGGCGCAGATTTCGTATCCAAAATTGCGGCCACGGCCGAGCAAAAACTGGCGCCTCTCAAGGATGCCGACTAATCACAAAGCCAGTTTCGGTTGCCTTTTTTTGGGGGCTCATTTATTTTAGTGGCGTGAAGCAGAGCAATGCGCTCCGGCTAGCTCAACAGGTCATCAAGCAGCCCTCTTCCCCCTCCCCCCACAATCTCCCCTTCCCGCTCGAGGGTGAGCAGGATCTCCACTATGGCGTGGTCACTGGTCCCGGCGACTTCCTCGACCCCAGCAACATCACCACTCCATGTCGTACTGCCAGAATCTGCAGGCACCACCTCCGGTGCACCACTTGCGCTTGCCCTCGGCGTGCAGCTGGTAATCGACGCGCTCGAAGAACATAGGCTGCAGCCCGCGCAGAGACTCTTTGACCCACTTGTAGATGGGGTCGCCTTCCTGCGCCTTCTTCCTCCTCCACTCTTCCCTTGCCCTTTTCTTCTCTTTCGCCCTTTCGCTGTCTTCTTCATCGTCCTCATCATCATCATCATCATAGTAGCTGTCTCCCCTTCTTGGCCGGTCACAGCGGCCCTTCTTGCTGTCCTCCGATCCTGCAGCAAAAGCCTGGATCTCGCCCTTCTTGTCGAACCTCAGCACCAGTTTGCCTTTGCCTGATTGCCATGGCATTCCAACCACGGAAAAGCAGTCAGCACCGGCCATGCAACGCTGAGGGGAGGCGTGCGCTTGCCTTTGAGGCAGTTGAGGCTGGTGTACTCGCCGGCGCGGCCACACCCGACGCCGTGGCCCTCCCACGTGGCCCGCCCGTCGGCCGCCACCTTGACGGTGAGCTCGCCGTCGCTCTCGCCCAACGGCAAGCCGTCGCTGAAATCGTACTCGCCCGTCCACTTGCGCATCGCCCCCGTGTAGGCCTCAAAGTCGTCCTTCACTCCGTCCTGAAGCCCCCCCCCCGCGCAACACGACCGACAAAATTTAGCTTGCGGGGCCGAGTGGAGTGCTGTAGGTCTCACTTACGAGGTGGTGTTGCAGCTGCTGGGCCTGCTGGCCGGTCTTGTTGCGTCTGCGCGGGGAGGCGAAGAGGCGGGTGTAGGCGCGGCTCCACAGGGCGCGGTGGCTGCGCAGGAGGGCGTTGAGGCGGCGGTTGGCCAGGAGGAACGCGCGCAGCGAGTCGGTCGGCCCGCAGAGGTCCATGATGAGCAGGAGCACGTCGTCGCCCACCGCCTCGAGACCCAATGATGTAGTTTGATTCGCCGTTGTCTCTTCTTCTGCCGCTGCTGCCGCCGGGGGGCCGGCCTCGGCTCGCGATCGTTTGAGCGCAGGCAGTGCGGTTTTCTCCTTCTCGCCACCAGTGCCCTCCTTCTTGCCCACCGAGTCACCTTCCGGCCTTGCTCTCTTCTTCATCTTTTTAATTTGTTAGGGGGTTTATTGACTTCTGCTCAGTAGACGAATATATTCGGGATGCCAGTCCTGGCCCAACGATCGAAGTAGGCCGTGTTCACCAGCTCGCCAGACTTGGCTGACACCGTCACCAGGGCCACTCGTCCAGCAGCACCATCACCAACCACTGTTGACACCACGCATTGAGGTCAGTACCGACCGGAGCGAGGGGACCCCTCGCAACAGCCGAGTGCCGAGTGGTGCGTACCTGCGTAGAACTGGGCCGACTCGGAGTCGAGTGCGCAGAGCGAGTTGATGACGAAGAGGAGGGTCGGGTTGGTCCACTTGTTGAGGACCTCGAGCGCGCCCGACGTCGTGTCCAGCGTGCCGAACGACAGGAATTGTTGCTGGCGGTAATCGCGCGGGTGGAAGAGCGCGTACACTGTGCCGCTCAGCTGGTCCTTGACCTGACCAGCGCACACGATCCGCAGGTCAATTTCAATCACCACACAAGCCTAACCCGCACACGCACACGCACGTGTCCCACCGCACGCGCACGCGCGCACACGCCACCACGCAAAAATAAAACTGGTGGGGATGGCCGAACCATGGCGCAGGGCCACAAGTCAGGGAACGTGATGATGGTGAATTGGTGGGTGTCCAGGTTGAACCTGAGCAGGGAGTACACGTTGTCGAATGACCCAGGAGTGAGGGGCTGCTCCACGGACAGGACCAGCTCACGGTTCTTCTCATCAATCACGGACGGCGAGCCCAGACCCGCTGATGATGATAGAGATTAGAAACATGTGTGTCAATCAGCCTCAGTCATTTAAATGATGGGTAAAAGACAAGGTACTCTGGTAAGCGGGCTTGTAGCCAGTAGGCAGAGTCACGTTGCTGACGTTGCCCGAGACGAGGTCGACAGACACCAGGAAAATTATGCGAAGGTCACCTGGAGAAAACAACACAACCAAAGCAAGGTTGGAGACTATGATCACCACAACATGACGTGGGCTGAATGTGGACCGGATGCGCACGTACGGACGAAAGAGACAACGAGCCACACGGTGTCCGCGACGGAGTCATACTGAATGGAGTAGACAGTGTCACCAGGCGTGGGGATGGTCTTCAGCACGGTCACCTTGTCCGGAACCGACAAATCAAACACGCCCAGCTTCATCTTGCTTTCCTAATGATGATTGAACAAAACAAAAGCGGTTTAGACTTGGTATGCTGTGGGGTGGGTGCGTTGTTGACGGAACAAGGCGAGCACCGAGAATGGGCCATAGAGGGGCACGAAGAGCCGTTGGGAGCGGAGGTCCACGGCGGGCGAGACACCTTTGGGGTGCCCCATCTCGTTGGACTCGAACAGGACAGCACCGGCCACAGCTGGACATATCATAGGCGATGATAGAGACTTTAGATATACGTTTTTATAACTCCGAACCACTATGCAGGGGCGGAGTACCGGTGGTGGGGTAGAGCCTAGTGATGTTGAGATCGGACCACACCGCGTTGACAGTGACGGAAGGCGAGCCGGCCGGACTGAAGACGCCGACTGCGCAGGCGCAGAAGCAGCACAAGACAAGAAAAGCCGTTGTTGCTGTCCCGAGGGTCATCTTGGTGTTAACGCTTACAGAGTACGGACAAAATGCCAAACAACCGAGTACGGACAAAAACAGTTGGTTTGCCCGACAACAGGACTCGCCCGACTCTTTCTTGAGGACATGCGCAAGAAAAATATGTGAATGGCGCAGGCTCATTCGCTGTTCTTCTCACTTGCCCATGTCAGAGGGTGCTGTGATGGTGCCGGACCTACTCACATCTCATTCTGCCAACCCTTCGTAGAATGCCCAACAAACGAATCGGATTCGCCAACATGCGAAAAGCCGGGTGCGCAGACCAGGGTTTTCACGCGCAGGAGCTAGTGGCCAATCGCAGATTTCCTGGGATGTATCAGACCAGTAGCGTTTTTCTGTTCTTGGAAGGTTGGAGACTTCCACTTATTTGTCGGGGGCCAGCGTACGAAAGTCCTGCCCAATGTTAAAAGCGAAAATAGTAATTCTGACCAGAAATCTGAAATTGAATTTCACCAATACCTTTATTTATCACATAGCTGAAAAAGCACCACATTCAGGTTGGTGCAATTTCACTGAGAGAAAAACCACATATAGAGGGTCATGACTAGTGCAAAGCCTAGTTTTTCCCTAGTATCTGCCTATAACTTGCAGTCATTTGAAATGAGAGGTCCAGTCATTTTGAAAAGTGATTTTGTTTCTGAGTTTAAGCTAATAAAAATGGTTTTGATAACACAAAAATGGTTTTATTTTCACAATAACATGACAAAATTGGATGCATCTTGAGATATGGCAGAACAAAATTCCATCATAATGAGAGATGTGATACTGTAACTGGGCCAGCAGTCAAAGTCAAATTAGTTTGGTGTGGTTGGCATAATGTGAGGATTAGTGGGGTAGCCAGTGTTCTTTATTTTATTGGCATGGTGGTGATTGTCATTGAGCACACGCCTAGAGGAGGAAGTTTTTTTTGATGAATTGGGAAGTGAACAAAGGAGTTTATTTTAAAAGTTGGAAAGATTGGAAAGACAGAGTTTAGTATTCACTCCTATCCACATCAGAACCAGAGTGGAAAGGGGAAAGTGACCCAAGGTCAGGCAATTGGTCAATGTCAGAGTTGTGGCTTCTGTCCCTGCTCCAGCTCCTGCTCCAGCTCCTGCTCTTGTGGTGCTTGTGTCATGATCCATGGCTGCGCTTGTGGCAGTTGTTGTGGGCACTGCTGCATCTGTGGGCATGGGTGTCAGTATCCTCATGATCTTGATGCTTTCTCTTGTGTGATGGTTCTGAGTGAGGGGTTGTGGAGAGCTGGGACTGCTGTTGATTTTGAGAGTCAGTGATGTATTTCATTGCATACACATATGCAACGAAAAAAGGGCATGGGTGAATGAAAACCTGTGTAGGGGTGCTAGGAGCTGATGCTGTGGAAGAATGGGGTGAAGGTCAAGAAGAAGTGGAGGTACTGGATGAGGTGAGTTGATGCGCCACTGTCCAGGCTGCTGTAGTCCAGGATGTGATGTTGGATGGGTTGGAGTGAATGAGGATGCTGTCAATAGCACTTGTGATGATGTTGGTCTTGGTTTCATTTGGTTGCACCAAAGCTCCATTGATGTGGTAGCTGAAGTTGAGATGGAAGCAGGCATGGAGTGGAGTAGCACAAAGTGGAGTGTAGTTGAGAATGCTTCATGGTTCAGTGCTTGAGGCGTAGGCAGTGAGGACAAGCTGATAGAAGACATGACCTATTGTTGGTAGGAAAGCAGGTTAGAAGAGCATGTGCCACCAAGTTACATGAGCAAAATACATACTCAGTTGATGCACTTGAGGAGCAATGTGGACCACTTCAGGTTCCACCTCTTGATGAGGGAGGGCTTCTTGTAGGCCATGAGCTTGGGAATCTTGGTGATGTCCTGGACCAGCAGCGACTCTGGATTGAAGGTATAGGACTTGTTTGCTCAACTGATGAAGATGGTGTAGAGGCCTGCATGAGCATTGTGTACATGTATGTGATGAGTTGTCAGCATATTTCTAAAAAGGAGTAAGCTGTGGAAGGGGTAATGAAGAGCAATAAGTCATTGTGTATGTGTATGTGATGCAATGTACCATTGTGTTGGACCCCACTGGCACTCTTGGAGTGGATGTTGGGGATGCTCCCTGAGATGAGACGCAGAAGCTGCCAGGGGCTATTCTTGTCAGCAAGGAGGTTGAGAAGAGCCACCATTTCCAGCACATTGGTTGTCAGGACGGCAGCAAAGCAGTCTGTGTGGTGAGACAGGTTAGTAATCAAACACATGAGCCTTGATTCAGAGAGCAGTCATACCATGTTGATTTGGATTGGTGTAACCCATCATCTGGTTCAGCCTGTGCTGATCCCAGTGGCAAGTGGATGCATCAATGTCACACAGGACAATGTCAACTAGCTTGGGATTTGTGTGAGTGACCCAGAGCTGTTTGATGCACTTGCAGAGGAGCTTCTGGTTGGATCTGGTTTTGTCATGTGTTTGTGCTGGTTCAAAAGGTTCTTCTGCCAAGTCAGTGGATTTCCTCTTGCCTTTAGCCTTTGCTCTATGTTTCTCCTTTTCTTCAGCTTTCTCCTTCTCCTCTTTCTCCTTTTGAATCCTCTCTTGCAACTCTTGGATAACGTCTTCAATTTTGATGTGTGGATTGCTGAGGATCAGAAGAAGTTGCTCCTGGTCACAGGCAATGTGATGATCCTAATGTAAAGCAAGCAATTAGATTGGCATATGTTGACTGCAATTCATCATGTACATGTACACAATAAAAATAATGGAGCATATATTGACTACAATTCATTGTGTATGCGTATGCAATGAAAGAACTATGCAAAAGGAGAACATACCCACTCTCCAGTAGCCACCTTGTTCTTGAGGTGGATGAAGTCCCTATCCATGAGGTGTGTAGCCACCTTTCTCGCCTTGCTCAGGAACTTGACATGTCTCTGGCAGGCAATGAGGAGCTCCTTGAAGGCTGGAAGGGAGTACAGTCAGCACAATGGGATAGTTATAAGAAATACTGGTGGGGAGCATACCGTTCTTGCTGATATTGTACTTGTTGCCCACTTGGATCTGCTTGTGCTGTTCAGTTGAGATGTGCTTGAGGACATGAAGCAGAATTGGATTGGAAATCGAGTGAAGATAGAGGGGTGTGATTGGCATGGGTTCTTTGGATTCAGCATACAAATTCTTGAGGTATGTGGCACTCTTGGGCCAACTGTTGATGTTGAGGAACTTCTTCATGATGCTGGTGTAGTTGTGCAGATTTTCTTGTAGCTTCCTCTGTTCTGCCTCATTGAGCTTCTGAGCCTCAGGCTGCATGAAATAGTGGAGTTAGAAAGTGTTTGGAAGTTTGTAATTGTCTGTTGCATATGTGTACACAATGAAATGTACCATTGAGCTGATGAGCTTCTTCCAGTTGATGGCTTGCTTGCCTTGAGTAGTGGTCCAGAACTTGTTGGTGCGTAGGGTGTCACAGTACTGGAAGAAGTCCTCCCACTCTGGCCCCACACAAGGATGTGAATGTCATCTTCTGAGACCTTGTTCTGGAAATGGAGAAAGGGTATTTGTTGGACCAGCGACATCAAAGTGAGTCAGAAAAAGAAAAATGTACATTGACAATGTCACAACACCACTTGAAAGACTTCCCAGGGAAAAGCTGCTGTGCAGTCTGAACACAATGATTGCCATCAATGATGCAGTACTCAGGCATCCCATCTTTGAGGATGCACTGAGAGGGAGGCAGCTCTTGAACAAGCAGACGCTCCATCGTCAGAACGCCCATCTCATTCATTGATATTGAGAGAACTCTGCGTCCTCTAGTGGTCACCAACTGATGAGTGCCACTCTTTGTCATTTGGTTGATGTTGATTGTTGCAGTGTTCATCTTCACATGATCCACACAGAGGACACCATAACACTTGAGGAGGGCCTCCTCTGGAGGCATGGAGAGCTCCTCTTCTGTGGGCTAGGAGGAGATGAATTAGCAAACATTCTATCACATATGTGATAGAATGTCCTGCAGTTGTGGTGCATAATTGGCTTCACAAACAGCATGAAAAGCATACCTCCTTCAGGAGCTTCAACAGCTCCTCATCAGTCGCCATGGCAGTTGGCAGGGTTACTTGCTCCTCACTGGCAGATGTTGTTTGGGCTGTCACATCAACCTGAAGAAAGTACAGGATTAGTGAGATTTATAAAGGACTACATTTCATTCGAAATCAAGCATTACCTCTGGTGCTCTGAGCAAATCCTGTGACATCTCTGTGGTGGAGCTGGCTCCAGTGGTGCTATTTTTTTCAGCTTCTTGCTCTTGAGTCTCAGGTCTGCTGAGCATCAAGAACAATCTTCATTGATGAGAATATATCAGTTGTTCTATTGTGTATGTGTATGTGATAAATTATCTATATAAAATGGTGGTTATAATTGATTATAAGAGTCAATATTGTTGAATAGAATGGAAATATGGAGTGTAATGAAACAACTGTTATTATGATGAGACAACACCACAAAATGAAAGGATGGCATAAATTAGTTGTATTGTATATTTAAAATGATATTTCATTGTGTATGTGTATGTGATGAAATTGTGTCTTTATATGCTAATAAGATTTCATTGTGTATGTGTATGTGATGGGATGGTGTGTACTGATTCAGTTGGTTTTGCCTTGTTCTTCTCTGCCTCTGCCACACTTGTGAAGTAATTCTGAAGTGGAAGACACATGATTTGATTAAATCACACTACTTTCATTAAACAAACTGTGCTATTAACTTACTGTGCACATGTTTTGAAGTTTGCTGAGGCTCTTCTTCTTGAGGTTGCTCTCCTTCTGCTTCTTCCACTCTGGTTGCTTGACCATCCACTTGGCAAGCTCAGCTGTGTTGTGGCAGGTTGTTACCATGGATGGAATGCTGCTTGTGGACTGGGTAAGGTTGTTGCTCATGTTGTTGTTGTGTAGGTTGGAAAAGAATAATGACCATTGTACCATGTTCAGCCTTAAAAGGACTACGCTCAACCAATGAGATTTTTTGCAGACATTTCTTAAAAAGTGTTAGGCTCAAGGCCACCAATGGTGACAGCCTGCTCTGAAATTTTGCTGTCCTTCATGGGTGAGATGTCATTGGCTGCTGGTTAGATGGTAGACTGGTTTGTGTTGACACTAACTTCAATTCTTATCCTACCCTCTCACCCCACCACATCTCTCAACTGCTCACCCATGGAAGCATCAGACAGTGATACCTGGTTTGTCCCATACTTCTTTTTGATTTTTCCTGTAATTCTTGACCTTCTTTATCAAAATTTTGATGTACCAAGTGAAATTCTATTTATCATGACAATATGTATGCTGTAGTTTTAATTCCTATTTTATCATCACATACACATACACAATGATTTAACTACATTTACATCATTTTCATTTCTCCACTTGCATGCACAAAATCATTGTGTACATGTATGTGATAACTATCCTGTCTGAAATCATCTCTTTTTTCTTACAGGCATTTCGACCCTTTTTTTGAAAACAGATATGACATCCCTGACACACACTTGGGGAGTGATTCTGAGGATCAAAGTGATCTCACCACAACACCAGTACTTGAGATTCATTTATCCCTCATTCTGGATGTGTGCAGCAATGATACTGGTCAGCTGGCTACATCCAGCCAGCAGATCATGGAATCAGTGGACCGCTGTACACCACAGCCAGCAGCAAAAGTGCTTTCAACAGTTGAGGCATTGGACTTTAATCAGATCATCACAAGTCCCTGCTGTTCTGCGCTCTGTCTGCGCAAGTTTGATGTATCACAGATATGAGCATGCCACATCTGATATCTCAGCATGACCCAGGCAGCTTCATGCCAATGGCTGAGGACATTGATGGAGAACCAACCACTCCACCATCAACTCTACCATTTACATCATCAGGTATTGTCCATACTACAGCACATTGGAGATAGCTTCCTCACTATGCTGGTAGTGTGTTTGCAGGCAGGCGTTCATGCTTGCTTACAGAATCTCCAAGAACAAAATGTCCAACTTCTCCATCATGGATACTCTTCTAACTGGAAGGACTTCCATGGACACTACAGCTCAGGCCAGCACATGGATAACCATGTACACCAACATGGTATTACTTCCCTTATCTATCACATACACATACACAATAGAATATCCTCATTATTATGCTCACAACTACCATAAATCACCAGTGTTTTTATTGCATATGCATACACAATACTCATCACCTGTTTTGCTCACCTTCTCCCATACTCCAGTATGGCTGTCATGCTCCCAACTCTACCTCCATCTACATGCCAATGATCATGACCAAGGATCACCTCTACCAGAAATACTCAGATGCCCTGAACGCCCATCACTTCACCCAGGCAAAGCTGTTGAGTCTCACTCACTTCTGTAAAATGTTCAAAGGTGAACACATGCACATCAAGTTCCCTCAGTTCTGCGTCCTCAGGCAGTGCAATATCTGTGCCTCAACAAATGACACCCTCACCAACCAGATAATGAGCACAAGAGAGCAGGCAGCTGAAGCAGCAGAAGCTGGATCACCTCAAGCTTGTTGAGGTGGAGAGGAAAGCTTATCACCTCCACCAACAGGAGGCTGTTGCTGATCCTGGTGTGACGTTGTTGATCATCATGGACAGTTTGACTGATGTCATTCTACCTCTCCTAGTGCCTCTGCCCTCAGCCTGGAAATACCTTCACCTCTACAAGCTTGGCATTCATGGATTTATCAACCATGGCCTTCACCACCACTCCCTGTACCTACACCAGGGCCAGTTTGGCTGTGGTCCCAACTTTGCAGTGTCTCTGCTGCACCATCACCTCACCCTTCACTTAGCTATTCCTGCAGCAGGACTTCATCCATTGACTCTCTACCTACAGTTTGACAACTGCAGCTGGGAGAACAAGAACAAGTACATGCTGGCCTACTGCCACTGGCTGGTGTTCAACAAGGTGTTTTGATCAATCACCATATCCTTCCTGCCTGTGGGACACACCCATGAGGATATTGACCAGATGTTCTCAACCTTTGTGATTGGCATGAAGTATAATCCCTGGGTCCTGACCATTGAGGCTTTCAAGGTCTGCAGGACTGGTATTCTGCACCCCACCTTTGCCCTGAGCCTATATTCCTTCTTGAGTGCTGGGCTATCAAATCCTGGCTGGATCCCTATATCTGTGGTGTTCAGGGAACCTCCAGGCCTCATGTCTTCTGCTTCTCCTGTCATGAAGAAGATGTGCAGATGTTCACTAAGGACTACCATTCCTCTGCCTCTCCATGGATGGGTCCCTATTCCTTCCTCAACCTCTGTCCCTCTGACTCTCCCCTTCCTCTTCTCCTGGCTCAGCTCGACACCACCATCCTCAAGGATACCCTCTCTGCCCTCACTGAGCTCAACAATGCCCAGGCCATGAAGAAATCCTACCAGGATCTTGTCTCTCTCTTCAATAGGCCACCTCCAGAGCAGCTCACCAGTGACCCATTTGGCTGGGTTTATGGGTACAAACATGCTCAGAATGACCTTCTCTCTGACCTGGAGCCATTGGATCAGCCCATCAATGTGTCCATCAGTCTCACTGGAAGTGCTACACTTGAGCTGACATCAGTGAAGCCAGATGATGGAGCCATTGTGGCAATTGCTGGTGAGAAAGGAGCTGTGTGGCTTGGTGTGGTCAGTTAGACTGGCTGGATGAAGCAACAGATGGGTCCTACCACTTGAATGCTGACCCACCCACCTCTGTCTCCTACAATTCCCTCATGTGTGCAGATGTTTCACTGGATCTCAACAACCAGATGAGACCTGCCCTCCAGTCACAGCTTCTTAGCATGCAGAAAGACTGGCCTGATCTGGACGAAGACTCCAGTCACCTTAGCCCAACTCACACTGAAGAACTGCCTGATCATGAGCCACTCAGGAGGGGAAAAAGAAGGAAGTAAGTTGTTGGTGTTGTGTAGTGCATGCAGCACCTGAGGTTTGTTACAGCACCCTGCATATGGCACATTGGGCTGACTGGGCGAACCTCTTGATGTACCTTTTGAACCTCCATGACAAGTGCTCACTCCAACCCATCTCAAAAGTTTTATTGCATACACATACATGACAACAAAAACTGTAAAACTGGATGCTTACTCTATCACATACACATACACAATGTCTACACATTTGAACTACCATTTCTTTGTTTATCACAGACATGTTGGCACAAAGTATAATCTGACTCTACCTTGTTTTGTGTCAGTGCTACTTGGAACAACCTCAAAATGCACCTTGCTTTTGCTTTCACCCCCTCCATCAATTCCATAATCAGTGGCCAACATGGTGCCCTAACTTCCAGTTCATGTACAACCTCCCACCATATTCAGTCAGTTGCACTCACAGACAGAACTTCATTCTTCACAGTTGTGCTGAATTAGAGCACTATTCCTGAAGTTAAAATTCCACTCCATTTCATGCTGCTAAATTCACTTTTAACTCCACAAATTCCAAGTCTTTATGAAATCATTTTCATCTCAAGTCTCTCAATATCACTTATATGCAGCAGTCTAGCATGTCAAAATCACACATGCAGATCCAAATCTTCCAAACTGCCCTATAAATCAAAAATGTCAAATCTCACACAATTTTAGCACAACAAAAATTCCACAGTCATTTGTGACCTCTCATTTCAAATGACCACAAGTTCTATTGCCTTTCCATCATGTTGCATCTTGTACTCAGACTGGAGTTTTATTGGCTCTTTCCCTGTGTATGAGCTTCCAGACATCTCCATTAACACCTTCATGGCACCAAATGCCATGTGGGTGACATGCTGGTCCTGACAGAGGTGGTCAGTGTAGCAGGATGCCATGGTGTGGGTGCAGATGATGTATTGCTCCTACCATTTATATAGGCCTATACTGACAAACAAAATCACTTTTCAAAATTACAACCTCTTATTTCAAATGAGCACAAGTTCTGTTTGAGTCATCAGCACCATCACCTCAACCAGCACCTGACATTGGTCTTCATCATCTATGTTATTTTATACTTGTTGCCTGCCAGTCAACTGGGACTGGTTCTTCATCCCATGACTTGTTGTCCTCTTCATGGTTGAGGCTGTAGGGAACATAAAGGCAGAATAACATAATCACAGGGTCCTTCCAGAATACTATTGAAAAGGCCACAGCAAAATTTGCCTTGCCAAGGCCTCAAAAGGCATATCCCAGACATCAACCTCCCTCTTTGGAATGGAGAGGCTGGCCAAGTTGGACAGCCAGCTCCCAGACGTCCTGATGGATCTTTGCAAGCTGCAGCAGTGTGCCCCCTTGTTGGACTGCTTGTGGAGATCCTTGCGCACAATAGCAACTCACCTGGATATGCCCCTTTAGTAGTCACTCTGGTCCTCCACTTATGAATATGGCCATACTGCCCTACAGTTGGAGGTTGATGGATACGACTTCCCATCCGAACAGCGAAGTTAAGCTGCGCCAGGCGGTGTTAGTACTGGGGTGGGCGACCACCCGGGAATCCCCCGTGCCGTATCCTTTTGCTCATATCTTCTGGTACGCTGAGGCAGGTTCCCTTTTTGCTTGATGCTGGTTAGGGACCCCTGGTGTGTGGTGTGCGTGTGTTGGCAGGTAGGTTTAGGTGTTTATGTGAGTCACCACGGCCAATACTCGCGGGCCGTTCGCTTCCACTTGTCCACTTGCCGTCGCGCGTCAGTCTCGAATCGGGCCAGTGCTCGGTCGACGTCTTTCCACCGGTGCATCGGGCCGTAGGTCGTGTACGCCAGCCAACCGGCCCCAACCGCGCAGCCGGCCCACACCAAACGCCGCAAGCGCGCCACCCACATTGCTCGCTCCTCCCAAGTCTGTCACCATACAAGACACGAGGTCAGATTGGAGTGTACAATCAAGAAAGGCAATGAGAGATGCAGGGCATATATAGGGTGCACAGACCCTCAGTTCACTTCCGTTGATGGTCTTGATGCCGATCGTGATTGCCCGCGGGCCGTAGTACCCGGTCGTCACGAAGAGGCCCCGAGAGGGTGAGATCTTGTTGAGATTCAAAACCTGTAGTAACAAGAGTGGTCAGCACTCCTCTACAATAACGTTAAGCAGCACTAGCACGCCGCGCACCTCCTTGAACTTGGCGACATGCTCAAGGTCTATTCGTGGCATGTTTTTACACTCGACGTAGCGTCGAAAGAATAGGCCGTACGACAGATCGATCTCGCTGCAGCCAGCCAGAACATGAATACAAGATGAAATTGTGGGGAGATGAAATTAAATCTCGAACAATAATTTGATGGCGCGTTGGAGGTGGGAAGGAAGCAAGGTTACCTGGTGTTTCCGTATCGATCACGCATAATAATGTTGCGTCGTACGTTCCATTTGCCAAGCCGTTTGAGGATGCGCGCCACCCTATCCTCCAATGCCGCCCCATTAATTACGGCTTGACTCGGACCCGGTCGTGGCGGTTGTGGTGGGCTGTTCGGCCGCACGCCTGATCGTTGCGGCCTCGCTTGCATAGATGCAGATTAGATCAGATCTCTCGCTCAGCCTGCCCTGGCTTCCAAGAAAGCAATTTCATTTCTTTTTCTTTTTCTTTACAAAAGAACGAAGGTGTTGGGGGAGTGCCGGTAGTCGAGTGGCTTACTTCGCATTCTTAATATTAAGGTAGTGGGATCAACACCCACCCCGGCCTCCACTAAGAAGGGCTGGGTAGCTCAATCGGTAGAGCGTAATAGCACAATAGCTGCTGATCATGTCACTCCCCTTTTTGGACAAGGGACAACCTCCTGGCTCTGGCTACCCTTCACTTCCAACCCGGGTGGAGCTAACTTGATACCTTTAATGCTGCAGCATCCATCACCTTCAATGAACGCTCCATAATCATTTTAGTGTACCTTGTTGGGCTGACATGCCTCGAGCAGGGAGAGCTTTGATGCGCATAATCAAGTTCTTCCAGATGGAGACAGAGTGGATGTGCTCGCTGGACGGGACGGCCTACGTGTGGCGTTTAACCAAACGCAACTTCCGCCAGTCCAGCCGGCCACTCTGGCCAGCGTGCTGCTCTGTCGTGCGCCATCCCAGCCTGTTCGTCTTTCACCGGGTGGCACTGCACGTTGGTGGAGATGGACAGAAAGTGTGAAGGTGAGCCTACCAGCGGCAGGTTGCTGACGCTGGGTGACGTCGCCAGCGCGGAACTCGTCTAGTCTTTTCGCCTTCCCTGTGGGCAGCCAATGGCCAATGCCGTCGCTGTGGAGTGACCTCTTTTCTTCACCCAACACCCTGGCAGAAGGCGCACGCGGCTGTGCAAAGATGAAGGCTGTGAGCATCTTTATCTTCGTGGTTGCGTTCTGTGCTATCACTGGTTGCGCGAGCGCCGAAGTTACCAATCTTCACGTGGTCCCGCACACCCACGATGTACGCTTCACTTCCCCATTCTTTCATCAATGTTTTTGGATGCCTTTTCCAATAATAATGGCTATCAATTTACGCTCGATCTTACGATGAGTTACTTACTGCGACCACCCAATCGATGCTTGTGGGCACTACTCATAATTTTAATACCACACAAATTACGTATTACAATTTTTTGTAATATTACGCGTAGCACTAACTTTAAGAGGGCGGCAGGACGTGGGGTGGCTGAAAACGGTGGACGAGTACTACTACGGTGCCAACAACACCATTCAGCACGCCGGTGTGCAGTACATTCTCGACTCCGTCATCGCTGCGCTCCTCCAGAACCCCGAGAGAAAGTACTACGTCCTTAGTTCCACGTCCCCCAATGAGGGGACTCTACTGACGAGTGATTGTACCGGGCAGGTTTATCTACGTAGAGATCGCCTTCTTCGAGAGGTGGTGGAACGAGCAGTCGGAAGACATGAAGACCATCGTGCGCAGCCTCGTTGGTGCGCGCCGTCTGGAGTTCATCAATGGCGGCTGGTGCATGAACGACGAAGCCGGCACCCTCTATCCCGGTACTCTCCATCGCCCAGAAGGACCCACACGATCACCCTCACTCACTCACCACTCCTGCCCGACGTGCGTGCCTTCATTACCGTGTGGCAGCTGTCATCGATCAAATGACGGAGGGTCACCTCTTCCTGGAGAGGGAGTTTGGGGTGAGGCCGACCATTGGATGGCACATTGGTATGTGGCCGATAATGGCTCGCCGAGCAGACTTTTTTCATACAATTAACCCAAATGCTTGCTCTACTCCACTCCAGATCCGTTCGGACACGCGTCCACTCAGGCATCGCTCTTTGCTCAGATGGGCTTCAACGGTACGTCTCCCCCGAGTGAGTCCTGGCTGCTCGTAAAGCCTGCTGGTCTCGGAGACGCTGAGGGTGTTCGGTTGCGCATGTATGTCAGCCTTCTTCTTCTCGAGAATCGACTACCAGGACTACGCTCTCCGCAACAAGACCAAGGAGATGGAAATCGTCTGGCGGGGCTCCGAGTCGCTCGGCCAGGAGACCGAGATCTTCACCTCGGTCATGTATGGTTCGTGGTCGCCGTCCATTCCTTACTCTCCGCTTTTTTTTTCCTCTCCCCCCTGCGCTCTCATGTTGAGCTCACCCCGAGGCGACACTATCTTTCCGTGCAGATGGCTACGGTCCTCCGGACGGGTTCTGCTTCGAGTGCGACAACGTCCCGCCGATCCAGGACGACCCGCGTCTGTTCGGCGTCAACATCAAGGAGCGCGCTGACAAGCTGGCGGCCGAAATCAAGACCAGACAACTGGCGTACGCTCTCTCGCCCGTGTTTTGCGCGACGAGTGATTTGCATTGACCCTAAAGTCGGTAATGGTACGTATGTGGCCTACTAGTTACCGTACCAACAACATTATGCTTGCGTTTGGCTCGGACTTCCAGTTCGAGAACGCCAACATCAACTTTAAGAACATGGACAAGCTGATGCGCTACATCAACGCCCATCCCGAGTATGAACTTAACATGTTCTACAGCACTCCCTCCATCTACATCGAGGTATAATTATCGATATATCGATGTGTGCATGTGTTATCTGGTAAAACGGTGCTCATGATGTCTTGCATGTGTCATCACGAAACAGTACGTGCACAAGGCCGCCGAGGAGAAGAATATCGCGTGGACTGTCAAGACGGACGACTTCTTCCCCTACGCCGACTGCCCTCACTGCTTCTGGACCGGCTACTTCACTTCGCGCCCTGCCCTCAAGGGTCTCCCTGCATCCCTTGTGGTAGCACTTTATTCTCTACAAAATGGCTGACGCTCGTTGTGTGGCACCACCGCAGGATACGTGCGCACCCGCTCGAACCTTCTGCACGCGACGGAGAAGCTCATCACCACGGCTCGTGGAGACGTTGATGGCGCTGCCAGCCACGACAACATCGCCAAATACGAAGTGCTTGCTCAGGTACGCTGCGGAGCAATGGTGTCTCTTAGTGACGCGGGGCGCTCACTGCATAGTTTTCATCGTTTCAATGATAGGCCATGGGCGTCGCACAGCACCACGACGCCGTTGCTGGCACTGAGAAGCAGCACGTCGCTGATGGTACGCGCCAGCCAAATTGCTCGTTCTACGAATGACTGATGATCCCACACACACACACTCCAGATTACGCGGAGCGTCTGTCGATTGGCAGCGATAACGCGCAGGAAGTGGTTTCGGAGGTGGTGGGCAAGCTGCTGGCGCGCCAGTCGTCGCCGTCTCTCCCCTCGTTCTCCTACTGCCCGCACCTCAACATGAGCGTATGCCCCGCTACGGCGCAGCTGGCCAACAACAAGGCCGTGCCCGTGGTGGCCTACAACCCCCTGGCCTGGACCCGCACCTTCAACTTCCGCATCCCCGTGCCCGTGCCCGACGTCGCCGGTACGCGTTGGTGGTACCTACCGACCTTTGTGTCGACGCTATGGCTGACCCATGGGTCACGCAGTGGTGGTGAGCACCAAGGTGGCGATCGCCACGCAGACGGTGCGCAGCGGGGACGCCTCGGGGCTTCCCTTCATCCTGGAGTTCTCGCTCGACCTGCCTCCCATGGGCTACCTGTCCTTCGTGCTCCAGCGCGGCTCGTCCGCCAACGACCGCAAGCTGGCCCTCAACGACGAGGCCGAACCCGCCACGTACTCTCAGTTCTCGCCCATGATGCCCTCTGTCGGTCATTGGCCTGATGCTTGATGCTGAACGGTGGTGGGGTGCGCAGTGGCGGTGCCGTGGCTCACAAGCAGCTGCTGTCGAGCGGCGACAGGGCCGGTCGCGTGTTGGAGAACAAGTACCTCCGGGCCACCTTCTCCTCAGTCACCAACCGTCTGGAGCTGGTCGAGAACCTGCTGACCGGCCAAAAGGTCGTCATCGACCAGGGCCTCCTGTGGTTCGTTGAACATCTTTGGCTTTGGCTTTGCCAAGTGAGGCAAGATCACCGTACTTATGAGCCACCGTGCTTACTGCAGGTACAACTCGAGCACGGGGAACAACAAGCTCTCGATCCAGCCGAGCGGCGCGTACATCTTCCGCCCCAACGAGACCTACGCCTTCAACATGACCAAGGACAACGTCCCCTCGATTCAATTCCTCACCGGTCCCCTCTCCTCGGGTACCCGTTCCCCTGTTACTACCGATCGCCCACTTTGGTTTTTTTTCCACGTTTTTGGTTTGGTTGTCTGTCGTATCTAATGTCTGTGCGTGCAGAGGTGCGCCAGGTGTTCAACTCGTGGGCCACGCAGACGGTGCGCCTGTACGCCGATCAGCCCTTCCTCGAGTTCGAGTACACCATTGGACCCATCGACATCTCCGACAACCGCGGCAAGGAGGTATGGAACACTGGCCTTGTTTTGGTGTGTGTGCGTAACGGTATTCTAAGCATGTGTACCGCTCATTACGGCCCACAGGTCATCACGCGCTACGCGACGCGCGGGTTCAGCACGGATTCCACGTGGTACACGGACTCGCAGGGTCAGGAGATGCAGAAGAGGCGCTACAACTACCGCCCCACGTGGCCGCTCAACGTGACCGAGCCCGTGGCCGGCAACTACTACCCCATGAACTCGGCCGCCTTCCTTCGCAGCGGCAACGCTCAGATCACGTACGACTGCAGCTGCACCGGGCTTCGCCTTCGCCTTCACCTGGACTGTTGATTGAGCGACGTGTGTGCTCTCCTTTTTGTCAATAGGGTTGTCAACGATCGCAGCCAGGCTTGTGGAAGCGTTGCCGATGGTGAGCTTGAGGTACTCGAAACTGATTCTGAGAAAACAAACATCGTGTTGGGTGCTAACAGAGGGTTGACGCTACTGCGAATGATCACAGGTGATGCTGCACAGGCGTCTGCTTCACGACGATTACCGCGGCGTGGGTGAGCCCCTCAACGAGACCGAAGCCGTGCGTACGGTCCACCGCCTGTCGTTCACGTCCGTCCAAGAGGCCGGCCGCGCCCTGCGCACTACGGCCTACCACATCAACAACCCTCCCGTCCTTCTCTTTGCCAACTTTGCCGTACGCTCCCGGTTCCCTCTGTGTTCGAGTCGAGGCCTCCAGTGACTGACCGGGTGGGGGCGGCAGGGTAACGCCAATGCCTGGTTCGGGTCGTACAACGCCACCTACCTGCCCCTGGTCTCGGCCCTCCCGTCCAACGTGCACCTGCTCAACCTCCGCACGCTGCCCCTCACCGGCGAGGTGCTGCTGCGTGTGGCCCACATCTACGCCGTGGGCGAGGACTCGGCGCTGTCCAAGCCGGCGCAGGTGGACCTGTCGTCGCTGTTCAAGCACCTGAGGGTCACCAAGATCTCCGAGATGAACCTGTCGGCCAACCAGCTCAAGAGCCAGGTCAAGCGCTTCAAGTGGAAGACTGCCTCTTCTTCTTCCGCCATTACTCAGGTACCGAGCCCTCTCCTGCAATAGCCCCCCCCCCATCACGTGAACGCTCATCATGAACTGGGCGCGCAGGATGAGGAGCCGAGGAAGGAGGTGAGCGCCGATCTGCCCCTCGTGGATCTGCGTCCGATGGAGATCCGCACCTTCATCGTTCGCCTCGAGAAACAGTGAATCGTCAGTGGCTCTGCACAGTCTGAAAAGAAAGGAACATTCTTTGCATTGGCCGTGTAGCGAAGGTACACATTCACTCGGGCTTTCGGGGTGGGGCGTAGTGGAGGTGGAGTCGAGCCGAGCGCAGAAGGTGCGAGACGAGAAGGGCGGCGACAACGGCGATGGTGGCAAAGCCCAGGAAGGTGGAGAAGGTGAAGCCGGACATGAAGGGGTAGGGCCACCGGCCGCTCTTGGCGTAGAGCGCGGCGGTCAGGTGCAGGTAGGCGATGACGCCGCCCACAAGCACGCTCAGCTCGAGCAAGAGCGAGACGGGCGGATGGTGGCGAAAGAAGGCGCGAGGCCGACGGTGGAGGGCAAGGAACTCCAGAGCGAGCACGACCATGGGCAGCGTGTGTTGGATGTGGTTGAGGAGAGCCGGGAAGGCGAAGGCGCGAGGGAAGATGAGCTCCCGGTCGTAGAAGAAGAGGCCCCAGAAGATGGTGGTGACGATCACGGCGAAGAAGCATGCCAGCGCGAAGAGCAGTTCGTGCAGCTGCAGGGTGAAGGCCCAGAGCTTGCTCGCCTGCTCTTTCGCGCGTTGGCTCGCACGAAGGAGCCGTACGTCGACCACCAGCGCAACGCAGAGGAAGGCGCCCAACGTCGCCAGCCCCCACATGGTGAACATCAGCACGAGCCAGGGCGCCAGCATGCCGAGCTGCCTCAGCCACACCACGGAGTACGCCACAACCGCCAGGCTCACCGCGTGAAACCCGAGACGCAGCCATCCCGTCGCCGCCATGATGTTGTCTGTTGCTTACGCAGTGGTTTTGTGGTGGTTTATTGCTCGCACGTTGTGGGCTGCCGCGTGGCAGGTGCCGCCTTGGAGCTGGAAAATGAAATGTTAGATACGAGAAAATAAAAGGAAATTGAAATGGGGAAGTTTCTGGGAAGGAAAGTGAGCAAACAACGGCAAGGGGCTACAAGACGGCGGCGGCTTGACACTCGCTGCCACCACTTGCTGCCACCAAGAAGACACGCACAAGAGAAGAAGACGTCGTCATGAGCCACAACAAATCCCGAAAAAACTACCTGGGTCCGGTGGGCTTTACTTCCATATGGTACGACACGTACGCGGTGACGGATGAAGGTTGGATGCTGACGCATCAAGAGCAGGGAAGCAGTGAAGGCAGGTAATGCCGAGCGCGTGAAGATGCACCTGAGTGGGCGCAACTCCATCAACCTCAACGGCGTGCAAAACGGTTCGTGCCCTTTCATTTTATTTCATTTTTATTTTTTCAATTAATAAATAAAATATTATAATGTAAACAAACCTATTTTACTATTGTTATTGCGGTAAACAAATCCATGATTTAAATTCATCAATTTTAATTTCAGGTTGTACGCCGCTGTACCTGGCGGCGCAGAACAACAAGCCAGCGATGATCCGTCTGCTGGCCAAGGAGAGCGTCAATCCCAACATCCACTGCCAGGGCTACTCGCCTCTTGGGATTGCAGCCATGAACGGTAGGGCCCAAGCTCTCCGGTTTGGTGCGGTGTAAAATGCATTGATTTTAACGGTTCCTGGTCCTAGGCTTTACCGAATGCGTGAAGGAGCTGCTGGAGTTGCGAGCCAATCCGAACTCGGTACACTCACTTGACGTCACGCCCGGTCCATCATGTCTTATTTTGTTCCATTCTCGTTGATGTGGGGCGCAGACCGACTTGCCTCTGCATGCGGCAGCCTACAGCGGCTTTGCCTCGGTGGCCGAGGTACCGACCGACCAACCGCTTGTCTGCGCAAGCAACGAAATCGACACAGCACAGGCCATAAGTGGTAACTCACCCGTGGTGTCGTTGTGTAATGCTCTTGGTGGCCGCGGTTCTCCGCAGGTCCTGCTTCAGAATGGCGCCTCGCTCGACAAAAAGGACGACGAAGGCCGGACACCTTTGATGCTCGCATTGATCCACGGACACGAAAAGGTCTCGTTCGTTTCCGCATCGCTCGAGACTTTGTGTGTATTGGCCTCGAGTAGTCCTTCCATATTGACCCCGTCGTTGCGCTGCTGCTGCTGCGTGCTCGTGCACAGGTGGCAGAGCTCATATTGCAGAAGGGCCTCAAACAGGGGATGCCCAGTGTCAATGATAAGACGAATCTCCCGCCGACGAGTGTCTACAATACTCAGGACTATGCCTACTCCAACCCCAACTGCGGGCGTGCGGTTCGTTTGCCTGGGCCACTGCGTGCTGCTTCTCCCCGGCTTGCTTGGCTTTCTTACGCTCGGGCCTTTTTTTTTGGCCTCTCATGTCGGCGAGCAGGCTCTGCACTTTGCCGCAGAATTCGAAGGCGGGCGTCACTTGGTGGAGCTCCTCCTCTCGCCCTCGCTCGCCGTCGATGTGAACGTGACCGATCGCTTTGGCCGCACTCCGGTACGAGTCATCACTTCCTTCGTTCTCAACGTGGCTGGCCGTGGCACTAACTCAAACCCGAACAGTTGCACCTGGCGCTGGCAACGAATCACGGGACGGAGATCGCCAAGCGCCTCTTGAAGGAGCCGGCCATTGATGTGACTCTCACCGACGAGAAGATGCGCTTGCCTCTACATATTGCGTGCACCAAGGGAGGGCACGAGGTAAAAAAAAGGCCATCTCATTTCTCTCGCTTTCATTCTTTTTTTCCTCTCTCATTTCACACAGTCCTGGGCGCTAACTTGGCTTTTTGGTGTGCAACAGGTCGTGTCTGCGTTGGTCGACTTGGCGCCACATCTGATCAACGCCAAGGACGAACATGGAGCGACTCCTCTTCATCGTGCCATCAAGTACGCCACACCTTCTTGGGTTTTGGCCAGGCTAAACTCATGTTTGAGTCGTGTGTGTGTGTGTGTGTGTGTGTGTGTGTGTGTGTGTGTGTGTGTGTGTGTGTGTGTGTGTGACAACAGTAACGGGCACGACAACATCGCGTTGCATTTGATCAAGCGCAATGCGGACATCAAGGCTCGCAACGTCCGCGACCAGACGCCGTTCGACGGCCTGCCCAAGGGCGACCGACTGCAGATGCTCGAGGAGTGCTACCAGTCCTTCCAGGAGGGGCTGCTCAACACGCTCAACGACGAGAAGCTGAGCGACGTCGCCATCCACCTCGAGGGCGGCTCGCGGGTCATCCTATGCTCCAGGCTGGTTCTGTTCGCCCGCTCTGCCTACTGGCGCAAAGTGCTGCTCGAGAAGGAAGCAGAGGCAGAGGCGGCTGCAGCCGCCGCCAACACCAGCGAAGGCGGCCGCCTGGAGATCGTGGTCAATGAGGGCCGCTACGAGGTGTTCCACGCCATGCTCTACTACCTCTACACGGACAACATCCAATTCCCGCAGCTGGCCGCGCTGGCCGCCGCCCCGCACCCGGGCCTCAAGCCCGCCGACGCGGAGGCCAGGCGCGCGCAGGAACGAAACAACTTCCTCTCCGACGTGTTGGTCATGGCCGAGCGCTACGGCGAGACCAGGCTGCACGAGCTCTGCAGCCAGGCCATCGACTCGGACACACTCAGGTCGCTCGAGCGAAGGTATGGCCGTCTTCTGGGCTTGTGCATACTTCTCGCAGTCTGCACATGTCTGACGCAGATGTGTGCGCCGCGACGTGCAGGCGGAAGCGTGTCGATGCTGCGCGGCGGCTGCTTGTGAGCCACTTCTCTTCGGACATGAAGAAGATGCTCAACAACAAGCGATACAGCGATGTCATCTTCTCCATAGAGGGCAAGATCGTCTACGCCCACAAAGTCATCCTCTGTTCCAGGTTTGTTATTACCGTCACGAACCGTTGCTTCTTTTTGATCACTAAACAAAACCTAACTACTCTCGTCTTGTTGTGTTGGCTGACAGGAACGAGTTCTTCAAGGCCATGCTGCTGGGTCCGTGGGCGAAGGAGAAGTGTACAGAAGAGGACCCCATCCTCATCACCGACACACCTTACCACATTTTCTACTCGGTATACCCACGTACCCCGACTTCCACGCCCACACCCTCGCGCACTAACGAGCGCAAGGCAGGTGGTCGAGTTCAGCTACACGGGCGACTGTCCCCAGATCGAGCCCGACACGGTGGTGGACCTCTACCAGGCCTCGCATCAGTACATGCTCCTCGAACTCCGAAAACGGTACCACACCCCCAATCTCAGTGTTGCAGAAGCGTTGCTTCCCAGCTCTGATTTGACGGTGTTCCACCTTGTGCGCAGGTGCGAGAACATCATCGAGGAGGCAGTGGGTGTTGACAACGCCGTGCCCATCTACGAGGTACACACAATGATGATGACGATGACGATGGCGATGACGCTCAATTTCTCTTCTGATCAACTTCATCTCACTAACACTCTCTTTCACGTCGTAGCTGGGGCACATCTACGAGGACGTCAAGATGAAAGAGAAGGCGCTGGCCTTCATCACACAGGACGCTGACACGTTCCAGTTGGTATGCGAAGGGCTTCAACACGCCTTTGCATGCACACTCCTTCAGCTGACGCTTATTGTGGGGGGGGGTGTTGTACTATGCCACACAGATCAGTGCCAACTCGGCCTTTAGCGACCTGCCCGAGCACTTGCTGGTGGATATCTACCGGGAATTGCTGGTGCGAATCGGAGGCTTCAGCGCAAGCACGACAGACGCTCTCGTCACGCAAGAGAACAAGTACGACCTACTGATGAACTATTGGTTTCATGATGACCTCTTGATTTCATCATCCATCACCCTAATCTTTGTCACACCTCAACTCGATCAGGCAAGGCGACACACCGCTCCACCTTGCATGCAGCATACCGGGCATGGTCGTCGCCGTCCGGTGGCTTCTGCAAAACGGTGCCAAGTACGCATTCCGGCGCTTCCTTTTTTTAATATAATTTGTATCTAATTTCATTTAAAATGAGGACCTTGAGAATTTATTGGTTTGTAGTTATTTAGAAATTTATTTATTGACTTTTATTGTTTTCAGCCCGAACCAAAAGGGGCGAAGAGGCTACCCGCTGCACATCGCAACGCGGGGAGGGGACATCAGCACCGTCCGCGCGCTGCTGGACCAGCCGGGCTTGTTGGTCAACATCGCCGACCCGGCCACTGGCGAGACGGCCCTGCACATAGCTTGCGGTGCGGGGCATGAGAACATCGCCTTCCTCCTCATCGGTACGCAGCTTCCCCCATGCACGCGTGTTTGGAGCTAAATTCACCACATGGTGCGCTAACTCCTTTCGGCTTCGATCGACAAACAGAGCGAAACGGTGATGTCAACGCCCACGACAAGCGGCGCCGTACGCCGCTTGAACTCATCGCGGAGACCAACCACACCTTCGCCACCGATTTCAAGGGTACTGTTGTGTAACGCGGCACTGGTCCTTTTTTTTTCACTCTGACTCACTCACGGCGTTGCAGAGCACCGCGAGCTCTCCAAGATCAAGTTTGGCCAGGCGCTCAACGACCCCGCCTTCTCCGACATCGTCATCACCAACGGCGATGCCCGATACTACTGCCATCAGGTGAGTGAGCCCTCCCCCCCCAAATCGCCCAGGACCCTTATTACGACTTTTTTCCTCTGACCCCAATCAACTTGACCCTGGCAGGCGATTTTGTGCGCGCGGTGTCCGGCATTTGAACAGGCCATCGAGGATTCAAGCCGATCAGAGGACATCACACTGGCAGGAGGTCATGGTAAGCGGTCATTAGCAACTCATCGGGTAACTCGCTGTGTGTGGACTTTTTTGTTGACTGGCCAGCAATCTGTATGTAGTGCGCAAAGTACCGGTGGTGGAGATCGAGGGAGTGCAGGAACAGACCATCGCCGCCTTCCTTCGCTACGTCTACACCGACGAAGTCGAAATCGATCTCGGTACACACACCCTCCTTCAAGGGAAGAGAGCTTTTTATTTGTGTTTACTTCACAACTCACCACCAATTGTCTGTTCTCAGACAACGTGTACGAGATGATGGGTCTGTCGATGATGTACCCCGTCACGGGCCTCCTCGCGCTCTGCGAAAGGGCCAACGATGTACTTTTCCCCTCCTTTGCACAAATAGCCGCCACCAAGTGGCTCACCGATCTCCCTTGCGTGTGTATGCGCGAGCAGCCCACGACTGCGCCGCCGCCGGAGGCGTCGACCATGGCCGTCGATTTCGTGTCGCTGTTCAACCAGGAGAAGTTCGCCGACGTGCGGTTCATTTTCGATCCACCAACCTTCGTCGATACCGGCGGAGGCGACGACCCAGATGGTGACTTGGACGAGGAGTGGAAGCAGCACATGCCCTCGTTCACGCCGGCAGAGCTGCGGGAGGAGCCGAAGATCGACGACGACCACGACGGAGAGGACGAAGTGGTGGTCATCCACGCGCACCGTGCCATCATCGCCACCCGGTCGCCGCTCCTGCTGACCCACTTCCCGGAGCTAAAGTCGGAAACGACGCAAAGAACGAAGGACGGAAAGAACGAAGCGGTGGTCGAGATCGACATGCGGAGATGGACCATGCCTCAGCAGCGTGGCAAGTCCGTGGTGGGAAAGAACGAAGCTTCGACGAAGAACGGAAAAAGCGATGGCGGCAGTAGCAGCGACGAGCAGCACAACTACTACGCTTCGTTCTTCGTCTTCCTCCGGTTCCTCTACTCGGGCGTGATGAGCCTCCCCGCCACCGTCGCCGCCGGTGATCGCTCGCCCGACGCAGCGACGACGGTGCGATCAAACGACGAAGAGGCCGAGCTGTACCGCGAGATCCTCGGGCTGGGCGAGCTGTTGGGCGTCAAGGCGCTCGTGCGGCAGGTGCAGCCCAAGGTTGACGAGGAAGAGCGAAGGCGCAAGAAGGCCCACCTCCTCACCTCTGCCTTCTAACCTTGGTTGTGGCTCTACTTGTTTGGGCACTCTTGGAAAACAACACCTCCACGACCCAAGTCTCTGCTTTCGTTGAATGGGACTTCTATTTACATCTAGGTTACAGTGATACCTGCACACCATGTGATGGTGGGGCAAGCAAATTATGTGCAGTAAACGACTTAGTGGCCAAGGGCCTTCTGCTTGATGGAGTTGATGACGCCCTTCTTCTTGGCGGGCTCGCTCTCGCCCTTCTTGGTGGTCTTGCCGCTCTCGAGGTCGCCATCATCGTGGCTCAGCTCGTCGCTGCTGTCGCCCGAGCCTCTCCTGATGTCCAGCAGCGGAATCATGTTCTGCTCATCTTGCTTCGCCTGTCGCAGAGAATTGAGCGTGCGTGAGTCGTGTGCTTGTGTCAAGTGGTGTAGTGGTGTGAATGATGAGCACAATCATGCTTGGCGGGCAGACGTACCACTTTCTTCTTGGGCTGAACGAAGACGCCAACGGGCAGCATGGTGCGGCCCCACGTGGAGTTGATCACCACCGCCGCGCTTCCATACCAGGCGATGATCGCCGTCAAGATTCCAAACGCGCCGCCGGCCTTGGTCACATTTGGGGCCTCACTGTTGTGTGCGGTGTGGTGTGTGCAGGTGGTGCGTGTGAGACGAAGGCGTGTTGGAAAGCTGCAGTGGTGGCGGGCTGACGTACGCAAAGTCGCCGATGCAGAGGAGCAGGAAGGTGATGCTGAGCACGACGAAGAGCACGGCCAGTACGAGCGACACCCGGAAGGAGGCGGCGGTCATGTAGAGGGTGAAGATGAGCCACATCAGCAGGAAGAGGCCTGACGCCTCGTGGACCTTGTCCGCAGGCAGGGAGGGCACGATGAAGTAGACGTAGCCCGCGTAGCTGCACCAGAACGCGCCGTAGCTGCAGAACGCAGTCGCGCCGAACGTGTTCGAAATTCTGTACTCGTAGAGACCTGAGCTCAACAGCGTTAGAGAGATGAACACTGACGGCCGGAAGAATGAAGCGTTGATGATGACGAAGACGAAGGGTGGGTACCGGCGATGAATTGGGCGATGCCGCCGTAGAAGAGGGCGACAGCGACGACGAGGCCGCTGGTGTCGGTCAAGATGCCGGCGTTGTAGATGGAGAGAGTCATCGTGGTCAGTGCGAAAGCGCCCAGGCCCAGCGGACCAGGATTGCCCAGACCTTCCACCAAGAGAACGAACGCGACAAGAACGAAAGCGACAGGAAGAGAGAGTGAGAGGTTAGCAAGGTGGTCGGGCAAAGATGTGAGAAAAGGATGCAATGTACCCGACTTGGGGACCTTGGGGACCTGCACGGCTCGAAGCAGCTGGGAGAGCTCACCAAGGCTGATGGTGACTTTGTGTTCTTCGTCGACGGACATGACGCTGGTGTGGGATGAAAGTCGCTGTTGTCGTGGATGATGACGCTCTTGGAAAAGAAGCGGTTGCCTCGCGTCGTTCTGAAGATGGCGAGATCCATCGCCAAACAGTTTTAGTTCCCTCATCTTTACTTGGTTCTTCTTGTTTTCTGCTTCTTGTCTTTCGCGAAAGACGAGGTTGCGTCCACCCACTCGACAAGAAGCGAACAACGAACATGAAGAAGAACAACAAACGAAGTCGTGGTGGTTGTGGACAGTTGGGCTCTACCTAGTACAGGGCCTCGCGATAGCGGGGGATGAAGGGGTGGTAGCACGGCCTCCTTGAGCCCCTGTGTGGTGACGGTGGGGTGAGCCCAGACGGTCCGAAGGTGGCGGTAGTGCAACAGGCGGTGGCCAGTGGTGTGGAGCGGAGGGAGCAGGGGTAGTTGTTTTGAACAAGACGGCGGTCCGGCGCACCCTTTGGACTTTTTATTCTACCCAGAGGCGCAAGTCACGATTGGCGTAACTCGCACGAGCCAATGACGCGTTCGCTCCTGAAGAATCGGCCACACTGAAATCAGACATTTTTACGCCAATCGGAACCCGCCGCAGATTTATCCATTTCCTATCCTCGGTTCTGTTGGCTGGCCGGTAATCAAGCTAAAAACTCGCTGATAATTCGTCCGGCATGCTTGGAATAGCCTTAACTTTTTTGTAAAGACCGGCTCTGGTTGGTCGGCTCTCTTGTTTGGCGGGGGGTCGCGCAGCTTTGCTCTTGGATAGTTCTTCTCTCCGGCCACCCGCAGATTCGCAACGCCCGCCGAGTGTCAGGGTCATCCCCCAACATCGAACATGTTTACTCCGAGGTCGCGTTTGAGGCCTGCCTTGCCACTTGGATTTCGTCTGGCTCTTGCCCGCGTCAATCTTGAGGAAGTGGCTTGCCCAGGGACTTTGTCGGCACTGGAACCCTTTGTCCCAAGGCCGATGGTGGGGGTGGTAGTTGCGTTGACCTACATCACGCCCAACCTCTACTTCCCTCCCAAGGTGACGGTAAACCGCCTCCACGAAAGTCCCAGGTCCGCGCACCGTGGTCGCGTTCGACCAAACCAATCCACAACACACGACACACAACACACGACACACAACACACAACACACGACACATGCCACACACGACACACGACACATGCCACACGATACACGATACAACTTCATGCGAAAGCAGGGTGTTGTATTAAGTGTGCTACTCGCTGTGTTGGTCATACCATTTGGCCTCCTTCTCCAGCAGCGTTACGAGACCCCGGGCGATGTCGGTCTTCACCGAGCCATGGAGCCGCGGAAGTGCCGCTCGCCACAGGCGTACGAAGTTGGGTCTGAAGCGCGGTTCGGCCCACCGCAGGAACCGCACCAGATCGGCCCGTTCCCCGACCAGGATCGGGTGTTCATCGGGGAGGTTGACCATGATGTGGAGGTTGGAGCAGACACCGAAGACCGCCCTGGTAAAATCGCCCCTCTTGAGCGCCAGCCATTCCTTGACCTGGAAGTAGTAGGTGAGCCGGTCCTCAGAGTCCTCGGGGAAGTGCAGGCTCTTGGGGACCCCCAGCGCGGAGAGAAGGCCGTTGGTGGACATGCGGCCGAGGGAATATCCTGGCTCAGTCAGCATCTGCGCGGCCTGTAGGCCGAGACGCACAATGGCGGCGATGTCGTGCTCCTTCTCACACTCGTCGTGGATGGTGAGGGCCAGCAGCTGCTGCACAGCATGTTCATCCTCGGCATCACCTTCAACCACCTTGGGCTCGATGGTTTGCTGCTGGCCGAAGAGGAACTGTTCCAAGTCCATCTCGGCGGGACCAGCCTATGCAAACGCAGCATGTCTTAGATGTGGAGCAAGTAGTGTGTACACGGAATAGGCGCAGCAGCTTACCAAGACAAGCAAGGAATCAAGTTCAGGGTTTTCTTCTCCTCCTTCGTAGGCGTTGCTATCGTATGTCCTGGTAGCCTCAAGGCTGTGTGAACTTGGCGCAAGGCCGATCTCCTGCATCTGAAAAGCCATTAGCGTCTGTGCTTTTGCTGGTTTGGTTTGGTTTGATTTGATTTGGTACCCCAGGCTGGGAAGTGTTCACTGGAACTGACACGCTCTCAACCTCCCCTTCAGATGCTGGAGCTGTCAAGTGAGGAGCTATGCCTCGGTCAGCTCTTTCACTCCGCTTGACAAGATGAGGGTAGGGAATGAAAGGCCAATGTACCTGCATCACTTGGCAGTGGGTGGCAGCCTGGAGAAGGGTCGGCAGCCTGGAGAAGGGAGCTGATGGTGGTGATGTAGGCATCAAAGCAGGCCTGGGCCTGGGCCAGGTCACCTTTGACTGCAGCATCTCGTGCATGAGACAGAGTCACCGTGGCCTGCATGAAGTCGCCAATGCGGTCCCACAACAGGCTGTGCTCCTGCAGGCCAAGCTCAATCTGCACTGTTTTGTGAGCAAGAGAGCAATTGCACCGCCGCACACGCACACGCACACGCACACGCACACCACACGCACACGCACACGCACACGCACACGCACACGCACACGCACACGCACAGCTCTACGTACAAAGGTCTCTGCACCAAGGGGTGGCACTGTGGAATAGCTGTCAGGTGGTGCCTCACAAGGCCATGTGACCAGAGAGGACGGTCCAAATACCTGCAAACTGGGCTACTGGTCCTTGTCTGTGCGGCTGAAGCAGCACTGTGGATACTGGCGCAGAGGTACACTGCTTCTTCCTGGTCACCTGGCGTAGCAGAGACATGTTGTTCGCCTCTTGCAACTCACAGTAAAGAGGGGAAAGGAGGGCGTACTTTCTCCACCTGCTTTCGCTTCTTGCCAGACATCTTTTCGTCATCAGTGACCTCCCACAGGGCAAGCGCAGTCTCGTGCGCACGTGTGGACTGATGTTGCGCCGCCTCAGAGGCCGCCAGCTGCTTCTCGCAGGCGACACACCAGGCCATGCCATCAATGACAAATGTGCCACTTGAAATCACTGCTCTCTCCGCTTTGCTCTTGTGCACACCGGAGCTGGTGTGGCCGCGAAAGCCTTGCGTGGAGTCAAAGTACTCGCCCAGTCGCTTGGGGTCATCGGAGCAGATGGCGCAGGTGGCTCCTTTGAGGCCGTTCTTCACAAATCCGAAATGGTGCGCGTAAATCGTTCCTGTCCCCCCCCCAATACAAAGAGCCAAATAAATCTCAGTAACTCGTAACTATAGCACTGAACTGAGACATGAGCATACCGCCTGGGACGACGCTGGGCAGTGGCTCGGAGGCAATGGTGGGGTCTTGCATGTTGCTGCAGTCTATTTCGCCTTTCACCACTGCAAGTTCGGTGGAAGTGTCGATGGCGCAATAATTTGCTATTGGCTTCAATTGCGTAATCCAAAAATTTGCCGAAATTTAGAAACTTGGCGTTGGGAGAAGGCAAAAAACCTGGGGGGGCTGGTCAACACGCAAACACAAAAGAAAGATGGAAGGCATCAGCGATGACGCACCGCAGCACCAGCATGAAGCAGAAAGCTCTGCATTGAGAGGTAAGGTGTGCATTATCACGGGCGCCAATACCGGCATCGGCAAGGAGACCGCCCTCGCCATGGCTGCACTCGGTAAGCGTGCCTTCTTCACAATTATTTCAATCTCAAAGCAGGCTCTGAAATCTTTTGTTCTTCTCCGTGATATATCCCTCCAACTTAATGAACATATAAATAATATTGAACATAGTACTATTTGTGAAGGTGTCCATGTGGTGATGGCATGCAGAAACATGGAGAGGGCCGAGGCGGCGATCAGCGACGTGCGGAAAGAGATCGAGGAGACGCTGGAGAAGCGGCACAAAAAGGGCGGAGACCACCCAAAGGAGTGGACCACGTTCGGCATCCCGCAGGTGCAGAGCGTGGACGACGTGTCGCTCGAGGCCATGGCCCTCGACCTGTCCGATCTCGCGTCCGTGCGCTCCTTCGTCAACGCCTTCCAGGCCAAGCACCAGCACCTTCACTACCTCATTCTCAACGCCGGTCTCGTTCACCCTCATCTTGTCCAACATGACATGTTTCAGTGGCCTGATGGTCTGACATTGTTTGTCTGTTTGTGCGGCCGCAGGAGTGGTGACTACGGAGAAGCGGAGATCGGCGCAGGGCCACGAACTCATGTTCGCCACCAACCACCTTGGCCACTTCTTCCTCACCACCCTGCTGCTTGATACGCTCGCTGCGTCTTCGCCGGCTCGGATCGTGGTTGTGTCCTCCGAAGCCCACAAGTTCTGCGGACCCCTCAACGAAGATCTGAAGCTGGTTTCTGACCCTCCTGAGTTTGGCCTCAAGGTACAATACGCAACACACACACGACACACACGACACACACGACACACACGACACACACGATCAGTTCGCGTTTTGTTTGCCGTCATTGTGTGCTCACAATAACCTGCAGAGCGCAATGTCACTCTACGGCGTCAGTAAGCTCTGCAATTTGCTCTTCACGCTCCACCTGAACAAGCTGCTGAAGGAGAAGGAAAGCCACGTCTCCATCAACGCTGTTCACCCTGGCACAGTGGTACATACACCTCCAACTGTCCAGCGTTGCGTGTGCACCACTCACCCCGCACGATTTCCTTGCGGTGCAATCAACAGAACACAGAGCTGGGAAGAGAGACGCCCTGGTACCTGTCCTGGATCGTCAAGCCCATCTCTCAGCTCTTCTTCCGCAGCCCTGAAGAGGGCGCAAGGTGAGTTTCTCTTCCCAACCGGCCTGCGTGTGGATCTGATCACGCCACTCACTCGGGCATTGCCCCAACAATGTGTTCGCAGGACGTCGGTCTACTGCGCCGTGTCGCCCGAAGTCGAAGGGGTGGGCGGCAAGTACTTCAGCAACGAGAGGGAGGAAAAGCCCAAGCCCTACGCTGTCGATGAGGCGACCGCTGCCGCGCTCTGGGCCTACAGCGAGGAGCTCGTCAAGGACTTCTGAGCCAAATTATTTATTTATTCTTTTTGTGTCGACAGACGAAAGAAGAAAGGCAGATCAACACAATCGCCATTCAACTTGAATCGGATCGGGACGTACGAACCTATTTTTTGCCTCGACGCGCTTCGCGGACACGGATAGATTGGAAGATTGAGGATATTGAGTGAGCGTTATTCAATTGCAGAAGGGCGGGATGTTGCAGCAAGATGACGCACGCAAGAAAGAGATCTACACGTATCAGGCCCCATGGCTCATCTACGGCATGAACTGGTCCGTGCGGCCGGACAAGAAATTCAGACTTGCCCTCGGCTCCTTCCTTGAAGATTATACCAACAAAGGTGCCGCACTTCATTCCATCTAAATCCCCCCCCACATTCATCGCATTTTGCTATTCTTCTGGTTGCTCTGTCTTCTTGCAGAGGTTTATACTTACAATCATCATCTACCGTCGCCCACCTCCTGCTACCCCTTCACTTTGTGCCAACCGTGTGGTGTTGCCACGTCGCGTGCAGTGTCCATTGTACAGCTCAACGAGGACACTGGAGAGTTCGTGCAGACCGGTGAGTTCAAGGTACGGCCCGCCTGGCCTTGTGGCCCTCAGCCGCTCTCTCGCATTGCCGCTCACACGCACGCACATGCAGCACCCATACCCGGCGACAAAGATCATGTGGATCCCGGATAGGGTGGGCGACAAGCCCGATCTCCTGGGCACCACCGGCGACTACATGCGCCTCTGGCAGGTCGGGGAGAGCGGCGATGTCAGCTTGAAGTGCCTTCTCAACAACGTAACCTCCGCAGCATCAACAGCTTACGACTGCTTCTGCCCATTGCTCACGCATACGCACACGCACACAACTGCGCACATTACCACATTACAGAACAAGAACTCGGAGTTCTGCGCTCCCCTCACGTCGTTCGATTGGAACACGACGAATCCCAACATCCTCGGCACATCCTCCATCGACACGACGTGTACCATTTGGGATATCGAGGTTCGTCTCTTTTGCAGCGGTGTGCCGCAACTGTGTTAGTTTGTCGTTGAAGCTCAGAGGTCTCACCTGAGTTGATGCCCTTCTTCTTCTTCTTCTTCTTCTTCCGACCCACAGAGGCAATCGGCCATCACACAGCTCATTGCTCACGACAAGGAGGTGTACGACATCGCCTTCGCCAGAGGAACGGATCTCTTCGCGTCAGTGGGCGCCGACGGCTCCGTTCGCATGTTTGATCTCAGGTACACCTCCCGCTGAATCTGTCCTTCTCGACCTACTGTGCCCACCTTCCCTGATCATGGGTTGCCTGTGTTGCGTGCCCTAGGAATCTGGAACACTCCACGATCATCTACGAGAGCCCCGAGCAGTCGTCTCTGCTTAGGCTCTGCTGGAATCGTCAGGACGACTACTATTTGTCCACAATCTCGATGGACAGCAACAAGGTCATCATCCTGGACATCCGCGTGCCCTCCCTGCCGGCGGCCGAGCTCACCGGCCACAGCTCGTGTATCAACTCTCTGGCCTGGTACAGCGCTGCCCCACCAACCACAAGCACCGCATGGCGGTTCATACTCACGGCGGCGATTGGTGTGGCTAGGGCGCCGCATTCGTCGTGTCATTTGGCCACGGCCGGCGACGACTCCTCGGCGCTGATCTGGGACCTCTCCTCCATGCCCAAGCCCATCGAAGGTACAAAACGGCTATTGCCTCACAGACGCATCGTGAACAAGGCTAATCAACCAATAATTGTTTGCTTTTGGTTGTTGATCAGACCCCATTCTGGCGTACAATGCCGAGGCCGAGGTGAATCAGCTGCAGTGGTCGCTGGGCCAGCCCGACTGGATCTCCATCGCCTTTGCCTCCAAAATGCAGATCCTCCGCGTCTGAGCTCGAGCGACACACTTGAACACAACCCAGCACGCACGAGAGCGGAGAACGAACGAACGCCGACGACGACGAACGCTGACGAACAATAAGCTCAAGCTTTTGACAAGAACCGAACAGTAGAGAGAGCCGGTTGGAGCACAACCTTATTTATTAAAAGGATTGTACAGGGCAGTGATGATGCAACAACAACGAGCAGAAGAGGAAGATAGTCACGATCACTCGCGCTTCTTGGCCTTCTTGGGAGCGGCGGTCTCCTCGAAGCGAACGCCGTTCTTGGCCTTCTGCTGCTTGTTGCGGTGCTCGTGGTACTTGACGTCGGTGCCGAACACGCGGTCCCACACGATGAACGTCGAGGCGTAGTTGCCGGTGAACGCCATGTGGTGGAAGTCGTGGTACTCAGCTCCTATGATCGACACATCGTGACACGACACGACACGACACACACGCATGAGCTGGTGGCGTGTAGACTACAAGAGGAGAAGAGAGAGGTACCGCCCCAGAAGGGGATGAAGCGGTTGGGCGACCAGGGGTAGTCGTAGCCGGCGTGGGCCTCAACGGTCTGGAAGAGGCGGAGGAAGAGCCAGGCCCACACGGTGAAGAGGTGGGTGGCGAAGAGGAACGGGCCGAGCATGGTGCCAAGACCGAGGAAGATGGTCTCCACCGGGTGGGCGTACTCGGCGGCGAGGCCGAAGGGCGCGGCGTGGTGATGATGGATCTTGTGGATGTAGGGGTAGATGGGACCCCAGTGCAAGAATCTGGCGGAATAAAAGAGCGAAGAAAGCGACAGGGTGAATAGGAGCTAAAAAAAAGAACGAAGAAGAAAGATTGAGATGAAAACGGCCGTACCGGTGAATCCAATAAAAATAAAAATCTTCGATGATGAGGAAGAGGACGCAAGATCCGACGATGGTCCACCACGAGGGGATTAGTTCGGCCTCGGTTCGGATGCCAAGCAGTTCGAAGATTGGGTGAGAGACAAGGATGAGGGGCAGCTGGATGACGATGTGGCTGAAGAAGAGCTGCTTGAGGCACCGCTTGTAGAGAGGCCAGTCGTTGGGCTTGTGGGGCTGGACCTTGTACTTCTGGTGCGAGGGGATGAGGTCGGAGATGAGGTAGGGGATGTGGAACAGGAAATAGAGCGACTCGTGCAGCACGAAGCTGCCCACGCCCGCCACCACCCACTCAGGGTAGCCCGACTCCTCGAACATGGCTCGCCAGCCGTTCACCACCCACGCGCTCTCCATCTTCTTCTTCTTCTTCCGGGGCCGAAGGTGACGAAAGCAAAAAGAAGCTGTACAACTCGAGCCCACGCCACACACCCAATTTAACTCCTATTAGTTACACATTTCCGCAGTAACGCCCAACCACATCGCCGCACCCCTTGGAGCGTGTAGCACAGCCAGCACTAGCCATGACCAGTGATCATGTTGATGCTGACCCTGGTGGAGTGCTGGTGATGAACGGCGAGGCGCACAGTGCACGCCATTGGCCTGCATGTGGCTTGAGTCTCTACGAATTCCATGGCTGGTGAACCCTCTCCACTACAGGGAACCGATTTCAGTTGTGGCGAATGTTGGACTGCCTGAACAGTGTTCAGCAGCACAGAAGGTCATAGCAGGTAGAGGATGGACGGAGCGCCATCGACATCGTTAGAAGATGAGCAATCAGAGATTTCGGTTGAGAATGAAGAGAGATTGAAGGAGGCGCATGATGACAGAGCTCCATCACCGTCAGAAGTGGTGATAGTGCAGGAAGAGGAGGAGTATGCCCAACATGGAACCACAGCTCTCGACGAAGAACGCGAAGCCAAAGAGAAGGAGAGCAACAGCGCCCGACGTGGGATAAAGCCGGACAGCGAAAAAGAGACAATAATAACCAGCAAAATAAAGTCTAAAAAGAAAAAGAAACCCAACAAACAGAGGCGCGACAAGGCCGACACCCAGACGATCCGATTGAGAACGAAGCCGCCCCGCTCCGTAGGCGAAGAGCAAAAATCTCAGAGGGACGAGAAGCGGAATCGCGAGGGGGCGAAGAGCGAGCTGGATAGCAAGATGGAATTGGGCGAATTGAGCTTGCAAGGGGGCGCCGATACCAGCGACATTGGCTCCGAGCCGCAGGTGCGTTCTTGCGTCCAATGCCTTTCCAACCATCGCTAGAGAACGAGCAATAATCATCCTTCTTAACATGGTAGGGAGAGGTGATTGTGGAACGAGATTACAGCCTGGGCACCATCCCGCGCTTCGAATCACACTTCCCTCAGCAGCTGCAGGGGCGGGTACAGGCCGCACTGCGTTCATTCTTTTTATATTTCTATATTTCTATATTTTATTTATTTTTATTTATTGATTTGTGTTATGTTTTTCGCCGCTGCAGGTGTCGCACGAGGAATTCGAGCACACGCTGTCCACCATCAACGGCTTCTTCTTCGATTCGGAAAACCTGACGGCCGCCCAGTGCCTCGAAAGGTATATGGACCTTCCGCTGGTGTCTCGCTTGTGCCGTGCACGGTTGTGTGCTTGCAACTCACCAGAACTGTGCACGTGCAGTCTGTTTGGCTGCCTCACGTTTTACACCTACTACCTCTGTTGCGACGCCAAGTACACAAAAGTACCCACCGCTCTTGCACGCACGCACGCACGCACGCACGCACGCACGCACGCACGCACGCACGCACGCGCCACACTTGGCTCGTCGTTGATTGCTGTACCCGCGCAGAACATGAAGCGACTCTCGGCGTTCTTAGAAAGCGAAAACAATCGGGTCTACAAGCCTGCAGGCTTCCTCGTACTCAACCCGCTTTCCAACGGCCTTCTCTACGTACGTCGTTACATTCATTCATTCATTCATTCTACACGCCGTCGTGCGCTGTCCATGATGAGTGCGGTGCGGTGCTCATTTCCCAACAGCTGCAGATTTTGGACTTTAGAAGAGTTGCGGACCGAGGCGGCGTGACACGATCGGCAGAGAACAGCAAAGACGTCTAGCTACCTTGTCCCTTGTCTCCCTCCTTTTTGTACAAAAATACTACTACATAACCAGCCTTGACGCGACGGGATCGTCAGAGAGCTTGAAGGTTTGTGGATACGGCCATACTGCGCAGAAAGCACCGCTTCCCATCCGAACAGCGAAGTTAAGCTGCGCCAGGCGGTGTTAGTACTGGGGTGGCCGACCACCCGGGAATCCCCCGTGCCGTATCCTTTTGTGATCACGCAGCACTCGCTTTTTTGATTCTGTTGATATTCAACATGCACGCCGACATCCTCCCCCGCTTGCCACGCTTGTGCCGAAGCACAAGATCGCCACCAACTGCAATTTAGTCAAAAGGGTCTTAAACTTCGCGAATAGATCCTTGGACCGCTTTTACAAGACCACGTCATTTGAGCAAACTGATTTTACACTCTCTGTTGAAGAAGCAGCAGCATCATGAACATATATATTGTTGTGGAAGGCCCATAAAAAAACAGTTTAGGTGCGGGAAGCGATCAGTAAATGACCTGAGGCTCGATCATGAAGCACACGAGGTTCTCGATCCAGTCGATGTAGCCCGCCTCGTTGAACTTGCGCACCACCACAAGTTCGTTCTGCGAGTTGGGCACGCGGTAAAACGACTGGTGGCGCGTGAGCGTGTTGTCGGCCTTGCGCATGTAAGGCAGGTCGCGGTGCACAAAGCGCATGTTGCGCCCGAAGGCGATCGACTGGGTGATGTTGCCGTCGTCCTCGGGCCAGTCGAACTCGAGGCAGGAGCCCTCCTCGGCGCGGCCCGGCAGCGCGTTGCCGTACTCGCGGATGACCAGCGGCGGGAGGGTGGGTCCGAAGGCGAAGCTGGTGGTGACCCAGCAGCCGCACGAGGGCTCGTAGAGCGTGGACTGGTTGAACCAGGGCAGGTCGATGGTGGCCATCACGTGGCCGGTCGACGGGTCGAAGTAGGTGAAGGAGCCCGAGCAGTTGAAAGTGCCCAGGTTGGAGGCCTTGATGGGCTCGAGCCTGGCCAGGCCTGCTGCGGTGAAGGGCAGCTCCTGGCACGTGGTGTCGAAGAAGGCACTCGCGGGCGCCGCGAGCACAAAGGCCAGGCAGCACAACATGAGCAGCTGGAAGAGTTGCATGCTTGGGTGGTTGGTTGGTTGGTTGTTGGTTGTTGGTGCGAGTATTGGTGAAGAGATGAGTGACGAGAGCAGGGCAATGGAGCGCTTTTAGGTCGGGTTTGGTGGATCGAGATTGGTCCAATCCGTATTGTCATTTTACTCTGCTTTTGTGATTTTCGATCGAACTGGTTTCGGCGGTTTTTGATTTCGGCCGAAGCTCCGCTCTGTGTCGACATGCGCGCTGTGGCTATCAGGTACCTGTTCCCACTGACCACAAGGGTGAGGATCTTTGCTTCGAATCAAGTTGGAACGCAACTTCCCCGTGTGGTGTAGCCGAGCTTTGTTGTGAAAATACGCGAACACGCCGCTGCTATCTAGAGGAGCAGGTAGTCCTTGTCGCTGTTGCGGAGGGTCTGGAAGTCGAGGCCGTTGAAGGCCGCCAGGTACTTGAGCCTCTGGCGCAGCTGATCGCCCAGGAAGCACTTGAGGATGTTGTTGGCCAGTTCGGTCTGGTGGCGCGACAGAGTGCGCTTCGAGCCCACGCTCCTGTTCTTGATGATGCCAAAGTAGGCGGGGTCCAGGTAGTCGATGCCATAGATGAGCCTGAGATAGTCCCTGCCGCGCACCTTGACCATCGGCAGAACGGGCTTGCCAGTCGCATCCCACTGCACCAGCGACGGTGCGATCTTGACCACCCATCCTACACAGCACAACAGATTCAGCTTCGTGTCGCGTGTGCGTGCATGCGCGTGCGGTGGTGCGTGTGCGGTGGTGTGTGGGTCTCACCTTCCCCGCCGTTAAGGCAGTAGTCTTCCCAAGCCTTGATGGCTTCCTGCTTGCTCTCCTGCGAGTCGAGGTCGATGTAGCGGTACTCGACGGGCTTCAGGTGCTCAGTGCTCAGTCTGTTGATCAGCTTGTACCGCTCCGTGTCCTGCAGCAGCGCCCCCCCCCCAGCCGACCACACCGGCCGCTTTGTGCGTCAGTCACCCACCTCGAAGTGCACCTCTTATGCAGGGTTGAAGAAGCCACCAACGCACCGAGAGATAGTGGCCCAGGTACTGCGGCGTGAACGCGGCTCTCTTGGGGTCGGTCCCGTTGTAGCTCTTCCCCGCTGCCAGCACCTGAAAGACTCTGAACTCGGGCGGCGTGTCCTGGGTGAAGTCCGACAGAGCATCGAGGAACCGCCTGAGCGGATCACCCGGAGGGCAGGTGAGCAGGCGCCCATCAAAAAGTGGGGGGAAGGAGAAGAGGTACTTGGCGTTGGCGTATTCGTGGGAGTCCTCGCCATGGACAAACTTACGGGCGGCCAACGCGCACTCGCCGGGCGCTTGGAACTGGCCTCGCACGAGGGTCGTTGCCTTCAGCACCCACGGCAGGACCTGGGCAAGTGCGACCACCGGGTTGAGGCTACAATCCTCCTGCAGCATCGAGACACTCATTTGCGCGGTGTGTGTACCTCTCCGTCGAGGATGACAAAGTCGAAGCCCTCCCTCTCCATCGCTGCGGAGAGTTCCGAGTGCCACTCCCACGGAATCGTGCTGGCGTCGTCAAAGAACGGCGCTCCTGAGCAACGAGTATGAGTGATACAATACAACAATATCAACAAAGTGGTTACGGACCTGATCTCGAAATGACGGAGATGAGGGGCAAGTCGCCGGGGCACACGCTCGGGTGCCGGAAGGCGAGGACGTGGCCCCGCGATCCCATGTACTTGTTCTCCGCCACCAGGCGCGTGATGCCTACCCCAGATTCGTCAAGATTAGTCAACGTTGCTATCTCTTCGATGGAAAAGTGGGGGGGTGGAGGGGGTACCGAAGGTCTGGTAGTAGTCGAACGCCGACTGGGGGTGCTCCAGGTAGTCGGGCGCGGCAGAGGAGTGCATCACGGGCGCGATGGTGGGCGCCACGTAGAAGGGCACCTCGGAATTCTCCAGCAGCGGCCGCGCAGTGTATCCCTCCTGTGTAGCCACACATTCCAAGAATGAATGGAATGCGTACAATGCAAACCACACAATACTGTTGAGGGCCAAAGAGATGGGGCCGCACGATGAGAATCTTAGCTTCGACGTAGGTCTGGGTCTCGGGCATGTAGAGAGGCTCCACCATTCCCAGCAAGTCCCTGATGGGATCCACCCACCAATTTATGGGTTATTAACCGGTGGGTCCTTGCGTGTGTGAAGCCAACGTACTTGAGAATGACGTGGGCCTGCGGAGTGGCCAGCGGAGGCTCATCCTTGTTGGTCAGCTCGGCCGTCACGATGAAGCTGGCCTGTTCGGGCTTGCCTGATTTCACAGAGTTCAGTCGATGCGCGGCTCAGCTGGCTGAATGGAGAGGAGGGATCGTTGTGGTGGTTGGTTGGGTGGGGCGCACCTGGCTCCAGGTCCTGCTCGGCGATGGCGTAGCCGGCTCGGGTGAGAGGGTCCAAGATCTCGGCCCTCCACTGCTGCTTGTTGTACTCGATGCGGTGGTCGTCATGGCGGAAGCCCCCCGGCGCCAGGCCCGGAATGTTCACATTGTAGTCGATGTTGGGCGTGGTGATGATCTATCTCGACATCTTGTAAGCAACAAGGGATTGTAGAGTATGCCGTGTGTCGTGTGTCGTGTGTCGTGTGTCGTGTGTCGTGTGTCGTGTGTCGTGTGTCGTGTGTCGTGTGTCGTGTGTCCCATGTTTGTCGTGTGTCGTGTGCAGATCTTGTTTTGAGGTTTGGCGCGCACCAAGCGCGTAGGACGGATGAGCAGAGCTATGAGGTCGATCACGCGCTTGCGGTGCGGCTCCTCCATGTGCTCGATCACCTCGGTGAACACCAGGGTGTCGGGACGTAGCTTCACCTGGTGCTTGTTGTCGCCTACAAAGCCGTCATTATCACAACCGCAAGAGTGCAGTCGTAGATGGAGAGTTCGTGGTGCCGTACCAATGGGCGGGTAGAGCAGATTGCAGAGCACGGTCTGGATGGCCCGGTTCTTGCGGAACACCCGCCAGCTGAACACAGTCGCGTTGGCATCGCACGACACGATCGTGGCCTTGGGCAGCGCGTAGTGCATCTTCTCAGACAACTGGCCCTGGGCGCATCCATAGTCTGTTCTCCCAATTCAGCGGCGTCACAATTCATGTTTGTGTGCGGTTGTGCGTGTGTGCGGGCGACGGTTGTACCAACGATGTAGGGTGTGTCGCTACGGCCGTAGATGGAATGGAGCCAGCCGAGAATGAAAGCGTGACGCTTGTCGTGCAGGCGCATCTCGGCCGCCTCCCGCTCCTGCACCTCCTTCGGCAGCCTCTTGTTCTTCCTCTTTAGCGCAGCTTGCTTGGCCTCGACCACACCCACTTCGGGCTCCGCCTCCTCCTCACCATCCTCATCCTCGATGTCCTCATCGACCACCTCATCCACCGCTTCTTCATCCCCCTCCTTCTCTGCTCTCTTCTCCTTCTTCTCCTCCTTTGGCTCTGCCTTCGCGTCAGCAGTGTCGAGCACCGCTTTCTTCCCCTTCTTGTCCTGCCTGGCAGTGTTCGGCTTCTTGTCAGCGCCGCCTTGCTTGCCGTACTCGGCCAAGATCAGGCGACGCATCGTTCCGCTCAGCGAGTGAGACCAATCCTTGGCATAGTCCTTCACCGCCTGGTACATTTGTCGTGTGTCGTGTCGTGTCGTGTGTGTCGTGTTAAATCTCATAATGAAGATCGTAGTGGCAAATTCTGATGGGTCGAACGAACCTCCTTGCGCGCTGCGTGCTGGTAGTTGACATCCATGCGGCGAGTGAGCTGATAGCTGGCCACGTAGACCTTCTGGATGAACTCTGCCACCTTCATGTTCTCCGCCTCCATCACGTACATCCTGCGTTGTGCGACCGCACACGCACATACGACATACGACACACGACAGTGCACATACACCAGTGAGTTGAAAGGAAAAGCTACCCACCAGGCCGTCGAGGTCGTACCGCTCTCCGATGCAGGCCTGGTGCGGGCCGGAGAAGTGCGCCCTCGCCCCGGGCAGCTCGGCGAGCGGGTAGACCTTGCTGAAGCCCAGCTCGCGCAGCACGCCGCGCAGGCGAGCGACGGTCACGCGCGCCCACGGCCCGAGCACCGCACGCACGCGCAGCGGGGTGTCCTTGACACGGTCGGCCTCCGGCGGGAACTTGGATTGGAGCACGGACTTGAACACGTCCTTGAGCCCGAGCAGCGTGAAGGGGCTCACGCACGAGAGCTGCGACATGACGTAGCTCCCGATGCTCTCCTTCTTGATGAGCTGCATGAACTGCACCGGGTCCGTGCGCACCTTGACGGCGTAGGACACCATCAAGGTCGTTCCTTCTTCGCCGGCGGAGCCCAGAATCACGGCATCAGTCCCGCTGTAGGCAGCACACGTGCAGTGTGTTACCGGAAGGTGTTCTTCTACAGCAAGAAGATCTTATTTAGTTCTTTAAAAAAAAAGTAAAGTAATACCTCTTAAGCCACTGGCCTTCGACGGAACGGCCACAGCGCAGTTGGTTCGCGTAGGTGCTCGCTGGATTTTTGGAAAGGAGCCACCCCAGGTCACCTACCTCCACACCATCCACCGCCAGTTCAAAGTACATTCCAGTGTCTCGTGCTTGTGGCCAATGTCGTTTTCTGGATTTAGGCCTTTTTGGTTTGGGCCTCTTCGGTGAAACCTGGCGTTTCCTGCTATTTTCCAGGATTCACCTGGCCAATAATTCAAAAAAATAACAATTAAGTGCAGCAAGTTTGGTTCTTGCCGGGAGAGGAGCAGTAGGGCAACGGGAATACGTCGTTAGCTTAGGGTGCTAAAGACCTCGGTTCGATTCCGGGCGGTGTCTGTACCTGTGACGGGCGCTGTGGTGCAGTGGTAGCATATTATCGGTTCCCTGCCGCAATCTCCTCTCTCTCTCTCTCTTTTGGCAATACGTGCACGTTGCAACATGCGTGCGAGAGTCAAGAAGAGCAGGTCGTTTAGTCGTCAGGTGCCAGGCTTATGTCAGCCGCTTCGTCGCAGACTGTCCCGCGCTGCGGTGTCAGGGGCTCGCGAGGGCGAGGTTGTGAGGTCGAACGACCCACTGGCGGGCGGTTGTTCCGGGCTGTCGCCACCGCTGCCGCCGCCGGCAGGGTCGGCCCCGTTGTTGCCCATGCGCAGCCAGCTGCCCTTGGGTGCGCGCTTCTTACGCTCGGCGCCGATAAGCCGCGTAGCGACGCCCACTCGAAGTGCCTTCTTGCTGCTCTTGGGCGATCGCAGGAGCATCGCGTCGGCCTCCTCGACCGACGTCAACGAACCTGATCGTTCGTTTTCCTCTGTAGATGTGCGTGAAGACGATGACTGTCAATAAGACAACAATTTCTCAACAAAATCAAACAGATAAGTTATAATATAACGTATCAAAATGGTGGTGACGAGTACTGAGGAGCGTGGCCAGGCGCCGTCGCATCTTCTCTCGCTTGTCGTTGCTGAGGTCGGGATCGAGGGTGGCCTTGGCGAGCGTGGCGATCTCTTCGTTCTTGGTGCGGGTCTCGGCCAGCTTGACCCGCAGATCATTCTTGTCTGCTCGCATCTGCTCCATCTCCAGCTTCATAGCTTCCATCTCCTGCAAGCGGCGTTCAGTCTACACCACCGCACGCGCACGCGACACACAACGCACGCAACACACGATACATACCTTCTTGACTTGCACACTGCGCTTCATCTCCTCATCGAGACGCAGCCACAGCTTCTTGGCGGCTTCAGACGAAGCCAGAGCCGACCCGTTGCGCGACGCCGCGGACGTACCGGCGTCCAGCGCAGCTAGTGGTGGTGCGATGGGGTCGAGGCTCCGCGACCGCGACTTCTTGCTGCCCAGCCCGGTGGCGGCACCCTGGTCGTGGCCCCCCTGCTGGGCTTCGTTGCCGCGCACGATCAGGCTGCCGCCCTTGCCCTGCTTTGCCTTCTTCTTCTCCATCTTTTCTCTTTCCTTTCGTTCTTTCTTCTCCCTCTTCTCCCTCTCCTTTCGTTCTTTCTCGCTAGCGTGCTTTGAGGCCGTTCTCGGAGTTAAAGGTGGTGGATCGACGAGCTTGGTTATGCGCACGGAGTTGTTCTTGGAGCCGTCGTCTTCGCTCTCCTCGCCTCCGCCGTCGTCTTCGCTCTCGCTCGCCTTGTTGCTTTTGTTGTTGTTGATTATCGTTGACTTGATGTACATCGTCGACACCGGACTCTCGTCGTCCGTCGTGCCGTCCTCCGATTCACTTCGCCTGCCGCGCCCTGACCCCGCCTCCTTGTCCTTGTTGTAGTCTTCAATCCACGATCGGGCCGTCTCCAGCGATGTGCCCTGTTTTCAAAACACACGACACACAACACACGGCACACGACGAATGAGTCCGGGCAACGTCAATACATATACAATATTCTTTTTTATATATATTATGTATGTATAGTACCCCGGCCTGCACGTCGCTCTGATGGGCGATGCGGAGCCATGGGTGCTCCAACAGCTGCTTGGCGGTCGGCCGCTCCAGCGGGTCCTTGCGCCAGCACTGCAGCAGGAAGTCCGCCAAATCCTGAGTGTCGTGACATGTGTCGCGTGTCGTGTGATTCAATAAGATGCCACATGGATCGCTTTCTTTCTTAAGGGGAAGGTCGTACGGGCGAGATGTTGGGCGGGAGTGGTGGGTGGCTGTCGGCGACGATGCGAAACATGGCGGCCATGGCCGGTTGATTGTAATAGGGCGGCTGGCCGGTCACCAGCTCCAGCACCACGCAGCCCACGCTCCTGCGCAACAGCGCGCCATAGGGAAAAATGAGCGAGGCCGAGTACTAGGAGTCTAACGTGTCAGAGGGCGCGTACCATATGTCCGATTCTGTGTAGTGGCCGCTCATCTCAATCACCTCGGGAGCCACTGCGAAGTAAAAATTGTCAGACATTGTGGTGCGTGCTGCGTGTGCGGTCGTGCGGTGTGTGCGTGTGCGGTCGTGCGTGTGCGTTGAAAGATGCAGGTGCCAACGGCAACAATGATGAAGAAGGGGAACCACGCACTCCAGTAGGGGGTGCCGACTACGGAGAAGCGCTTTTCGCTTTCGTTGAGCTGAGCCGAGACGCCAAAGTCGGCCAACTTCACCTCACCGGTCTTCGCGATCAGAAGGTTCGACCCTTTGATGTCTCTGTGGATCACCCGCCGAGCATGCAGATAGGAGAGCCCTCGCAATATCTGCGCCATTGGGCCGCCAACGGCGCGTATCGGATGAGCACGAACCCCCGTGGGAGGGAAGAATGCTGCCAAGCGTACCTGGTCGATGTAGAAGGCCGCCAGCTTCTCGGGAATGATTCCGAAGTCCGACAACACTTTGCTAAGCGATCCCTCTTCAAGGTACTCCAACACAAAATACTGTTATCACGACACACGACACACGACACACGACACACATACGACACGACACGACACGACACGACACACACGACACAAAATACTGTTAATGACCTCTAGCCAACATCTGATGGATCAAGGGGCAAAATTGGGGCTACCAGAAAGTGTCTGGTCTTCACGTAGCCGTAGAACTTGACGATGTTGGGATGGTGCAGACGCATGAGCAGCTCTGCCTCCCCCTGCGAGGAACGAAGGAGGCCGACGGCGATTACCATTATTATCATTACCTGAGGCACACACGACACTGACTCGACATGATGGCGGAAGTACCATCACGACCGACATGTTCTCTTTGGCGATCTTTTCCGCTCGGAAGCACTTCACCGCCACGATCTCGCCTGCGGTGGTGATCGTACACACACGCAGAGAGAGAAGGAGGAAGGTGAGCCTCACCCTCTCGCTTCATTCTTTTTCACTTTTGGCAGCGTACCGGTGTTGAGGTTGCGCCCCTTGTGTACCGTACCAAACCCGCCCTTGCCTATTATTTTCCCTATTTGCTGCAAACAACAAAAACAACAATACGGTAAACAAAAATAAAAATAAAAAACGAAATAATTAATTAAAAGAGTTATAATAATAATTAATAATAAATATTGTGTGGGTGGAGTACGTATTGGCCCACGTATTCCTCGACGGGGCGAGTATCGCCCAACTGGTCGAGCAAGCTGCCTGCTCCTCGCTTGGCCTCGTAGCTGCCGTCAGAACCATCGAGAGACGAATCGGGCGAAGAAATCCCTCCCTCCTCCGCCATTTTAACGCCCAATTCTTCGATCGCAACAAATGCCTGTCGGCCCCCTCCGTTGCTTCTGCTTCTGCTGAATGTTTGACGAAAATGCGTGCACTTCAAAACGGTGGGTTCAGTTCTCTCGTGTCCGGACGGAAGCGTGAGCAAATCTTATTTCGTGGGTCCAGACCACCTGTATCCAGGCAAATACCAGAACCAATCACCACAACCGTTGATCGCTGTGAGAAGCTCCACCACCATCTTCCGTCTCCTTCACTTGTTGTGTTGCAGTGGAATGAGAGAGCATTACGACCACCACGGACGGTCCTGGGCAGCTGAACTCAAGCCGATCTGTCCTTGTTGGTGAAGGTGCCATAGGCGCCGTCTTGGTGGTGTTGGCTGGCGAGCGACATCCAGGCCTCGCCGCCTCCGCCGATGAACTCTTCATCGTCTTCCTCTTCGACGACGATGTCCGAGTGGCTGCGGTGGTTGGGGTCCTTCTTGATGGGCCCGCCGACGACCAGCATCGATACGTAGATGAGGAGGCCCGCCACCGAGCAGGCCAGAAGGATGTAGAGGAACGTCACCGGGCTGTACCAGTTGAACGAGACGTTGGCCACCGTCAGCGGAATCAACATCTCCCCGAGCGATGCCCCCACAACCATCACACTTGTGATACTCCCTGCGATGCGTGTCGTGTCGTGTCGTGTCGTGTCGTGTCGTGTCGTGTCGTGTCGTGTCGTGTCGTGTCGTGTCGTGTCGTGTCGTGTCGTGTCGTGTCGTGTCGTGTCGTGTCGTGCGTCAGCGTTGTCATGCGCTGCAATGTGCCACAGGGGAATGCGCACCGGTGAGCGGGACGTAGCCCTCGGCCAGGTGCATGGCCGTTGGGAAGGCCGACGAGATGGAAAGACCGTACAGGAATGCGCCTGCAATCATGATTGGCCATCGAGCGATGAGCCTTGAGCTGATTAGACGCACGCCACCACACGAAAGGGGACTCTCGCTTGGGTCCAGAACGCACCAAGCCAGAGGACAGTGGAGGAATTGCTGAAGACTGCCATGAGGAGGTTGCTGCCCACGCAGCCCACCATGAGCACAGCCAAGATCTGCGCCGCCGAGAAGTAGAGCGACGCGGGGATCGAGATGAGCCGCCCTGCACTCGTTTCGTGTGTTGAGTTTCATGGATGCGTGAGCTCTCTCTTGACGGATTGAGAGTGTTTTTGTTTTGCCACACGGGACTGCGCGTACCGATGGTGAGTGCGCCCCACAGCACGGAGGTGAGGAATGCGGCGGAGGTCTCCGTGGCCAGATTCTCCAGCACGGCGTACGAGTAGAGGTAGCCACCAGCCGTCACCTCGGCACCCACGTCCACGAGAAGGAACAGACCCGCCGCGATGACGATGTACTATTATTGAGCTCAGTGTGAGAGTTCATCGGTTGGCGTTCAGATCGTATAGAGAAAAAAAGAGAGAATGCAATACCTTCTCTCGGGGCACGAGGGCTCGCTTCAGCTCTTTCTCTTCCGTCTTTGCTGGCGCACTGCCGAGCAAGAGCAGCCACACCGGCAGCACGGCCGTGCCGATGCTCATCGCCCAGAAGGCCCTGCACGCGCGCTCAGTGAGAATCGGGGAATCGAGTCGGGTGGTTTATCTGTGCATACCAGGACGGATCGCCCTGGTGAACGTCGATCACCCATCCGACGACCATCGGGGCCACGAAGGCGCCGAAACCGAAGCTGAAATGCATGGCTGCGCGGGTCAACGAGTGCGGTGAGACGAAACGGAACACACCAGCCAGTGTGTGGCGTGTTGTGCGTGTCGTGATCGTGGGCGCGTACCTTGAAGGTAGGGCCCGACGTTGTCACCGTGAAGTCTAATGATGCTGACGTTGCCTCCCGTATCGAGGAAGCCCATCCTGCGTTTGCGACGCTTAGACGGAAAGCAGAGGGGAAGGAATTGAGGCGGAGGAGACGCACGCAAGGCCGACCAGAGTGACCAGGGCGGCGAGCAGCCAGATGTCAGACACGACCGGAATGAGCGCCGTTCCTGTGAAGGCAACACGTCGAGGCATTCATGCAATTAGAGAGGTGTGCTGGGTCTTTGGCGTGGGCTAGGCGCCCGTACCAACGACCGTGAGGCCGAGAGCGACAGCCAACAGTTTGTTGCCGTCGAGCCTGTCGAAAAGAGGACCACCCACCATCGAACCGAACAGATAACCCACTGACCGCGCCGTGAACACGTATCCCATCTCCGCCACCTGGAGGTGCCGCAGCGTCAGTGAGCAAGCCGCAATCGTGGCCATGCGGGGGCTGATCGTACCGAGCTGCCAGTGTTCTCTGCGAGGGCCAACAGCGCGGGACCCAGAGCGGCGATGGCCAGACCCAGAGCAAGGAAGCAACCGTAATAGCACAGCGCTGCAGCCATCAAACAACATATTGCACAAGCCAACCGGGTGAGGCCGCGTGTTGTGTCCCCTTTGAAAAAAAAATAAAAATGTTCGGAGTTGCTACAGGAGAGTGAGTAGGACGTACTGGTCTGGGCCTTGTTGGTAGCAAGTATTCGCAGCACCCGGCCGGCACTCCACGGCTCGGCATAGTCCACCAGCGCTGGTGCCACCTGTTGGTCCAGTACCAGGTCGCCTCGCGCCATCGGCTTTTTTTGTCCGACAGTGTGTTCTTCTGCTGTGCGTTATGTGCCGATGAAGTGGCGCAGAGAGACAATCCGTTTCTGAAACCTGCGAGTTCGCTTGTGTGGGCCGTGCCACCGGAAGAAGAAGAGCAAAAAGTGCTCCGGTCTACGCACGTTCTGTCGCTTTTCTTGACGTCTTTTTCTCTCCTCATTTCCCTTTGTTGTTACACATTTCCTCTCACCACCGAAGAACGAGTGCCACGCGTAGACTTTACTCGTCATGAAGACGACGAAGAAGAAGAGAAAGGGTGATCATCGCTCTCTTGTTACTCTAACGGCTGGGCATTTGTCACCAAGCTTGGTTGCGTTGTCCCATCGCGGGCGAATTCTCTGAGCGATCAGACCGTCTACGCGTCTTTGTCCCAGAACGAAGGCTGGCGCGAAGTGAGCCGCTTGGCTGCCGTGAAACGGTTAGCGACTCTCTCAAAAAGGAGCACAAACGAGAAGCATCTGATGCGAACGCACTCTTGAACGGCGCAGGAGTGGCAGCATGCGTCTTACTGGTGAAGTAGCGGAAGCCGTCGTTGTCGCACACCTCAACGTCCGATGCGTTCCTCTTTCTCGGGGTCTTCTGCGGGGTCTTGTTGATCGCCTCCGCTTCGGCGCAAGGAGTCTTGACCTTCGCCTCGCGCCTCGTCGGAGTCTTGTGAGGAGTCTTGGACTGCGTGAGCTCGGCGTAGCTCCTGGTCGGGGTCTTGCGCGGCGTCTTCGGCACCGACTCGCGCTCGCGCCAATGAGGCACCGCACCGTCGAGATCGAAGGTGCCCGGATAGCCGGGGCGTAGCTTTCCGCCCAGAGTAGGCTCGCGCAGGCTCAGTACCTTGGTCTTGGCCGAGCGGGAGGGTCTCGACGGGGTCTGCGGAGCGGACGATCCCTCCGACTCGGACGAAGAATGGTCTCTCGACGGGGTACGCTCGCTCTTTGCACGCTTGGGCGTACGGAGGTACTCGCTGGCGGTGCGTCTCAGGCCACCTTTCCTCTTCGGAGCCCTGGGCGTGGTCGCTCTGGTCTCCTCATCGAAGAAGTTGGCCCAGCTCTGATGCCAGAGGAGCAGCGCTTCGTCGGGGTCTTGGTTGCTCTCGTCTTCGCTCTCCGATTCCACTTGACGGTGTACGTGTAGAGGAACAGCGGCTTGCTCCTTCTCGGCTTCGGCAGCCGCCTCCGCGCGTTTAGCCGAGTTGCGCCGAGCCTGCTGGAAGCGTGCCAGGAGAGACTTGCGGGCAACAGTATCGTCACTCCCCTTCAACGGCTCGATCAGGTCGGCATTGGTGACGGGAAACGCTTCTGGACTGAAGATAGTAGTCCTACGGAAAGAGTACGCATAAGAACGAACGAGTCTTGTTGACATAGCGACGAGACGTACCGCGCCTGAAGATCCTGCAAAAGGGGTGACGAGTTCGGAGCTAGCCTCCTCTTCTTGAAGTCACGCTGATCTAGCGACTGGGGCACCATGCGACGATCAAACATCTCCATCATCTCGCCATTGACCGACTTGATCGCTGAATTCTCTGCCTGCAGCCACTTCCTTCGTAAGCGTGTGAGAGTCGATAGTCATCGCGGGTGTACTTACCTTGAGCGCTACAATCTCCTTCTCGCGCTTGACTGCTTTGCGCAAGAGGTCATCGCGCTCCTGGGTGAGCTCCTTCACTCTTGCTTGAAGTTCGTGCAAAGTGCGAGAGTAAAGGCGAACACGAACTGTAAACGAAAAAATGCGTTGTGCAGCGAGCAAGAAGGTGTGAAAGGATATCTGCTCTGAAGCCTGACGTTCCCGCGTATGATGTCGTTGTTGATCTCGGTGTGCTTCCTTTTCACTGTTCGTAATCGAGAATGTAGGGTCAGAGCTACTACTAAGTACGCGCTACTACGTTTACGTCGCGAGAACGTACCGAGCTCGAGATCTTTCTTGCCCTCTAGAAGCTTGTTCTTGAGCTGAACCGAGAAGTTCTGGCAGCTCTCGAGCTTAGCTTGCGTCTACATCCGTTCAGAAAGAGGTCCGATCAATGCAGCGTCGAGGTAGCGAGACAAGTAGCTAATGCAGGGTGTCCGTACCTCCTTACAGCCTACGCACTTCTCCTGAGTGCCGCTGCCGAGGAAGCTCCTCCTTGTCGAGAGCGGAGGGAGAGCACGCTTCGCAAACACGTCCATGAGCTGGTCGGTAGCAGCCATCCACACAAACGGAGAGTCGTTGCTTGTTGATGGTCTGTTGGTGAACGAAGGCAAAAGAAGAATGAGACGGCGCCCGTGCCGAAAGGAAAGTGGCCTGCCACCTTTGCCTGCGTTGCCTACCCCCCCAAACATTTCGCGCCCTTTTTGCGCACAGCGAGCAAAGACCGGGGTGGTTCGTACCATCAAGCCTGGCGACTCCTCGAGTGGCTCGACGTAGCATAATCTCACCTTCATTGTGACGAGATCTCCGACTTAAACGTCGTTGGCAATCAAAGAGGACAGGACGCCAATCAAGATGGCGAATAGGTTGCGTTGCATCTCCGCATGTTCAAACGTCGTGGAGATCTGTTGAAGATGAAATTCTTGTTTTTCCATCTCGGAAGTGGAAAAGGCTGAGAAAAGGATTGAAAAAGGAACAAAATGCAACGTACGATCCATCGTCCTGTCCACCGAGATGAGTGCTGAAGAGCTGAAGAAGCAAATCGAAGATGCGAAGAAAGATGTAGAAGAGAAAGCGAAGGATGATGAGGAAGAGGGGGGCGTGTGTGCCTTCTTCAAAGCAAGGAAAGGACGACCGGGCAGCAACATGCGAAAGAGGGCAGGCAAGCCGCTGACCTCGTCCACCAAGGATCACAAGAAGCCTCGACCAGAAGAGGATGCGCCCGGCCACACCTGGGAGTCGACTCGTTCGGCCGTAATTACCCCCCCCCCAAACTTCTAGAACTATCTGCTTGGTCTTTTGTCATTCTGCCACATCTAATAATGTTGCATCACATCTCTTATGATCCAGGGACCCGCTGTGCCGAAGATGGCAATCGCTACGGCAGTACTGGAAACCGAGACTGAGCGCGACAGGGATGCGACGGCCATCGTCGAACGTGCCAAAAAGCTGCAGCAGGCAGAGGGTGCGCCTCCATCGCGGTGTGTTCGATGTGCAACCGCGAGTGCTGACCATTCCTTGTGGTCGAGTGCAGCGATGGCAGGGTCGGACAAGAAGGTGTACAGGGGACAGGCCAACTACACGCAATACATCGACCCAGGCGATACCTCTGGTCAGATCAAAGGCGCGGGAATCCGCGCAGGTCCTGTGCGTGCTTCACTCTACGCCCGCGCCATCACACGTTGGGACTATCAGCCTGATATCTGCAAGGACTACAAGGAAACTGGTACGCTGTGGTGAGCGTGCTAGGCTTGTGTGGCACCAATGCTCACTGCTCATCTACACGAATAGGCTACTGCGGATTCGGCGACAGCTGTAAGTTCATGCACGATCGTGGTGACTACAAGAGCGGATGGGAGATGGAGCGAGACTGGAACGAGCAGCAGAAGCAAAAGGCTCAGGCCGGTCAGAATGGCGGCGGCGACGCGGAGGGCGGCGCGAACGAAGACGACGAGGACATTCCCTTCGCGTGCTACGTGTGCCGCAAGGCGTTCACCGACCCGGTCAAGACCAAGTGCGGCCACTTCTTCTGCGAGCGATGCGCGCTCACCAAGTGCAAGACCGAGTGCACGGTGTGCTCCCAGAAGACTGGGGGTGCGTTCAGCATGCCGACTCGGGTCGAAAAGAAGAAGCTCGAGGACGCCCGCAAGAAGCACGAAGCAAAGCCCAAGGAAAACGACGAGGGTGACAGTGACTGACCGTCGCTGATCCTGCACTGCAATCAATAAAATATAAAGCCAATTATTTATAAATCAATAAGTTGTCCAATATTTGCCAATTAAAATCTCTCGGACAGCGATGGATGAGGGCAAAAGGCCCCCTGCGCAACGGGTGGTATGGGGTGCTCCTGCAAGACCACGATCGACGGCAGGAGCAAGAGGCGTCGACCAGGTGTCTGCCATCGCCCCCAAAATCAAGAAAAATACAACCAAGGATGCAGCTGGATGTAAGGAAGGGTGCTGCGGTGAGGACGCTGGTGCACGTGGGAAGAGCCAGCAGGGCAAGAGCTACCTGCGCCGCTACGGCTTGTTGCGTCAGCAGGATGCCACGAACTCTGCCGCAACGAAGTCAAAATCGAAGGCTGTAGCGGGAGACGATGGTGTGGAGATGACGGTGAAAGGGGCGAGTTCTCTGTTCGACCAGCGCCGTCCCAAGGGCAAGGAGAGAGACCTTGAAGCAGGCGATGGCGAAAGCAGCCAGACAAGCGACTCGATGCTCGAGTGGGGTGTGGACGTGAGCAGCAAGATGATCGGTGGCGAGTCCATCATGAACGCTGCGGCCGAGGTGGCCGTCGAGTGCTGCCGCCTGTGCCTGGAGGCCGACGAGTGCTGTCGTCAATTGTGCTGCGCCGCGCTGTGCTGCCTGCAAGAGCTCGGGGCCTCTCTTCTTGCTACGGGCAACACTTCCGGCTCCTCGCTTAAGAAAAAGGTAGTCTCACCTTGATGCCTTGGCTTGCTGCTCTTGTTGCTGACCATTCTTCATGTGCAGCCACTCGCTCCTTCGGCTGACCCACTGACGACGGTGCATCTGGATCTGAGCGGGCTGGACTGTGCTGATTGCTCGCTAACCGTGGAGAGAACCCTCAAGCGAAACTCGGCCGTCGTTGCCGTGGTGGTCAGGTACCTCATCGACTTCCCAGGTCCGACTTCAGCTTGATGGCGCTTCTAACCTTCGTCCGTAGTGCCATGACCAACAAGGCCGAGGTGACTTTCGACGCAATGCGCACCGATGAGGCGGCGATCATGAAGGACATCCGGGCTCTTGGCTTCGGGGCTGAGCTGGCTTCGCCCGCATCAGCTACGCGCCTTCTTATACGTGTGGCGCCCGTGCCTGGTGCTGGCGATGGCGACCTCTCCGCGGCACTGGCCCAGCTGAAGTCCGAGCCGGGCATCGTCAGTGCGGTCTACAAGCGCAAGAAAAAACTCTTCGTCATCGACTACCACCCAACCCAGGTACGTGCAGCCACAGCCTTGCTTCAGGCCATCCCACCCGCTTCGTTTAAGTACTAACCAACGATAACAGGCCAAAATTAGGACAGCCATTGAGGCGCTTGAGGAGTCAGGGCTCTCGGTCACCGTCGTCCGCGATGAGCCGGGTATGATCGTAGTGAAGCGCATTACCCTTCTTGCGTAGATCTGACTCCATTCGCAACGTGAAGGCAAAACTCGTGCCCAGAAGCAGGTGAGATCGTGGCAGTGGCGCTTCTGGGCGAGCGCCGTCCTGAGCGTGCCGGTCTTCTTCATCTCGTTCCTGTTCCCGCATCTGCCGGAGGTCGATGACGCCTTCGACGAGGAACTCACGCAAGGTTCGTACCTGCTTCTCTCTCATTCTTCTTCGCTTACGTTTCGAGTCGACATTTTTGTTTGGCGCAGGCTTGTCCGTCGGCGTGTTTCTGTGCTGGCTGCTTGCGACGCCCATTCAGTTCGTCATGGCGTGGCCACTCTACGGATCCTCGTATCGCGCCCTGCGCTACGGCCACAAGGCCAACATGGACACCCTCGTCATCCTTAGCACCCTCACGGCCTACACCTACTCCGTTGTTGCCGTCATCGTGGCCATGGCCGGCACCGGCTTCGAAGGTGAGACGACCAGTCAATCAATCCCACTCTCCAGGCCGTCACTGACAACGAAGGCCCTTTGTGGTGCAGGTGATTCGTTTTTCGAGACCTCGGCCATACTGCTGACCTTGATCATGCTGGGCCGCTACCTGGAGGCCCTGGCCCGAGGCAAGGCCTGCAACGTCGTCAGTTCGCTGCGCAACGAACAGGCGACCACGGCCCTGCTCCTCAGCGTTGGCAAAAGCGACTGCGACACGACTTCCGAACAGAGCGTGCAGGAGAGGGAAATGGACGTGGAGCTCATCCAGCCGGGCGACCTTATCAAGGTACTGACACCCGGCAACGACGCCCTTCGACAGCTTTCTAAGCAAGTACGAGTTTTCTATTTCTCATATACTGTGTGCGTGTTGTGGTCAGGTGTTGCCTGGCGCCAAGGTGGCTGTCGACGGGGTCGTGGTGTATGGTGCGAGTTCGGTGGACGAGTCGTTGGTCACTGGGGAATCGATGCCCGTGGCCAAGAGCATCGGAAGCCTGGTCCTGGGTGGCACCATAAACCAACACGGCACGATCCACGTCAGGGCGACCAAGTCAGCCTCGGAGAGCACACTTGCTGGTACGTACTCGTTTCCAACACACAGACACACACACACACACACACACACACACACACACACACACGCACGCACGCACGCACTAATTGCGGCCACTAGCTATCAGCCGGCTGGTGGAGGACGCCCAGGCCGGCAAGCCGCGGCTTCAGAGGCTTGCTGACGTCATCGCGTCCTACTTCGTGCCTGCCATCCTGCTCCTTGCGCTGGCGGTGCTCGCCCTGTGGCTCTGCCTCAGTGCGCTCGACGTCGTCGACACCGACGGCGATCACTGGGTGCCGTTCTCGTTGCAGTTCGCCTTCGCCGTGCTCGTGGTGTCGTGCCCATGCGCCATCGGCCTCGCGGTCCCGCTGGCAGTCATGGTGGCCAGCGGGGTCGGCGCCAAGCACGGCGTGATCATCAAGAGCGGCGCCACCATCGAGGCCTGTCGACGGATCAACACCATGGTCTTCGACAAGACCGGCACGCTCACTCGCGGCCAGCTCTCGGTCGTCGATCACTGGTGGCTGGACCACACCACAGCCCGGGGGCAGCAAGACGGCGCCGACGAGCCGCACCAGCAGCGGCTGCTGCTACTCTCCCTGATCGGATCGGCCGAGAAGGGCAGCGAGCACGTCCTGGCCAAAGCCGTGGTGCGCTTCATCGAGAGCCTGCCGGACGTGCCCGAACTCGCCGAGCCCGACGACTTCAGCGCCGTCCCGGGCCGCGGACTCTCGGCACACGTGCGCGAGCACGCGGTGTTGGTTGGCAACCGCGCATGGATGCAGGACAACGGCGTCGACGGGCTTGGTGACGCCGAGGAGGAGGCAGCTATTGCCGCGGCGGCGCACGAGAGCGAAGGTAGGACGGTGGTGTGGGCCGCGGTGGACGGACGCGCGGTGTGCGCGCTGGCGCTCGAGGACTCGCTCAGGCCCGAGGCCCGCCAGGTGGTGCAGCGCCTGCAGCGCAAGGGCGTCGAGGTGTGGGTGCTGAGCGGCGACCAGCAGCGCACCGTTCACGCCGTGGCCCGCCAGCTGGGCATCGCCGAGGCAAATGCTATCGGCGGCCTCGTACCCGAGGACAAGGTCGACAAGATACGAAGCCTTCAACTCAACGCCACCATCGCCAACAACGACGTGTGCGGCTACAACGTCGACACGCTGAACAAGTACGACGACAACGATGATGACAACGATGACAACGACAAGAAGAGAAAGAAGAAGCGAGCTGTGGTGGCGATGGTGGGCGACGGTGTCAACGACGCGCCGTCGCTGGCGCAGGCCGACGTGGGCGTGGCGGTGGGCGGCGGCACCGACATCGCGATCGCTGCCGGCGACGTGGTCTTGATGCGCAACGATCTGCGCGACGTGCTGCTGATGATCCACCTCGCTCGCCGCACGCACGCCGTCATCGTTCTCAACTTCGTGTGGGCCTTTGTCTACAACGCCGTCGCCATTCCGCTGGCCGCCGGCGTGCTCTACCCCGGCACCCAGTTCGTCATCCCGCCCGCCGCGGCGGGCCTCTCCGAGATCCTTTCGTCCCTGCCCATCATCATCTTCTCGCTCCTCCTGCGCCTCTACCGTCCGCCTTCTCAACAACTGAGCTCCGCTTAAACTTTGGTCGAATCCACGCATTACCAATCGAAACAGAGCCTATTTTTGCAAAGACTTCGATACTCTCCCATACCCGTGCATCCACCCTTCACTCAAGCTTGTGGCACTTTCTCGACCACCTTGTTCTAAAAGGTGAAGATCGGCATTGCAACAACCTTCGGCCGAATTTGGAAATCCGCCGAAACCAGTTCGCTCGAAAAATGCCAGATGGGGTTGGACCAATCTCGATCCACCAAACTCCACATAAAAGCGCTCCCTTGCCCTGCTCTCGTCACTCATCTCTTCACCAATACTCTCACCAGCAAACTTCCTCAACAACCACCCAAGCATGCAACTCTTCCAGCTGCTCATGTTGTGCTGCCTGGCCTTTGTGCTCGCGGCGCCCGCGAGTGCCTTCTTCGACACCACGTGCCAGGAGCTGCCCTTCACCGCAGCAGGCCTCGCCAGGCTCGAGCCCATCAAGGCCTCCAACCTGGGCACTTTCAACTGCTCGGGCTCCTTCACCTACTTCGACCCGTCGACCGGCCACGTGACGGCCACCATCGACCTGCCTTGGTTCAACCAGTCCACGCTCTACGAGCCCTCGTGCGGCTGCTGGGTCACCACCAGCTTCGCCCTCGGCTCGGCCCAGCCGCCGCTGGTCATCTACGAGTACGGCAACGCGCTGCCGGGCCGCGCCGAGGAGGGCTCCTGCCTCGAGTTCGACTGGCCCGAGGACGACGGCAACATCACCCAGTCGATCGCGTTCGGGCGCAACATGCGCTTTGTGCACCGCGACCTGCCTTACATGCGCAAGGCCGACAACACGCTCACGCGCCACCAGTCGTTTTACCGCGTGCCCAACTCGCAGAACGAGCTCGTCGTGGTGCGCAAGTTCAACGAGGCGGGCTACATCGACTGGATCGAGAACCTCGTGTGCTTCATGATCGAGCCTCAGGTCATCTACTGACCCCCAGCAGATCTTCTTGTGGTCATCGCCCTTCCCCACCGAAACCTGATTTTAGTCTTTTTCCCTCCAATAAACAACATTTTGTGAATGGAGAGTGTCTGTTGAAATAGCCGCAGAACTGCGGGACGGCAACGTCACCCAGGTCTTGTAAGAACTACACAATCACCAAAGCAAGGACCACCAGCTGTTCGCTCTTCCATTCTTTGCGCATTTTCTAAGTCGCGGCGCCGGCGTTCTTGCGACTGGCTCCTCGGTCTGCGGTGATGCGGCCGCGCACGCGCAGAGGGAACACGTGGATTCCGAGCCCGTCCGTGCCGTCGTCAGCCGGCTGCCCAGCAGTGAGGGCGCCCTGCAGGTGCGACCGCGAGGCAAAGGCCAGCGCGTGGCCTGGCTGCAGCGTCGCCAGCTCGAGCGCGGCGTGGTCGGAGAGCGGGAGCTTCTTGGCCAGGTAGGTGAACCAGTCGCGCGAGTGGAAGCGGTGCAGGACGGCCACGGTGACGAGCTCCAGCAGCTCGGGCGCGAGAGCCAGCGGGCTCTGGGTGCTCACGGCCAGCCGCATGCCGTCGTGCCGCATCAGCCGCGCCACGGCCACGATCGCCTCGCTGAGGCCGTCGCCCGCCACGCCGTCCATGAACTTGTGGGCCTCGTCCAGCGCCAGCAGCTTGCCGCAGCCACGCAGGGGCAGCGCCCGGTACTGCTCGGTCAGCACCTGAAAGATGCCGTTGGCCTCCTCGGCGGCCAGCAGCGGGTCGGTCAGGTCGGCGATGGCCAGCGTGCCCGGCTGGCAGCTCGCGTATAGATCGGCGCCGTCGGCCCGAATGTCGGCGTTGATGGCGCTCTCGGCCACCAGCGACTCGAGAAGGGCCATGCGCTGCTCGAGCGGGCCGCGCTGCCCGTTGAGCTTGCAGGTCTCCTTGACCTGGGCCAGGAAGTCGGCGAACGCGGGCACGACGGCGTCGCGCTGGTACCGGCGGAGGAGGTCGAGCATGGCCGCCACGTAGAGCTGGTTGTCGCCGTCCTTGATGCGCATGATGCGCTTGATGTGGTCGGCCGTGAGCGTGTGCCACCGGAAGAGCAGCGGCTTGACCGTGCAGTAGTCGCCGTAGAAGGCCCTGCGCTGCCGGTAGAACGAGGGCGAGACCAGGACCACCATCTTGTCCCTCGGCAGGCACGGCGCCGCGCCAAGCTGTCGAGGGGCCAGCAGGCGCTGGAGAGCCGGGTGGGGCGAGATGAGGCCCGTGGCTTCGCACACGGAGGTCACGTTCTGGTCGTAGTGCAGGACCAGCGCGCTCATCGGGGCGTGCAACCGCACGACGTCGTCCTCGAGCATGGGCACCAGACACGACTCGAGCACGCACGCCATCGTGTGGCTCTTGCCGCCGCCTTGGACGCCCACCGTCGCCAGACAGAACGGCTCGTGCGTGTTCAGGTAGATCTCGCTGGCGGAGGCGGAGGCGGCGGTCGGGTCCCAGGCGTGGCCGCAGTTGGTCCGCTCGCCGAGCAGCGCGGCCTCGGCGAAGGCCGACGCGGCGGCCCGGTCGGCCAGAGCGACTCCAGCTTCGAGGGCGCGGGAGCTGCGCTCCTCGAGCAGGAAGCCTCGCACGGCGCCCCGAGGGACCACCGGCGGCGGCACGGCGGTTTCCGGTGCCACCACGCTCACGAGGGGCGAGGGCGGGTCAGGTTCTTCGAAGCGCAGCGGAGGCTGGGCGGCGATGGGCGATGATGTAGCGACCGTCGCCTGCTCGGGTAGGACGACGGGCGGCTCAGTCGTGGGAGTTGCAGTGCGCACCTCGTCTTGCGTGAGCTGCGCGTAGGTGACGATGTCCACCGTCGAATCCTCGATTGCTATCTCTGACGTGAGCCGCACGGGCGGCGCTGCTAGTACTGCGGGCTTTACTGGCTGTACTGACTTCGCTGGCAGCGCTGATTTTGCTGGCTGTGCTGCCTTTGCTAACTTTGCTGGCTTTGCGAGCTTCGGCGGTTTGGGTACTCGAATTTTAACTTTGCTGTTCGGCGCGGGGTCAGCCGGCCCGGTGGGGCCGAACTCGTTGCTAGAGGCCCAGAAGCAGGGCTTGCCTTTGTAGACGCCACGCTTGAACCGCGGGTCCTTGTCCATCGCAGCGAGTATGGTCCGGGTGAACAGCGCGTGGTCGACCCCCGCGGGGAGCCTATTCGCCTTCTTCACCTGCCCGACGAAGCGGTAGAGGATGAAGGGGTGGTGGTTGGTCCGGAGCACGTTGGCCGCGAGGTCCGTACACTGCTTCACCGCAGCGGGCGCCCAGTCGAGCTCCGCAGGTGGCTTGTGCGGCGGGGCGGGGGAGGTAGACGGTAGGACCGAGCTAGCTTTAGCCTGTTTAGCTTTCATGGTGGCAGTGCGACGAGGAAGAAGAAGTGAAGAAACAAAAAGCAAAAACAATGAATGAGTGAAGAAGAAGGAGACGAGACGTGTCCTGGACAGCTGGCCGTGTTGGTTACAAGGTGAAAGGTGAAGAGGAAAAAGAGAATTAAAAATGTAACTGTGTACAGGAAGTGGATGGAGGGAAGGGTCAGAGGGACAGGTTCCTCTCGGTGTCTTCATGCTCGCGGGCCAGCTGCGCAAAGGTGTCCTCCCACCGGCCGATCTTGAGCGCATAGCGCTCCAGCAGGGCGTCCTTGGCGGCCACGGTGGCCTCCAGCTCGGCAATCTCCCTCGTCAGAGCCGTGCGTCGGTCGCCGGTGGTCTCTTCCTCGTGCACCCGCTCGAACTCATGACGCAGCTGTCGGCCCAACTCCACGAACTCGGCGATCATCTCCTCCAGCTCTGCCAAGCAAGCAGCATTGAGAAAATGAAGTTTAAATTGAAAAATGATCTGCGTACGTTGTGGTCGATCCGTGCTGGCGATGAGGTTGATGATCTCGTTCATCCGCTTTTCAAACTGACGTGCCATGGTGACCAAACGCCCCTCTTCCTCCCCTCCGTTTTCCACTTCCATCTGACGCCCTTGCTCTTTTTATTAATAATTTTTTATTTATTTCGATTTATCAGCCACAAATCTTTTTTCTTCGTTCCTTCTTGCATTGTGATCGGACAAAGATGAACAGAGGACGTGGTGGTGGACGAGGGCGGGGTAGCAGCCGAGGAGGTGGAGGTTGGGGTGGCGGCGGTGGAGGCGGAGGTGGCAGCCGAGGGCGTGGCGGAAGTAGGGGCGGTGGAGGACGGGGCCGCGGTCGCGGAGGGCGAGGCGGCCGACCGCGGGGATTTGAAGATTTTGAGAGGAGGATGGAAGAGGAACAGGAAAGGGAAATGCGAGGAAAGATCGATGAAGATGATATCATCAATGAAGCCGAAAGCGAGGAATTGGAGGAAACTCGAGAAATCCACAGCGAGGACGAAGATGAAGATCAAGAACAGGATCAAGATGACGGTGAAGAAGAAGACGATGATGAGGACGAAGAAGATGGCGAAGAGACAGCGGCTCAGCTGGTACGCCAATTTGGCTAACAAATCTGCATCTTGAATCGCTAAATTTCTACATTTCGCATTCTCTGGCGTGATTCTCCAGCGGGAAAGTCTCGCCAGTGTGCCGTTCGAGGTTCTTCAGGTACCCAACTCAGTGCCTTCTCTTTATTTGATTTAATAATTCATGAATAAATTGAATAAATAATTATTCTTTCTAAACTTATTCTTTTATGTTCAGGCTCTGAAAAAGAAGGGCGACGCAAAGGCGCTAGACCGACGCAACGACCCCACGCCCGCCAAAGAAGAGAAGAAAGGCAAGAACCAGTACGGTTTCTCTCTCACAGCCTGTTGAGCTCTTCTTTTCATCTTGGATGTGTTTAGTCACACACCTTGGTGCTCGCCGTTGTTCGTAGGCCGCTGGAGGCGAGCTCGAAGCGGCGACCGCCTCGCTTCATTGACTTTGGGACGATCCCGAGGAACACCCAGCGCAAGTCGCGCGACCCTCGCTTCGATTCCCTGTCGGGTAAGTTCAACGAGGACCTCTTCCAGAAGAGCTACTCCTTCGTGGAGGACTACAAGCAGGAGGAGCTCAACGAGCTCAACGAGCAGCTGCGCAAGGAGAAGGACCCGGAAGAGAAGGAGCGAATCGCCCTCGGCGTCCGTTTGCTGGTTCGTACACATGCACAACCGCACGCACGCACAACGACACACACGCAACACACACGCACACACCACACGCACGCACACACACACACACACACACACAACCGCACACCCACACGAACTAACGAGATCACTGCCAATCGCAACAGCACAACCAAATTGCGGTGACCAAGCGCGATGCGGAGCAGAAGACAAAGAAGACGGCGCGGAAGAAGATGGAGCGCGAGCTGGTGCTGCAGGGCAAGAAGCCCTTCTTTCCCAAGAAGAGCGACGAGAAGACGCTCGAACTCCTCGAGAAGTTCACCGATCTCAAGCAGAAGGGCCAGCTCGACAAGTACCTCGTCAAGAAGAAGCGCCGCAACGCCGCCCGGGAGCACACGCGCATCCCTTGGCAGCGCCGCGCAGCTGGCGGCGAGTAAACAAAATAAAAATCATTTTTATAATTTGTCGACTTGGTGAAGAAAGGAAAAGGGCAAGGAAAAAGGAAATTAGAAAAACGAAGCGTACCACCACAACAAGATGGAGAGCTCAACAACCAGAGGAAGAGTGGCAGGCCTGGTGGCCGTGGTCACTGGTACCATACTCTGAGCCCTTAGGCTTACGACATACCACTAGTGGCCAACTGATAGGACACTCACCCCTTCGCCAACCATGGGTTGTAGGAGCTGGAGGCGCAATTGGGCGCACTATTGCTCAGGTGCTGGCCGACGAAGGAGCCCGAGGTACGCCTATTGTACATATAAGCATGGTGGGAAACTACGAGAACCGACTCTCAAAGGTGGTGGTGGTTGTGGTAGTTGTGGTGTGCGACATGTTGGAGAAGGAGGGACAGCAGACCGTGCAGGAAATCGAAGCCAAGCACGGACAGGACCGTGCCTTCTTCCACAAGATTGATGTCTCTAAGGAAGCCGAAGGTAGGCATGGAGAACACGGACTACTCGATGTGCGTGCGCAACGCTAACACTGCGCATCACACAGTCCAGAGTCTCGTCAAGGTGGTGGTGGACAAGTGGGGCGGCGTTGATGTGTTGGTGAACAATGCGGCGGTGTTCGTCTTTGGCACGATCGAAGAGGTCTCTTCGGACGACTGGGATCGTGCGTTGGGCGTCAACGTCAAGGTACGCCTTGACTCATCTTGCATTAGTGGTGATATTGCTCTGATCTGGTGTTACCGTTTTTTCAGGGCTATGCGTTCATGGCCAAGCATGTGATGCCGCTGATGAAGGCGAAGAGGAGCGGGTCCATCATCAACGTGGGTTCAATCAGCTCGTTCATTGCGCAACCAGCCTTCGTGCCCTACAACACCACCAAGGTAACTCAACTCGCACCGCTAGTGGTGGAGGCCTTTGCTCACACTCGAACTCATTGTTGTTGCGTATGACAGGGCGCCATATTGCAGCTGACTCGCTGCCTTGCGCTGGACTGTGGTGACTGGAATATTCGTGTCAACTGCGTTTGTCCCGGTACGAGCCCCGCGGCGGTCGGTGACACTGACCATGCGCCCGCAGCCAATCGGTACAATTTTTAATCGGCTTTCGTTTTCCGTGCCCTGTTGTTTGTGGGCGCAGGGAGCATTGACACTCCGGCGACGGCCAGCCACGCCAAGAAGCTGGGCGTGACCAAGGAGGAGCTGGTGGAGCAGGCCGTCAAGCAGCACTTCATCAAGCGCATGGGCACCACCGACGATGTGGCTAAGTGCGTGCTCTTCCTCGCCTCGGATGAGAGCACCTTTGTGACCGGCGCAGCGATACCGGTCGACGGTGGGTTCCTGGCACAGTAGAGTGCCCCGAGGTTGACTCTGACCCGACGGATGTCCGACGGACTGCCACCAATCAGAGCGTACACCGCACTTTTAATTTTATTCTGACAAGAGGAAGAATGTGCCGGTGCCATCTGATCACGTGCTCTGACCTTATCTCGACTTCCACCGATCTGTTGATGAACATGTCATCGACTCCCGACTTCTCTTCTTCACTCGCTGACGTCCAGCGTGGTGACGAGGCGCAGATTGCGGTGGTGTCCCTCTTGGACCGACGTGTGGTGGAACAGGAGCGCGGCCTTGCGGTCCTCGCGCAGGTTGAGCACCTCGCCCCGCCGCTTGGCCTTGGCCCGTCGGTTCTGAAACCACATCTGGACCTGGCGCAGGGTCATGCCCAGCTGCATGGCCAGCCTCCGCTTCGCCGCCAGCGAGGGACTCGGGTCGGTCGTGAAGGCCTGCTCGAGTGTGGCCGTACGCTGGGGCGACGAGAAGGTGGTGATCTGGGCCACAGGCCTGGCTGAAGACGGAGAGGTCGTGAGGGCTTGGCGGGTGGTCGAGCCGCTTCTCTCTGGTCGTTGCCGGCGGGGCTCTCCAGGTACTTGGGCGTTGTAGTGGTGCTGTGGCATGTTGATGTAGGGCTGTGGATTGAGAGGGGGAAGGCTGGCAAGCTGGAATCCGATGTGGTAGGGGTAAAGTTGCAGGTAGAGGTGGTGCGAGTCAAGTGTGGGATAGAGCTGAGGGTGATGATGATCGTGATGATGAGGATCATGATGTTGAGGGCTTCTGGTGGGGGTGAGTCGAGGAGTGAAGGTGAGCCACGAGTCGGGGATGATCAAGGGGGTGTCCTGGTGAGAGGGCAGGGGTGGGTTCAAGAGCTGGTGGATGTCCGAAGCGCGCCGGTACGATAGACCTACGTAGGCTGACATGGTGGGCTGCTGGTTCTTATGTGGCTGGCCGGTTTGTTTATGAAAAAGTTGTGGGCACAATATATTACTGGCGCATGTTGCACCCCGCACCCCACAGCGGAGTGGGCGCTTCCGACCTCCTATGACCACTGACCGCACCTGATCACAGCGATGCACCCGAATCCTCAACCACTGCGGGAGACACGTGCGGGTACATCAAAATCGAAGACACTCTCCCCGATAGGTGGACCCTCATGTCGTCCACCCTTATCAAGCTTCATCTGCTCTCGGAGAGCCCGCGGGGCACCGGCCCGAAAGGAGATGCCTGCGGGGTGCGTACCGCGCCACCGCAACATTTTTGGCGTGCCATTTGCAACCATAACATTTCAGCTTTTTCTTAATCTCATGATGGAGGGGGGCACTACCCCGATGCAGCAACTGTACAAGCCCGGCTTCGACGTAACCAACGCACCGTGGGGGCCGGTCAACAATGCCGCAGAAGATGGCGGAGGACCATTAGATGTGGACGGCCTCGTGCGCATGCTGCAGTGGCGGGACGACGAGGGCTCCAGCTGCCTCCACCTCTGGGTCGTCTCCCCCTCCTTCACCTCGTACCGCCACCCCCCCGCCTACCCCTTCGCCGCCCTCGACCACCTCCTCTCGAACTACACCGCCCTCGTCGACCACGACCCGCGACTCCGCGCCGCCCTACGCGCCGCGCTCGAGGATTGCGACATCATGGGCCTCACCCCGCTCCACCTGGCCGGCATCACCGCGCCCAGCTGCTACACGAAGCTGGCCGTGGCCTTCAATGGGAGCCGCCGGCTGTGGCTGCTCGAGCAGGTGGCGCGGGCCGTGGGCGCGGACCCAGCGCCCGTCTCGTACCTGTGGCACTCCACGCCGGGCGACCTGCGCTGGGTCTTCCACGGCACCGAGCAGTCGGCGACGGCCGGGTCGGACGAGAACGACGCCGAGCTGGCCCGGATGCAGGTCGAGCGGGTGCGCGTGTGGGACCGACAGCGCGACGCCGAGGAGTGGCTCGACGTGGGCGAACTGGTGCGACGGTGCGGCCTGCGGGCCTATGTGCCGTTCTACCTGGGCTACGGCGACTACATGCGCTACGTGCTGACCCAGATCCTGGGTGAGGACACACCGCAGGCCAAGAAGCATCGCCTCCTCTACGCCAAGGTCATTGTCGTGTGTCGTGTCGTGTGTCGAGTGTCGTGTGTCGTGTGTCGTGTCATATGGTGGTCGGCTCATTAGAATGGTTGCGGCGTAGGATGCGGCGAGGTGGGACGCGGAACAGAACCTGGTGCTGTGCTGGATCGAGGAGATCAATGGCTACGGCGTGTTTGCGGGCCGCCCCTACCACCAGCACGAATTCATCGCCCTCTACTCGGGTACCAACAACAAAGAGCCATTTTATTTTATTTTATTTTTTATGTAAGAATTAATTATTAATGATTAACCCATGAAATGTGTAGGTCTCCTGATGCCACACGAAGAGATCCAGAACACCGACTACGCATTCGACACCATCATCCCCGGATTCGGCGTAGACGCGAAAGATTACCGCAATATTGGAGGTCGTATCTCACCGCACACGTCTCGCCGCACACGCCCCACCGCACACGCCCCACCGCACACACGCGCGCGCTGCTCACAAAGGTCCATCATGGTGATATAGGGTTCATCAACCACTCGGCCATACCGAACGCGCGTAGCGTGTCGTTCCTGTGGAAGGGCGCCCCGTGCGTGGCCATCGTGGCGCTCCGACCGATCGCGCGCGGCGAGCAGATCTGCTACTCCTACGCGCAGGGTGCCTCCTGGTTCCACCACCCGGCCGGCAGGGCCGACCAGCCCTTCAACGAACTGCTCGGCCGGCCCTCGTTCCCGTCTTCCCTGCCGCTGCCCCGCTCGCCATCGGGAGAGGAAGAGCCAGCGCCGGGCTATCGGTGCGCAACCTGCTTGGCCGCGGAGCAGCAGGTCACGCTGAAGCGGTGCAGCCTGTGTCACGTGTTCAAGTACTGCAGGTGCGCAACCGCACGCACACACGCGCACGACCGCACACGCGCACGCTCATGATAGTGGCAACAACCCTGCAGTGCGAAGTGCCAGAAGGAGGACTGGCCGACCCACAAAAAGACTTGCGCGTTCTTGTCCGGCCGCGCCAAGTAACACAGTGACCAGTGTTTATACTGTACAAGCTCTTTTGCGTTGTGTCGTGTGTGTCATGTGTGTCGTGCGTGCCGTGCGTTGTGTCTTTTGTGTGACGTGGTACACGCATCATGCTCGCTGCGAACCGCCGTAGTTGATCCAGGCGAGGAGCTGCTTGCTGGTGAGCGACAGAATGATGAACCCGATCTCGCCCAGTACGTAGTTCTTCTTGAAGATGCCCCACTCGAACCACTGCAGCCACAACATCACCGCAAACGTGTTGTCCTGCACACGTACGCACATGCAGATGTCAGTCACGAACGCCAGACTCGCCCGCACACGCGCGTCGAGGTGCACGCGTACGAGGATGAAGATGATGAAGATGATGGCCCACACGAAACCGGGCGGGTCGCCTCGCGAGACGGCCTGGAAGAAGTAGCACAAGATGATGAGCCAGCCGCCCAGGTGCGGTACGAAGCCCGAGATCAGCGGCTGCCAGTTCCTCGGCCGCTCCTTGGACGAGTAGCCGTAGTACTTCCAGTTGGCCCTGTCATGTTGTGTCGTGTCGTGTTGTGTTATGTCGTGTTGTGTCGTGTGTCGTGTGTCGTGTGTCGTGTGTGCGCTGGCAACGCACCTCTCGTGCATGGAGCCGAAGATCATGGTGGTGGCGCCCAGGACGAAGATGGCGAAGAGGAGGTGGATCTCGGTGGCGCCGGACAGCTGGGCGCCCATGACGTGCATGATGCTGGCCGAGACCGAGTACTCGAGCCAGCGGAAGTGGTTCTGGTTGCGCTGGAGCCAGTACTTGTAGAGCTGCCACCCGCCGGGCAGGGCGGTGAGGAAGTGGTTGAAGGCGGAGAGCCACAGGAAGAGGGCCGAGTAGTAGCCGATCGGCATGTCGGCCACCTCCCTGGTGTCGGGCACGTAGAAGTCGGGGCTGCTGGCCTGCCAGCTCTTCGCGAAGTCCGTGTACCATGGGAACCGGGAGTCCTTCTTTGTTATGCCAGCGATAATCACACCTGTTCACAAATTAATCAATAAAGGCAAAATAAAGTGCAACATAGAATTACGTTAAGAAATATTGATTGTTATTTTCGATAAATGTTAAAATACTATTTAGAGATTGTTTTGATTTGTGGCGAAAATTGATAATAGTGGCTAAAGGTACCAGTGATCAGCTGGATTAGGCCCACGATGACGTTGAAGACGCGCAGCTTCCAGTTGGGGGTGCGGCTGGTGAAGAAGTCTCGTTCCGGGTCTTCTTCGCGGCCGTACGACATCAACACGATCGAGTTGGCAACCTTGGCCACCGCCTCGCTGGCCTCTGCCCCTTCCTCCTCGTCCGTGAAGAAGTTCGCCACCTTCGTCGCCCAGCGTCCACAGCGTCCCATGTCGGTCGTCGTGGGTCAGTGCGAGTTAAGTACTGTTCGGGCCGCTCTCACCTTCCCCTTGACCTCTCCACGTGCTGGCTAGTCGTCTTTTTCGAGCACTTGAAACCAGATTAGGTAATTGGAAGCTGTCATCGACACGAATGGTGATCACACCGGGCTATGTCCATATCTTGCGATTGGTAGAAAGTAGCGCATGGTCAGCCGCTTACACAATCGTGCCATTGGAGGATATGTGTTACATTGCAATTTCTGCAAGAGGCGCGATTGGCCGAATCTTCAGGCGTTCGTCATGTCGCGAAAGGAGTTGGTGATGTTCGCCAACATGGCTTGAAGCTGCAGCAACCCTCCCTGGCCCTTCGCATTACACCGCACACGCACACGCAGCATCGCACATGAAGCACACACACGCACGCGGGTGAGTGGCGAAAGCTTGGCGCGGTTGTGATGGAAAGAGTCGCACCGAGCTGGCTTCGCCATTGTCGTCGCTGTCGTCGCTGTCGTCGTCCGACGCCTCCAAGTCGTCGTCGTCATCGTCCGAGTAGAGATCCGCGTGGCTCACCTGCCAGTACTGCTCTCTCTTCTGCTCCTTCTTCACGCTGCGCAGGGTCATCGCCCTCTCGCTCACCCGCCGCTGCGTCTCCGCGAATAGTCCCAGCAAATTGTTCCTCGTCTCCTCATCCATCCCCTCTTCGCTTTCATTCTTGTCTTCGTTTTCGTTCTTTTCGTTTTCGTTTTCGTTATCGCCGCGGTCGGCTCGCTCCATGTCGTAGACGAGCTGCGGCCCAAAGTCGCGGAGGCCGAGTCCGTGGGTGGCGTCGACCCGCGTTCGCTCGTGGCCCAGCCAAAAGCACAACCACATCACGTCCTGCAGGACCGGCCGCCGCTCGCCGTGCCCGACCTGCACCCGCGGCTGCATGTGCGGCTGGCGCCGCTTGCGGGTCGTCGTCGGCGCCTCCTTCTCCCACTCCCAGGTCCACTCGAGCAGCTGCCGCACCGCCAGCGGCAGCTCGACCGCCAGCCGCCGGGGCCGACGCGCCATCACATCGCCCGCATTCCTGTCATTCCTTGCGTGACCCGCGGCGAAGACCGTGTGGAGGAGGAGGCCGACGGCGTAGACGAGCTGCGGCGACGAAGCCAACGACGACGAGGGCAGCGGGGCGAGCGACCACCTCGGGCTGGCGCGATCGTCACCAGCGGCGGCCGCGAGGAGGTCGAGCGGGTCCTGGACCTGGGCCCGGCGACGCTGGCGCCGTCGCTCGTCTCGCCGCAGCTCCGGGCAGAGGACCACCGGACCACCACCTGCACTACTACTGTCGGGGAGCGAGCTGCCGCACAGCATTGGTCGGCCGTCGTCCATCACCTGTCACGAGAAAGTTAACTGGATGACACACGCACGACCGTACATGCGCAACCGCACACGCCACACGACCGCACAAGCATAGCCAACGTTGAGGAAAGGCACCAGCCAGTGGTGGCTCTGTTGGATGTCGCGGTAGAGGAGCGCCAGCAGCGAGGCGCGCTCGTTGGTCAGGCGCTCGTCTTCGTCTTCGGGGAAGTTGGCGTCGATGCCGGCCAGAAGAGCGTCGACGGCCTCGGCCGCGTGGTAGGCCATCTGCGCCCGCTCCTCGACGCTGAGCTGCTGGCCCTTGACATGCGTTTCGAGCGACCGCTGCTCAATGACATGGCACACCTGCGAGTCAGCCGCGACATGCACACGCACACGCGCACGCACCACCGCACGCGCACACGCACCAGACATTTGCGGAAGACGAGCCAGGGCAGCTGGCCGGGCCGGAAGCTGATGCCCACCAGCGGCGAGTCGTCCCGACCGGCGTAGAGGGTTCTGTTCGCGCAGAAGAGAAGAGGCCGTTAAACAAAGATTGGGGGAGAAAGGGGAGACAGTCAGTAGTGGTGTGGTACTGGAGCACGGAAAACTCGTGGGCGATGGTCTCGGCCGGGGTGTCGTCCGCGTAGACCTTGACCGTGCACTCTTCGCCGCTACTACTCATCCGCCCACCCAGCAACGAGTACCGGTTCTCAAGGGCCTGCCCCACACACACACCGCACGCACGACACGACACGCGATCAGTGGATCGGGCGCATTTACAGTGTGGGCTGGGTAGGTACGTCGATCTGAGAGCCCAGTGTGACGGCGTCGGGCGGAATGGCCAGCGGTGCGCCGGCGTGCTCCGTAGGTACAGCAGGGCCGCGGATGCGCAGCCAGGCGAGCACGGCCGCGGGCAGCGGACGGGTGCGCAGGTAGGCGTGGGCGTCGTCCCACGGGTTGTCGGCGTAGTCAACCCACGCCAGCCGGCCGAACCCCGCCAGCGTCGGCGACAAACCGCCCAGCCCGCACCTGCTCACATCGAGCCGCTTGAGCTTCGCCGGCTTGCGCTCCTTCGCCGACAGAAGCTGCGGCATGAGTGCGAGGGTCGTGAGCCCGGTGTTGGCCGACACGTCGAGCGAGGTCAGCGACCGCGGCACGTCCAGCGCGAGCTCGGTCAGCGCGTTATGCGACAGATCGAGCGTACGAAGCCGCGACAGCCGCGCGAACGAGCGGCCGTCGTCATTGCCGTCGTCAACCGCAGCAATGGCGTTGTGGTTGAGGGAGAGCGAGAGGAGCGAGGTGAGCGCGTAGACCACGGGCGGTACGGAGTCGAACTGGTTGTGGCCCAGGGACAGGTTCTCGAGGCGCGTGAGCCGCGCGAGCTCGGCCGGCAGCGACGTCAGCCGGTTGCCGCCCAGGAACAGGTGGCGCAGCCCGCCGCCGCCGCCGGTGGTGGCCTGTGCTGACGTCAGCACGAGCGCGGGCACCTGGGCAAAGGCGTTGTGGCCCAGGTTGAGGTACTCGAGGCGCTCGAGGCAGGAGAGGGCCGCGGGGAGCTCGGTGAGGCGGTTGAGGCTCAGGTCGAGCTCGCGCAGGTGCGCCGCCAGGGAGGGCAGGTAGGGCAGGTCGGCGGGCAGGGCCTCGAGGTGCTGGTGCCGCGCCACGATGGCCACCACCTTGGCTCGTTCACCACCGTCATCGCTGGTGCTGGCACCGCTGACCTGCTGGAGCTGGGCCAGGTGCGAGGTAACATCGGTCGGGAAGACCCCGTCCACGAACACCAACCTGGCTTCATCCATTCTCTGATTGAGATTGAGATGATTGTGCGCGATTGGTGAGAGGGAGGGTTGGCATGCCAGGTGCACAACATGCCAGGGAGGGTACTCGTACCTGGGGCCGTGAAGGACACGGGAAGAACAAGAGACACGGCGCACGGGAGCGATGATTGATTTAATCTCTGGAGAGAATATTTTTTTAAAGAGAAAAAAGAGAAAAAGGAAAAGGAAAAAACTAAATAAACTACAAGAATGAAAGCGGGAGCGAGCAGAGGGGGCGGGTTCGGGCACCTGTTCACTACGCAGGCGGCGTCCTACGCCCACTTTAGGCCGGACTACCCCGCGAGCCTCTACCAGCGCATCTGGTCTTTTGCCGGCGAAGGGCGTGGCACCGGTACAGCTCCCCCTCTCCTTGCGGCGCGGGCCACAGCCATGGCTGCCCCCGTAAGCTCAACGTTGCCTGTTGTGGACGCGGTTGCCATGCAGGGCTGGCGGTCGACGTGGGCTGCGGCACGGGGCAGGCCACCAAAGTGCTCGCCACCCACTTTGACCGCGTCGTCGGTATGTCAGCCGCACGACACGACACGACACACACGCACCGCACACACTGTGCTCACCTGTGTGGCTGTGGCTGTGGTGTGCTGTCAGCCTTCGATCCGAGCCCCAAGCAGGTCGAGGCCGCGACCAAGATCGGCACGTCACGTCCCGCGGCACTCGCCGACCAACCAACCAACCATCGGCTCAACCGTGATGTTCGTGGGTGCTGCCACAACAGATAACGTGGAGTACAGGGTGGGGTTGGCCGAGGCGCTGGAGGGCATCGAAGACGAGAGCGTGGACCTGCTGACTACCGCCCAGGCCGCCCACTGGTTCCAGCTGGAGCCCTTCTACCGCGAGCTCGACCGCGTGCTCAAGCCGAGTACGCCATCAACCATAGTGTCGTTATCGTCATCATCATCCACAACTCTCATTCATTATCAAAATTAACGGCCAACGCCATGACAGAGGGATGTGTGGCCATTTGGGGCTACGGCCTTTGCCGCCTGCCCACGCCCGAAGCCGACAAGCTCCTGTCCAGGGTACGTACCCACCAACCCGCCCACTTCAATCAAGGCTGGGCTCATGAGGCACCAACCAAACGCAGTATCACACGGAGACGCTGGGACCCTATTGGGAGAAGAAAAGGGCGCTCGTCGACGCCCTCTACGAACACATTCAGCTGCCCTTCGCCCGCACTCACCGGGAAGGTGCCGTTCTCTCTCTCCCCTGACGACACAACAACTCACCACATGCGGTTGTGGGCTTCCCGTGTCGTGCGTGTCGTGCGTGTGCGGGTGCCGTGCAGTGATCGAGAACAAGAAGGAGGTGCCGTTCAAGCACTTCGTCGGTTATCTGGGCACCTGGTCCTCGCTCAAAACCTTCCGCGAGAAGCACCCCGAGGGGTCCGACCCCGTCCAAGACCTCTGCCCGCAGTGCGTCACCCTCCACACATCTCCAACGATTCATTGTCCACCACAGCCCTGACGTGTGCGTGTTGCGTGCGTGCGTGCGTGCGTCGGTGATCGTGAAAAAAAGGCTGTTTGAAGCGCTGCAGCTGCGCAGCGAAGAGGACGTCATTCATGTCACGTTCCCCACCGTGCTCATCCTCGGGCAAAAGTGAGGCTCCGACTGTACCAGGACTGGACTAAAGGACTGCGACCCGCTCAGTAGTCATCGTCTATTGCGTGCCGTGCGTGTGGTGTGCGTCATGTGTGTCGTGTCGTGTCGTGTGAGTACGACGGGGCTGGGTGGTTGAGTGAGGGCGACAAGTACTGTTTTGCGCGGGCATGACGGACGTGATACCGCCAAACGGATTGAAGCTGTAGAGCGGATTGATCGGCGCCTGCGAAGTGACCTCCTTCAGGTCGGGCAGCGTGCTGGCCGGTGGCAACAGCGCACCTGCACAACGCGACACACACATGTACGTCAAGCTCGTGTGCAGTGGTGCGTGTGCGGTGTGTGTGTGTGTGCGTGGTCGATGCTGTACCGGGCTTCCACTTCCGCAAAAAGTGGAAGATCTTCTGCGCGTTGTAGCAACAGCCCGAGGGGCAGTTCTCCTCGAGGTCGCCGGTCCCTTTGGCCACCAGCGCGTTGGCCTCCTTGTCCAGAATGATGAGCGTCGGGTATTCCTGCAACCCACCCAACCCGTCACCAATTTAGAGAGAGAGAAAGATCTAGAATATGTGGCTGGGCGTATGTACGGTCAACGCTCGAGATATACCCAGGCCACGGAGATGCTGCTCGGCGACACAGTTGTCCACGATCAAGTACACATAGCTGCGCAGCAAGTGAGAGAGCGGAATCAGCGTGTGCGCACACGCTGTACGCACCGCACGCACGCACCGCACGCACGCACCGCACACACACACACACACACAGCACAAACGTAAGAAATATAATAGGAACGAACCTTTCGTTGAGGCTCCGTGCTATCTCCCTGTTGGTGGTGAAAAAGTTGTGCAGCCGCCGCGTGAAGGTGTCGCCGCCGGGCAGGCCGCGCTCCAGCGCCACGTGGAGCAGGATGCGCTTGTCCTCGGCCTGCGCCTGCTCCGTGGCCGCCTCGATTTGTTGCTGCGCCCACCGAGTCAGACCGGGCAGCCCAAGCGACCCACCCGGCACACCGCCACCGAGCACGGTGAATGGGGAGTGTACGTACCGGGAAAGGCACGTCGTACTCGAAGGCGAAGGTGGTGGGCGGAGAGTGCTCCGAGTAGACCTTGACGTGCGGCGGGAAGTTGATCTTGCTGTAGCGCGGAGGCAGGGTGCAGCCGGGCGGGCGCTCGGCATTGTCCTGGTCGTTGGCTCAAGCAGTCAGCACACAACACGTACACGCAACACCGCACGCAAGACACGACACGACACACAGCACTGGGGTTGGTTGGATGTACGGTCCACCAGATGGAGAGCTCTTTGAGCTTGGCTCCCTGCGAGTTCACAAAATTGGCGAGCGCGACCTCGGTGAAGGGGCAGTAGTCAAAGTTGGCGTGGGTCAACGCGGGACAGCAGAGCGAGATGGCCTCCGTGTCCTCCAGGTTCCAGCAGCCCCTGGGCCAGGAAACCCCCAAATGATCAGCGATGTGAGTGTGCGGTTAGTCAAGCGAGTCTAGAACCACACCGAGTGCACACACACGCACACCGCACACCGCACACCGCACACCGCACACGCACACACGCACACACGCACACACGCACACACGCACAGCGCCCGGGCGAGGCACCGCCCTGGCACGATGAATTACCTGAGGTCCAGCCGTTCAAGCCGGGGACAGCCGGACTTCTCCTGGACAGCGGAGAAGAAGAACGTCTTGGTCGCTGCATCCACACAAGGCCAACACACACACCACACACACACACACACACGCCGATGGGATTCACTCTAATTAACGATTTGCCCGGTTTGGAGGTGACGACGCGCGAGTGAACGGGGGGGAATGGCGTACGATCGGGAAGGCCACAGAGGATTTCGGTCAAGACCGACGAGTCCAGCCGGGTGTTCCACCCGATCGCCAAGCGGCGCAGAGTTGCGGCCTTGAACGAACGAACGAACCAGCGAATGCCCCGGTCAGACCACTTTTTTGAGTGCGCCACAACGACGACGACAACGACCGACTGCAGAGTACCTTGGTCTTGATCTGAGCTAACGAAGCCCGGGTGAGGCGAAAGCAGTAGGTAATGTCCAGGTCCTGTGACGTAGAGAGAGATGTGGTGCAACGATGGTCAGCCTACGTGTAAGTAAGGTTGTGTGCGTGGCTGGGTGGCTGTGCCTCAAGGTTGGGATGGCGCGCCAGCAGGTGGAGGAAGGCCTCGTCGTTCACACAGATCCGATACTGAGGTGCACTCAGTGGTAAGTCACAGCTAGCAAAATTTTATTATTTATTATTCATTATTTATTATTATTTTGCTAATAATACTTCATTGATTTTGATATCTAAATGTATTGTTGTAAAGACGTAAAAAAAAAGTATTGTGGAGGCAAAAGGGGCGTACGGGGGCGATGGAGAGGTCGAGAGTCGTGCGCAGCGTGTTGGCGTAGAGAAGCTCCTTGAACTTGCGGCAAGTGAGTATGGCAGCACCCTGCTGGAAGAGGTCCACCTCGTTCAGCACGCGCAGCAGCACATCCGACGGCAAGTCCAGAATAGACCGCGCACCCTCACCCATCTGCTCCTCCATCTGTTTCTTTTACTTAAAATATATATTAAAATTATTTTGTTAATTTTTATTTTCTTTGGCGCTTTCTGTGAATCAGAATTCCTCCATTTGATCTACCCCATCTGCCAGGGCCAAGCACAACTGCAGCTGCCCGCCTTGCATGAGCGAGGGTGGACACTTTTTCCAGGTGGTGGGCATAGCTGGCAAGAAATGAGGTGCCCAATCCCGTGCCCCCAAACATCTGCACAGTACTTAATCATCAAACTCGATCTCACTCCTTTGATGTTGTGTATTTATTTTGCCAGCCTGCCCTTTGTCGTGCAGAAGACACTTCGCCTCATGAATCCTCCGACCTCCGCTACTTCTACTACTTCTTCACCTTCATCTCCTACGTCAGCGGCTGTCGCTGGCGCCTTCGCTTCGTCCGAGCCCAACGACCCCGCCGCCCCGCCAGCCGCAGCCAAGGACTTTGCTGGCGGCGACGTCGACGGGCTGTCAGGTGGCGGCGGCGGCGAGGCGAAGGCGTGGGGCCGTCTGCGGGACTATGAGGTCGAGGAGGCCCAGACCATCAACCACCGCCTCCTCGCACGACGTCAACAGCAGCAGACGCCGGTGGCAAGCAGCGGCGACACGTTCATGCCTGATGGTGACCTCCTCTTCACAGGTACGGACCCGCTGAACTGGTCGTGTCGTCGTGCCGACGTATTCAACGTCGGTGCTGTGCAGATCGCTACATTCAGCGGTTCCTCGAGGAGGAAGAGCGCACGAAACGCGAATCGGCCGACTGGACGCGCAACCTCGACAGCTCCACCGCCCGGTTCCGCGCCGACGCCAAGGAGCGCGACACTACTACGATGCCCACCACCCCTCACCCGACCACCACGTCGCACTACGACCACTACACCGAGAACGACGAAGCCGAAGGCTACGCCGATATGGACTACGGCGACAGCGGCGGCGACCACGGTGGCGCGTCGCACCACCACCACATTGGCGTGCGGTCGAGCCTCTCGTCGGTGAGCCGCGCGCTGGGCCGCAAGGTCAAGTTCTCGTCGTCCAAGATCGCGGCGTCGCTGGGCAGCCGCCGCATACACCGCAAGGACAAGGGCAAGGAGGGTGCCACGGGGCGGCACCACGGCTACTACGCAGACGCAGACTACTACGGGACCACTACAGCTCAGCACCCGCTCTATGACGTGGCCGACGCGGGCCTGCTGCCGGCGTACGTGGTGCCTTCGGGCACGGCCGTGCCCGAGGCCGAGCCCCTGTTCCCGTTGTTCAACGCTGGCCTGGCGCCGGCTGCCGCGCGCAGCAGCAGCGCCATCAGCGACTTTGAGAAGACGTGGGGCCGCGACTCGCCTTTCTCCACCTACGCCTTCGACCAACGGCCAGCAGCACAACCACAACAAGACCTGGTGAACGTGTTTGACTCAGACGATGAGGGTGACGGTGACCTCCCGGCGCTGGAGCATCTCAACCCATGAAGGAGCCCACGGAAGAAACGTGTAAATAGTTTTTGTTATCTTTTCTCTTTTTCACACAAGGTTAGGCTTCTTCTCCTCCTCCGCTTAGCGATCGTCATCTTCTGGCAACGGCTCTGTTCTTTGGTTGGGGGGGGGCTTCACTTCCTTCTCGCCGCAGCTCTGCCGGCGGGCTTCTCCAGCGGCACCTCGGGCGCGTCCGTCGTACCGTACACCCACTCGCCGTAGCAGCCCTGCAGCCTGCGCAGGCCAGAAACGAACAGAGATGTTGGATCGGTTGTGCGTGATGTGTCGTGCGTATGTCGTGTGCGTGTGTACCTCTCGAGCTGCTCCTTCTTCGTTTCTCTCTTCGCGGGCCTCTCCCACTCCTCCAGCGCTTCGAAAAAGGTCGGGTTGGTCTTGCTGTGTTTCCTGTGTAGTAGTTGATTGATGCGTGATTTTTTATCAGTCACCCATCGCACACGAACAACACGACACACAGAATCAAGAGTGCAGACAACCGAGTACGTACTTGTTGAGGTTGATAGGCTGCGAGAGGACCCACAAACGGAGGAGGGCCACCTGGTTGTGCAGGCCCTCGTCGTTCTCGAGGTCCCACTCCCGCACCGTGTCTGGATCGGGCAGGCTGAAGGGCAGCTTCTCTTCGCCGCCGCCCAGCGACGCGTCCCACCCGCACGACGGCTCGTAGGCCTGCGGCAGCGTCTTGGGCACCAGGCTGGGCCACATCGAGCGCGTCACCGTCGTCGTGGTTGACGTTGTCGTCGATGATGAAGAAGACGGCGACGATGTCTTCATCTCCACGTCCTCCTCCTGTTCATCAGGCGTGCTCTCATCTTCGTCGAGCACCACGACCGGCGCGACCTTCCGCCTCTTGGCCACCTTCTTCGCCTTGGTCGGCTCCGCGACCACCACCTGCTGCTCCTCATCGTCAGCGGCGGCCTCGGCCTTCGCCTCAGGTGTGGCGGGCGTGGCCGGCTTCTTCTGGGGCCGGCCTCGCTTGCGCGTGGGTGTGGCGGGCACGGCGGCGAGGAGGCTGTCGACAAGCTTGGTGGCGGTGGCGGTGGTCTTGGCTCTCTGAGCCGCCGCATCGCCGCCGGCCGACTGCTGCTTCTGCCGGGCCTCCTTCTCCTCGCGCAGGTAGCAGTTTCGCAGCCGCACGACCAGCTCCTCCTTGAGGCCGTAGGTCTTCTCGCCCCGGGGCTTCAGCTGCGCCGACAGCTCGTTCTTGGTCAGTGCTCGGAGTCGCTTGTCCATCGCATCAATGTAACTCTGCGATACTTCCTCCTCCTCGTCTTCCTCTTCTTGTTCCCCCTCCTCCTCCTCCTCTTCTTCGTCTTCGTCTTCCACCTTCTTTTCCTCCACCTTCTTCTCTTCAACCACCTTCTGCTCTTTTACCTCAACCTTCTTCCCCTCCTCTTCCTCGTCTTCGCTGTCGGATTGCTCGAAGGCGCTGTGGGTGTGGATGACCTCGACGACGGCCAGCTCCTCCTCGATCACCATCGTCTCCATGGTCCGCAGGCCTGACGAGCCAACGGCGGCGGCGACGGGCGAAGCGGCGATGACAGGGGCAGGGGCGGCGACTCCCTCGTCCAGCAGCAGGCTGTGGATCTCCACGTCCTCGTCGGGCTTCTGGTCGACCGGCTGGGCCGCCTCCTCGGGCACCACGCCCTCCTGCTCGTCAGCGGCCTCTTTGACGTCGGCCGCCACCACTTCCATGTGGTCGATCTCGCTCACGAGGCTCGCGTCGTCGGCGAGGCTGGAGCCGTTGACGGAGCGGCTGACGTCGTCGTCGACGAGGCTGCCCTCCACGCTGCCCGCGTAGCTTTCCTCCTCTTCCTCCTCCTCTCCGAGATTCTCCACCACCGGCTGCAGCAAAATAACACACATGAGTGTCTCGTCAACACAATGTCACGCCACACACACACACACACACACACACATACACACACACACACACACAACACACACACGCAAGCACGGATGGGTGTGCTTACACCGCCAAAGATGCCGAAGAGGTTCGTGAGACTCTTGCGCATGCCGGCCGCGAGTCTGCTCATCATCGGCGGGGGCTTATCTGGTCGCGCGTGCACGGAAGAAGAAGATCAGCCACATCAGAGAGCAAGCAAAAGTGTGATGGCCGTGTGTGGCCGTACCGGCGCCCTCGACCTCGTACTCGCCGTCATCCTCGCCGGCGAGCGGGATCTGCTGGTCGGTGCCGTCGTCGAGCGAGAGGCTGCGGTCGGCGAAGGTCTCGTCCGCTTCGGTGTAGCTCGAGCGGTCGTCCAGCGCCTACTCACCGCCATCACCATCAAAAACGGTACCTCCTCACGTACAAGAAGTGCAGGAGTGGAGAAGGTACCTCGTGAGAAAGATTGGTGGCAGCAGAGGCAAGATCTGAGCCCTCCTCGCTCAAGTAGCTGGCCGACTCTTCTTCGTAGCTGTGTTCGTTCATCTGTCCGCGCAACCAAAAAACAATCAGATAAATTAATCTACCTCGATTAATCGACCTTGGAAAAAAAGACAATAAACAAAAACGATGATACCTCCAATCCTCTGGATGCAAGTGGATGTGTTGCTCGAGCTACACTCTTGTTGACGGTTTGGGCGTAACGGCTGGCAAAAGAGGCAACGTACTCCGCATAAGCGTCGACACATACCACAGATGCCAAAATATGGCGCCAAAAATCTCAAGGCTTTCGCGCCATTTTGCTGCGCAACAAAACGACCACAAATTGCGGACATCGAGAAGATTTCCGTAGAGAATCAAGAAGGGCACCTGCTGATTTTAGGGAGGCGATTGGGAACGCAAGAATGACCGATAAATTAGAATGGTCGTTCGCTCACAGCGAGGGCAAATGTGACGTCGTCTACGTTGAGGAGCAGTACGTACCTTCCCCTCCCACCTTCCACGTCGAATGCACAACTTAAATGTGTTATTCGATTTCGCGGCAGGTCCGTGGTGTCGAGTGGTGCCGACGGGCAGGTGCGAAGGTACGACACGAGCCCCGAAGCGCTCGCAAGCTTCGCAGACCCCAGTCTCCTCTACGACCACGACAGCGAAGCCACCTGCCTCGCCGTCTCCAAGGAGGTACCAATAGTCTTCCCACCACCTCGTCGTAGTCATGCTCACACACGCATTGGCGGGCGCGCCTGCCAACGCCTTGTTGCAGAGGGAGTGGATCGCGGTCGGGTTCAGCGACAACCAGGTGCACCTGCTCAAGTACCCTTCGGGCGAGTTCGAGAAGATCCTCATCCGCCTGCAGTGGCCCGTGCGGCACGTCGCCTTCAGCCCCGACGGCCTCTACCTGGCCGTCGCCGGCGAGTACGGCTCTCCTCTCTTCTTTCTTCTCCCTTTGAAGTCCATTACTTAATAACCAGCGGTGTCCAGGGGGAGCATCAAGCTGGTGAATCTGGTGGACAATACGCAGGTGACGGTGTTCAAGGGCCACCAGGGCGCCGTGCGCAGTCTGGCGTTCGACCCGCGGGGTGACTACTTTGCGTCGACGGGCGCCGACGGCACCGTGCGCATCTGGAGCCTCGGCGACTGCGCGGAGGTCAAGTGCCTGCCTATCTTGCCCAAGGGCGAGCCCGAGAGGTAACAACTGCATTGTTGCATGACCTGTTACAGATCACGCTCACGCATCGCACAACGCACACGCACAGTCCGCCTCTGCTGAGCCGACTGGATTGGCACCCGCACGGCGCGCTCCTTGCAGTTCCCACCGACGACGGTGTGGTGCTGCTTGCACGAGACACCTGGGAGGTGTCCGGCAAGCTGCAGGGCGAACACAAAAAGGTACAATAGGCTGGTATTTAATCAGTTCAGAGTTAGTTGAGATTAATGCTGGTTGTCAAATCCATTACAGGGAGTCAACTTGTTCAGGTGGTCGCCGAACGGGGCGTACGGTGCGAGCGCCGGCCATCAGGACAAGACGGTCTTTGTATGGCGGGCGGAAGGCGCCAGCTGGGAGACGATCGACAAGGTCACCTGTCGCAGCGCCGTACTGGGCCTCTCCTGGAGCCCGTCTGCCAACGTCCTCGCCCTGGTACACCCCGCGCTCATGCATACACACCACACGCACACACGCACACACGTCCGCATACACACTACTGGCGCCACTCGATACGTCTCCTGACGCGAATGGCGCCTGTGCCCAGATCAACGAGAGTGGACAGTGGAGTAACTGGCAGGACGTGGTGCCGTCGGCGTGGCCCAACCCGCACGCGCCGCTCGGGGCGAAGGAGGGCGAGGAGGAGGAGGACGCGGTGGTGGTCGTCGCCAGGCCCACCGCCTCCTCGCTGATCGCCGACCTGTTCGACCACGAGGACGAGGCCGGCAACCAGGAGACCACCATCACCAAAAAGAAGATCAAGGGCACCGGAAAGCCCAAGAAGAGCAGCAAGAAGAGCAAGAACGCTGATGATGACGACGAGCTGGCCGGCATGTTTGACGATGAAGCCGAGGAGGTAGACGGTGATGGCGAAGAAGAAGAGGAAGAAGGAGAAGAAGCCGATGAGGATCGTGAAGGTGAAGGAGAGGACCTCGATGGTGACGAGGAAGCGTTTGGTGGGCTCGAGCACGACAGCATGGATCTGGCGGCGGCTGATGATGGCGGAGCAGAGGGCAATGCGGAGAAGACGACACGAGCCGCGGCGCCCGCCGTGCGGCCCTACCACGTGGTGCGCATCCCGCCGATGAAGGCGCAGCCGGCCTTCCAGCCCAACTGCGGCCAAACCATCGAAGCCAAGCGATATTTGGGTGCGTACCATTGTGTGTTTGTTATTTTTGCATTTCACTGCAACATCGCCACATACAACTCTGGGTGGCTTATCGCGTGTGTCTGGGATGATGTGCAGCGTGGACGCTCTTTGGCCTGATAGAGTTCACCAAGGAGGTTTCTTCGTCTTTCATTGAGGTACCGCGTTGGCGTGCGTGTGTGCGACTGCCTGACTTGACGTTGCCTGTGTATTGCGGCTTTTGGCCGGCAGGTGGAGTTCACGGACACGTCGGCGTACAAGAACTTCAGGATGGCCAATCTGTACAACTTCACCATGGCGGCCATGGGACCCCAGGGCGCCCTGTTTGCCGCCAAGAGTGGCGAAGGGTACCACACCGATTCCTTCTTGTCGTTCGGCTCTTGCGTGCTTGCCTCTATCATTTGAGTAGGTCTTCAAAAAGCCGACTCACCACCGCCATATCAGCTTCCCGGCCAACATGATGTTCAGGCCGTTCAACAGCTGGGCCTCCAACTCGGAGTGGAGCATCAAGATGCCCGTAGACGAGGAGATTGAAGGTGCTTGCTTACCCGCCACTCTCACCTTCATGTAGAACACCGGCTTATCCAATTCTGACATGTCGACCGCACGCACACGCACCACCGAACACGCAAGCCATCACTGTTGGTGATAGCTGGTGCGCTGTTGCCACCAACGCCGGAGCGCTGCGGATACTTTCGACCGGCGGCATACAGCTGTCGATCCTCGCGCTGCCCGGTCCCGTGGTCGCCATGGCCGCCCACGAGAATCTGCTGGCCGTCGCCTACCATCTCACCCCGCCCACGCGCGGTACCACCACCCATCCGTGCCCATACCAACCACCGGAAATTTCCCACATGGCCCATCGACGCAGCCGCTGACTTTGCCTCTGCTGAGCAGACCGACAAAACATCGAGGTCAAGCTGCTGGACGTGAAGAAGGGCGAGTGCGTAGCGACCGTGCCCGTGCCATTGAACGTGGCGCGCGCTACGCTCCAATGGATCAGCTTCTCCGAAATGGTTCGTGCGCGTCTTGCGCTTTAGCACTCACTCGCCGCGCAATTCATGACTTGTTTGTTCACGTGACAAAAAATAGGGCACATTGCTGGTGCGGGACTCGGTCGGGCAGGTGTGCGGCCTGTTCAACAGCTTCGGCTGGAGCTTCGTGCCAATCTTCAACTTTGCCGAGCTGAACGAGGCCGGTACCGGTTCCTTTCTCGCTCTGGCCCTCTAGGTCTACTGCTGGCTCAGTGTCTCGTCGTTGATGATGGTCATCGTCGTCTCTGTGTTATGGCGTGGTGGCAGTTGATGAAGAGGCCGACCCCAAGTCCGAGCAGTTCTGGATCATCGGCCTCAAGGGTGAGCAGTTGCTCTGCGTCCCTTGTGATCCCGACACCGAACAGCCGCCGGTCGATGAGAGGCCAGGGATCGTCGGGTTCCCGCTGTCGATTCCGCTCGTCAAGGACACCCCGGTCGGCGTCGACGAGGAGCGACATCTCAAGTACGCCTCGCTTCGTGTGGTGTGTGTCGTGTGTGTGGCGTCTGTGTTGTGTGTGCTATTGATGCTGACCTGACTTGACACAACAGAAACAAGCTGCTTATCAACTACAAGAAGTTTATGGCGGAGGCCAAGAGCAAGGACGAGAACGTCGAACTGGCGCAGAAGGAGATCATGAACGAGCAGGTCGACGCCGACAAGCATCTGCTCGGCATGATCCAGAAGGCCTGCCAGTACGTGCCACTCTTGCCTCCGCCGCCTCCTTCACTCACCCCCGCGTACCTTCTTGTTCAAACCAGGACAACAAAGGCGGCGCGCGCTCTCGACTATGCCGCGCAGCTGAACTTCCCCAAGTCGCTCGCCATTGCCGTCCAGCTGGCCGAGAGGAGCTCGCTCACGGTGTGTACCGCCTGTGTCTCCCTCCCTGTGTCGGGTCTGACAAACCGTGTGTCGTGTGCGGTGTGTGTCGTGCGTGTCATGTGTGTGCGCGCTCTCAGGAGTTGGCCAGCCGCATGGACGCCCTGCTGACGAAAAAGGCCGAGCAGCTCAACCCGGCAGCGGCGAAGCCGCGGAAGGACCAGGCGGAGGCAGTGGCGGAGGTGACGAAGGGCAAAGCGACCCCCAAGGCCAAGCCGGCCCAGGCGGACGATGATGAAGTGGAGGCGGTGGAAGACGACGATGACACGCAGCTGAGCGTTCCGGCGCGACGGAAGGAGAAAGTGACCGCGGGGAAAAAGAGGACCAGAGACGAGGTGGACGAAGAGGAAGAGGAGGAGGAGGAAGAGGAAGAAGTGGATGAAGACGACCTGAGCGACTACGAGCGGAACAACACGAAGAGGCGCAAGGTGGTTGAGGAGGAACCGAAGAAGAAGAAGAAGCCGACGACGACGAAGCCCCTCACCGAACACGAGAAGGGCCTCATCTCGGACATGTTTGGCAACGAAGAGGAGGAGGACACCCTCGGCCAGTGAGAGGTGAGACCACACACACACACGTGTGCGGACGGATTGGATCTCGCCCAGCACAGCGCAGCGCACAACATCACATTTCGCACCATACCGCACATGCCCTACACACGACAAACATGTTGTGGAGTGTTCCGAACACAAGCATTTCAACTATTTCGCGTTTTCTTTTTCGTCTGCCACGACTCCTGGCGCGGCTGGAGAAGTCTCTTGTCTGAGAGAGCAGTAGAAGGAGGAGGAGAAGAAGTAACAAGAAGCAGCAGTCAACAAAGGAAGGAGAAAGATGCGTCGATTACGAGCAGCCATGATGTGCAAACCAGGGAGACAGGTCCTCATGATGACGGGGGACGGTTCCGGGACGCTGGCCATGGTCAGGCCCCTGGGTGTGTTGTGGAGCTCACCTTGCTCCGCCCCCAGATACCTCGCCCCGTCGTCAAGGGTCATGTGTTACTCCACCCCGCCCCCACGTCTCTACATCAACGTGGGCATGGCCTTGGCGACAGCAGCCTGCTTCAGCTACATGGTACTTCCCCCAAGCTGACTCTCCTTTTCGTAAGTTTCTTCATCTGTTTCTTTCTCAACCAAGCAAGGCGGCGCAGGGCTGGGCCTGGCACAGGTCAACCCGGACGGGTGTCAGTCTGGAGGTGAAGAAGATGTTCAACAGAGGTGATGGTGAGCGACTCTACAAGGAGAAGCTGGCCGCGTTTCCTGAGATTCAGATCAAGCGAGACTCTCGCTTGGGTCTACTGCGTTGGGAGCTGGACAAGCCAGGCCAGTTCGTGCTCGTAGGGGACCAAAGGCAGCACGAAGGAGAAGAAGACATGGCGAGGGCCGTTATGACCCACCTAAAGGCCCTGGAGGGCCGCACCAACGTTGCCCTCCTCAGCCTGTCGGGCCTAGCCCACCATGACGCCACCAAGCCAGTGTGGACGCAGATCGTAGGCAACCACCTTTCAACAACCTTCGCTCCAAGTCCAGAGTACGCTTCACAACCAACCCACTGTGGTGACCGCTTAACAGACCTGTGTGTGGGTATGCAGGGACTTGGCTCTGGGCCTCAGAGACGCCGTGCTAGAAGTCGGACAGTGTGGACCGCCACCACTGATCGTGATCGACGGCGCGCATGCTGCCGTCGTGCTCCAGGAGTTCAACGGCGCAGCTGGAACCGCGCCAGCGCTGGTCACTGAACTGGTCCAGCTTCATAAGGCCGGCCACCTCAGCATTGTTCTGTTCAGCGCCTAAGCACGTTCATCACCCTGGAGCTGGATGGCAGAACATACATCAAGATGAATATTTAATTTATTTAATTTATATAGCTCCACACATGCCCATAGAGAAGCCCTGCAGTGAGTGACCACGCATCAGCAGCGGTTCTTCTCGCTTGAAGCACGGATGGCCCAGGTGAGCTCGAACGTCTTGAAGGCGTCGGCGTACGACGACCGGATGCCGCTGGCGTCGCCCGTGGCGATGGCGTGCAGCCACGCCGCCAGCTCCTTCTCGTAGAAGTTGTCTTCGCCCTCGGCGAACGTGATCACCTCCTCGGTCTGCACATTCTCGGCGCCCTGGTCGCGCGAGACCAGGAGGCGGGCCCGGCCGTAGGGGTCCTCCAGGCGGATGCGGATGCCGTCGCCCCACACCTCGATCTCGCACTCGTAGTGGTCCCCGTGCAGCATGACCCCATGCGTGAGCGACCCCACAGCGCCTGCACATATCGATCATATATATATATATGCACAACATATATGCACACTTATGTTGGTGAGAATGTTGGAAAGAATGTGGAAAGAAAGTTGGGTGGTGGTCAAACCAGACTCGAAGCGCCAGTGGGCGGTGGTGAGGCGAGGCACGCGGAACTCGGCGGGCAGGCCGGCCTCGACACTCTTGCCCGAGACGACGTCGTTGGGCAGGAGGCTGAGGAAGCCCGGACCTGCGTGATCGTTGTCGCTGCTGGGCGCGCCGATGGCGATGGCGGTGAGGGTGTCGAGCTTGACCTCGCCGGCGATGAACCGCGCCAGGTCGGCGAAGTGCGTGCACTGCTCCACGATCGGACCGCCGGACAGGCGCACGTCCCACCTACCCCCGCGAAGGTGACGTCAGCAACTAAGCGAATGCGAGAGAGCGAAAGCAAAAACGAAAAACGAACACGAAAAACGAAAACGAAAAACGAAAGCGCAAGAGAGATACGGACCACATGGCCTTGGCGATGGCGGGGTAAGCGGTGTTGTACTTGAGCAGCACGGCACGAACCGCAGGCGCCTGAGGGTGCGCGGCGGCGTGCTCGGCCAGCAGTTGGCGCAGCTTGAGCACCGGCGCCGAGTAGCGGAACATGTACCCGACCGACACCACCACGCCGTGCTCCGCCGCCAGTCGCTCGAGCTCATCGCGCACCTGCGACACCAGCTCGGGCGGGTGCGACGAGATGGGCTTCTCGACAAAAATGTGAACTCCGCGCCGCGCGCACTCGAGTTCAAAGTCGAACTTGGCGGGCAGGCCGTGGGCAAAGGGCGGCAGGCCGATGATGACGGCGTCGGGCCGGGCCTGGTCGAGCATGTCCGTCACGCTGCCGAAGCCCTTGGCCTCGCCAAAGACCTGGGGGCTCTTGGCGCGCCACCGGTCGGCGACGGCGTCAGCGCGGGCGGCGTTGACGTCGGCCACGCCCACGATTCTGAGGCCCACGGGGGCCAGGCCGCCCCAGCCCTCGCCGCGGCCGAGGAGGTCGACCACGCGTGCATGGTTCCAGGGCACTGCCACCGTGTCGCTGCCAAAGTTGACTTCGCCGGCCCCGATGAAGCCCAGACGCACGACTCGTGCACTCCCCTCCTGTGGCTGTGTTTGCATTGCTGTGTGTTGTGTTAAGTGGGGAACTTGAAGGAAAAAGTGCGTCTCTGCGCCGGGATAATCGTGGCTTCGCAGGGCAAAGCCGGATTGGTGGACGTTTAATGACTCAGCGGGCCTCATTGGACAAGACGAAACTAGTTTGCGAAATTATCAAAAATTTGTTTGGCGGCCAAAACAGCTAATTATTTGGGTTAAAATAGTATTTACATTTTTAGCGGCAGACTCCTCTCGTACCCCTGTGGCAGCGCTCCTTCCTGCTGGGCGGCCCACGGACCTGAAGAAGAGGAGGTGAGGGGATGGACCACGTGGCGCACTCGGCTTCTACACTGGAGCCGCAACGTCGGCATAGCTAGCAAGTACCGGAACTGGAAGGACAAGAGATGGGAATGCCCTCGTGCGTAGTGACGGACTCCAAGCCGCACGACTCAGCCAGCCTTTCTGCCAGGTGGGGCGTGGTGTGGGCGGCCAGAGAGACCAGGGTCAGCACGAGCACCACCTGAGTGAGAAACGAGCACATTGGGCTTTGCTTTTGTCTCGACGCAGCTTTCTTCGGGTAGTAAGGTAAAGCCCCGGCGGCCGCAACAGGCGCACCTGGGCACTGTTGCAAACTTGTGTATCCACCAATGAGGGGTTTGCAGGCAGCTACGCGACATTGTGGCCGACAACGCCAACTACAAGTGTCTACAGTCCTGCCCGCCAATAAAATCCAACCACTGAGCGAAACCGCCAAAGAATAAACCAAACAAAGGCGGACGCCTTTCCGTTGCGGTAACTGAAAACAGAATAATCTTCTGTACCGAGAGCAAGGAGTGCGAGGAGCAAAGCAAGGAAGGCAAAGGATGGACACCGACATATGCGAGTTTTTGGACCCCATTTCGCTGACTCCCATGGTATGTTCTGAACATACATTTCACTGCTGCATTCACACAACCGCTCCTCACACTTGCGCTGCGCCAGGAGGAAGCCATGGTGACTTCCTGTGGCCACTCCTTCTCCAAGTCCTCAATCTTGCAATGGCTTGCGTCGCATCCCACCAATGCAAGGTGCCCCGTGTGCAACGCCACCCTCAAGCCCGACGGGCTGGCTCCCAACTGGGCACTCCGCTCCGCCATTGCCAAGTACTTTTCCAAATTGCAAAGCCCCCCCCCCCAAGGAAGCACGAAGCTCACACAACTCTCGGACTGTGCTTGATCCAGGTTCGCGCCAGGTGTCACCAGTACGGCGGGCTCGCACCTGAGTTTCGATACGAGAGGGCAAGCAGAGGCGAGTGCACCACTCATCACCGTCAAGCCCTGCAAGAACGAGAAGGCCTGTACTCGTACGAGCATTGCCATCCATGAAGCGACCTGCAGCACACAGCAATGGAAAACTGACCATTCCTTCATGTGTAGAGCCAACCACGTATAGGACAATCCAGATTGACGACGCCCCGCCCACAGGTTCGCACGGTTGTGGCAACTGCGCTGGAGAGGGTCCCCAGAGTTGTTGTTGCTTCGACTGCACGCACAGCAACTTGTGCCAGGTTGGAAACGCGTGCTACGACGAGGAAGAGGGGCTGAGCGTTGTCTGCTTCTGCTCGCAAGTGCTCTGTCAGACGACCTTTGGCCGTTGGAGCAACTGGTGGACACGCTCAATCTGTGGTACCCCCTTCGCATTTCCCGATCCACCTGGTGTGTGGCTAAGCAAGGCGGTGGTTTCTTCAGGTGTCATGTTGCCGCTCTTCTTGGTGCTTTACCTCTGCCTCGGCACCATTGATCTAGTGCTGCTGATTGTCGTGTTCTTCGGGGTGGGCGCGCCGCTCGCGCCGCTCTTCGGCTTGACATACCTTTTCTGCCCTGTGGTCAACAAAACTGCTGATGATGTATGCGGCAAGCAGTCTTTCTTATTTGGCAACTTCTGTAGCCGCTATGCAGATTCATAAAGGAAAACTAATGTATGCAAGCCTCTCCACCTCCCCTTTGGAACTCAAGCTTCTGTTCAGAGCTTGCCCTTGCCCTTGCCTTCCTCCTCCTCCTCCTCCTCCGCGCCGTCGTCATCGCCCTTGATGTCTTCACTTCCGGCATCGTCATCATCACTGCCATCGTCACCACCATCTTCGCTCACCACCCGCTCGGCGTTTTCGCCGTCGCTGCTGGTGCTGCTGACCTCGTCCTCTTCGTCGTCTTCATCTTCGTGCTGCCACCTGCCGGCCCAGCGCGACCCCGTGCCGCCGTACCTCAGCGAGGTCGACCAGGGCGACACGGACTCGGGCTCGGGCTCGCCCCTCTCCTTCCGCCGCAGCTCCTCGTCGTCGTCGCGCCGCTGCGCCTCGTCGAGGCCCTGCTCGCGCCGGGCCAGCTCCTGGGCCTCCTCGGCCACCCACTTCTGGTATTCGGCCGAATTCTCCGCCATGTGGCGGAAGAACACGCTGTCCTCCCGGTCGTCGGGGTCCTCCTTCGTCTTGGCCTTGTACCTGGTGCCCTCTCTTTGTCATTCATCATTCTTGTGTGTGCGTGTGCGTGTGCGTGTGCGACACATGTGTGCGGTACGCGCGTGTGCGTGTGCGTGTGCGGTGGTGCGTGTGCGGTGGAGGGGCATACGAGGGTGAGGAGTAGTCGAGCGTCTTGGACCAGAAGCCCATGAGCGAGGAGCGGCAGTTGGGGAGCTGCCGGTTTTGGGTGATCTCCTTCGTGAGGAAGTCCAGCAGCGGCTTCTTGTAGCGCTGGAATCCCAACTCGCCCAGGCTCGTCAGGATGCGCGCTGCACGTCTCAACGGTCAACGCACACAACATCGCACGACACACATGACACAAAACATCGCACACAGCCCCGAGACGGAGTGGAAAGGGTACTGATGCGGAGGTTGTTGTGGCCGCTCCAGTTGAGGTTGTCGTAGCGGTCGCGCCAGATGCCGGGCCACCTGGCCACCTCGCCCGTCACCTCCGACACCAGGCGCAGGCCGTAGAAGTTGAGCATCAGCCTGGCGGCACATGCACGAAAAAATTAAGCACCACCACGAAATGACACCGCACATACGATACACGTGGACACGACACACACGACACACGACACGACACACACACACGACACACACGACACACAGAGACGACGCACCTGTACGATCGAATGACGCGTGTGGCGATGTCAAAGTCCTCCCGCATAAGCTTGGCTTCCGACTGCACGGCCGAAAAACCCGGGCTCCGGCGAGGGTGAGCACCACCAGTCCGAAGAAGAAAAAAGAAGAAAGAAAAGAAGAAAGAAGAAAGAAATGGGTGAGGGTTGAATGCCCTGTGTGCCTTGGAGAGGGCCTCGGCGTCCCAGTTCACGCCGGAGGACTCGAAGACGGGGAACAGCCACTGGATGAACGAGTGCTCGTATTCCAGGCGGCGGTAGTCAGCCCACCAGTAGTCGTGGAACTGTTGTTGGTCGTGGCGTGTGCATGTGCGGTGATGTGTGTGTGTGTGTGTGGTGGCGCAAGTTACACGAGAGTCAGCAAAATGGTGTTGCTGGGTTGATGTGTTGCATGTTGTGTGGAGCGTGGCACACCTGGTGAATGTAGACACGGTCCGGGAGGGAGGGCGACTTGCCAGAGTAGAACATCCAATTGATGCCCGCACCAGCTGGGGCTCCAGTGAGGTCTGGTCACAGAGCAATAGTAAATCGTATAAAAAAATTAGTTTTTACTCGTAAATATAAATAAATATTAATTGCTAAATAAATAATTACCGGATATGCACGTTCAATTTTATAAATAAATTGATAAATGAATAAAATGCAGGGGAGGAGCGTACCATGACGAGGACCGCGGCTGTAGCGCGAGGCGTAGCCCCCGTACACGACTGAGGCCATACCTCGCACCTGCTGGTTGGCATTTGCGTTGGCGTTGGCTTGCCGCGGTGGCATGGACATGAACACGGGGGCGTCGTCATCATCGTCTTCGTCTTCGTCCTCTTCGTCATCGTCCTCGTCGTCTGAGTCGTCTTCGTCTTCATCTTCGTCCCCGGCCTCGGCCTCGTCATCTGCGTTGAGCGTAGTCGCACGACGTCGCCGGCTTGATGGGGTGTCGGCCGGCTCCACCATCTGCGACGGCTGCGAATTCGCGTTGGCCTGCACATGGGCGTTGGCGTTCGCGGTAGGGGTCATCATCTCGTTGGTGGTAACCTCATCTCTTCCTTCCTCCTGTGTCGAGTTCTCCATCTGGCGGCGCCTGGTTGCAGTTATGTGGGTTCGTTTTATGTATTTATTTAGGATTTATTAATCAATTTCTTTTGTCCTAATCGGCCGTTAGAGGAATGTGATTTTCTTGTGTGGCTCGATACCGACCACTTGTGGCAGAGATGAAGTACGGCGGTGCCACAATGCGGCCGAGGCTGGGTGTGTCGGGGCGGTCCAAGCGCGGCACTTTCATCAAATGGAGCATCTTGCTGAGCGTGCTGGGCCTCCTCTCATTCTACCTCTACGTCATGTTCGCGACCTTCCGAGGTGGGGATGCTGGCAGCACCCACCCTGTCGCCGATGCTCGCGAGCCGCAGGTGATCGATCCAAAGAAGCAGCAATTGGATGAAGCTCATAGAACCGATCCCATACTTCAGCGCAAGCGCAAGATCATCCTCTCCACTGGCCACGGTATGCTCTCTTCCACAATCTCTCTTCACCCCCCCCCCTCTCTACAAAGCACATCTCTGCTTTGCATCTCCATCTCCATCTCCATCTCCAACACTTCATCACCACTACCGTGTAGGCAAGTGGAACACGGGCGTGTGGCCTGCGTGGGGCTATGGCCAGACCGTGACGCTGAACTGGGCCGCCGCGGGCGTGGAGGTGAACAAGAAGTGCTCCATTGAGTGCGAGATCTCGCACGAGGGCTCCGCGGGCTACGCCGACGCCGACGCGGTGGTGATGGAGCTCACCAACCACCCCAAGTTCGGCTACGACCGCGACATGCCCATCGCGTGGCCCGAGGAGTCGCGACCCAACCCGCGGCACTGGTACACGGCCAAGGTCGACGGCCACAAGGTGCCTACCAACCTGCCCCTCACCGGCATCTTCTACTACGAGGCCGTACAGAGCTACCCGGGCTACACGGCCAAGGACCCGGCGATCAAGTCCCGCATCGACTTCTCGATGACGCCCGACCTCGACTCGACGATGCCGGTCACGCTGATCTGCCCGTGGGGCCACACCGTGTCCGAGTACCTGCGACCGCCGCCGCTCAAGCCATCGGAGCGCTTCATCGCCTACTTCAACGAGCACGGCATCGCGCCGCCGTTCCTCAAGATCGTCGAGGAGCTGTTCGCGGCGGCCGGCGACCGGATGCACAGCTACGGACCCTTCCGGAGCAATCGCGACATGCCTGACGAGGCCGGTACGCACACTTGTGGCCGTGTGTGTCGTGTGTGCCGTGTGTCGTGTGTCGTGTCGCTAATGTTGTTTGAACACATACGTGCTGTAGGCGGTAATCCCTATCAGCTCTCGCGTAGGATCAGCTTCATGGGCACCTACAAGTTCGTGCTCGTCACGGAGGCCCTGGTGGAGGACAGCTTCATCGCGCCCGAGTGGAGCCACGCCATCCTCGGCGGCGCCGTGCCCGTCTACATCGGAACGCCCAACATCGGCAACTTCGCCCCCGGGCCGCGCTCGTTCGTTGACATCCGCGACTTTGCGTCGGGCGCCGAGCTGTGGGAGTTCCTCCTCCGGTTCGACAACAACGACGAGGCCTACCAGCAGTGGTTCGACTGGAAGGCGGGCGCCAAGAAGGCCTACAAGGCCGACGAGAAGAGCCAGCACGCCGTCGGCACCGGCGAGGGCGTGCACGTCGATGACATCGAGGCCGAGGTGCTCCGCCGCCGCATGGTGCGGTGGTCCAAGCCCGTCGTCGAGCGGCTGCACGATCTCGATGCGGAGGCCGCCGCCGCCTTCCACGACACCGCCAGCATGGCTTGGCGCTGGTTCCGCGCCCACATCGACAACTGCGTCCACTACGCCGAGTGCCGCCTCTGCGAACTCGTAACCAAGCTCACCTAACACTCACACTCTCGCTCTCGCTCTCACTCTCGCTTCTCTTCTCTTCTTCACTTCACTCTCTTCTCTTTTCTTCTCCTCTCCTCTCACTTTACCTCATCGAGGCAAACAAGAATGGCTCCGTGATCTCACGGGCCGTGTGCACACACAAACGGCCACCTGGCTTCTTGAACAAGAAGGTGCTGGTGTCGACAATTAATTGAAGGGCCCAACAACGGTCACGAACTCGCCCGTAGCAACAACACATCAACAGCAACATCTCATCTTGCCAAAAAAGAAGAGAGAAGATCAAGGCGGGTGGAAGTCCGTGAGTGACAGGACAAAAGGAGAGAAAAAAGAGGTATGTTGCGGTAATTTGGGAGCAAAATCAAATCCCTCCCCTCTTATTTGCTGTTTTAATCTGATGATTAACGGGCCTTGCTTCAGGGAGGGAGAGGAAAAAGGCTCCTCTTCATAGAAGAGGCCCATGGCAGCGCCTTCGCCCTGTTCGAGATGCGTCGAATTGGGCCACGCGAAAGCCCAAGCGAAACAGTGCGCGCAGGGCTTCGAACAGCACGCCTGGCGTTCGGGCATGTGTAGGAACTGCAACCACTCCAAGAACTGCAGCATCCACACACAGGCCTCAGGATCAGATCCCTCGATCGGTGGTGCATCACCTCCCCCAGCCTCGGCCTCGTCTTCTGCACCGCTGCAGACCACCCCGCGCGGCCGTGCCTCGGCCAAGCCGGCGCTGTCGTCGTCCATGTCATCGCCACCGCCGTCGTCGTCGACTGCTACCACGATCACCCGGAGCGGCAGCTATGGCAGCGGCCTCGCCTCGCCCCGCGCTCAACCCGTCTCCACTTCGCCCCGCGCTCAAGCCCAGGCTCAGGGCCGCGGTGATAAGCAGGCGAAGCACGACGCGAAGGAGCAGGCAGAGAGGGACACGAAGCACGACACGACGGAGGCGAAGGAGCAGGAGAAGGACAAAAACAACGGCACAGCAGCAGCAGCGAAGGCGGTGGTGGAGGACGCGAAGAAGACGACGGCGACGACGCCGAAAGCGAAGAAGAAGAAGGAGGAGAGCAAGACGGACAGCCCGCGCAAAGCCACCAAGAAAGAGGCCAAGCGCGGAGCCGACACGACGCTGAATCTGAAGAATGTGGTGACGTCATTCCAGGCAGAGGAGGAGGGCGACGACGATGATGCGCCCAAGACGATCGTGTCCGCTGGTACCGTGGCCGGCCTCTTACGTACCACAACACTTTCGGTGGCTGACGCTCTGGTCGTTGTTGTGCCGGGTGTGTGTGCGTGTGTGCGTGCGTGCGTTCGTGTGCGTGTGCGTGCGTGTGTGTGCGTGTGTGCGTGTGTTGTGTGGGTAGCGAGTGCAGAGGTGAAGCGTGTGCAATCCATGCCCGAAGATGCCGTCCGCGGTGTGAAGAAGGACGGCAAGCACGGGAAAAAGAGCGCAAAGGATGAAGCGCTCGCATCGCCCGGTTTGCGGTCCGCCGGCACCGTGGGCCGCAAGAGCAAGAGCCGAAGGAACAGCGCCAAACCCAGCAAGCACAGCAAAATCGACGCACGTCGCACGCCGAGCGCGGGCGACTCGCAGGAGAATGGCTCATCTGCGGCGCCTCACAGCCCGAGACGCTGCCTGTCCGACACCGATCTCAAGGCATCCACGGTATGCGCGTCGTGAAGTGCAATTCTTCTGAGCTATTCCTAACACCACGCCACGCAACGCCACGTTTGATTTTCTCGTTCTTCGCAGAGGGAGGACGAAGATGCCGTGAGCGATAGCGTGGCCGGACTGAAGGGTTCGCCAACCATCTCAATCCAATTTCACACTCTTCACGTGATTGATATTTTTATATTTCTATATATATATATATATATAAAAAATATAGGAATGTATGTCTAAATTGTGGTGAGTGGTTCATAATCAGATGTGGTGATGAGTCCCTCGGTCAAGCGGGGCCGCGCGGGGTCGCCTCGGCCGCAGGTCATGGCCATCATCCCCGGGGATGGGTCCAAGGTGCAGGTCATCGTCAGCCCGCGCGCCTATCCCGAGGTGCACGAGATCAAGCTCGAGAGCAGCGGCAGCAGTGGCAGCGGCAGTGGTAATGGCGAATCGGCGGCGAGCCGAAGCGCCAGTACCGCAGCGGCGGCCGTCAACGACATGGTGGAAACGCTCAAGGCGGATGGCGCGGCGCCACCAAGCAACGGCAGCAACGGCAACAACAGCAGACGCGGCAAGAAGGCGAACCTAATGGACAGCAAGGGGACGCACCCGCCCTCGCCCGCCAAGGAGAAGGAGAAAGAAAAGGAAAAGGAAAAGGAAAAGGGAAGCAGGAACGGCAGCGACAAGCGAGACGGAGGAGAGCGAGAGAAGGAGAAGGAGAAGGAAAAGGAGAAGAATGAGGAAGCGGAGAAAGAGAAGGAAAAGGAGGACGAGGGGCCGTCGCCTTCGAAGGGCAAGAAGGCCGCCGCGGCCACGACGCGACAGGCCGGTGGTGACGAGCAGCAGCGGCATTCGGCGGTGCCGTTCCCGGTGAAGTCGATCCGGTCGGGCCACGGCAGCGGCATTCGGCGCACGATCGGCCCCTCGCGCGCGAGCCGCTCCAATTCGTTCGACTGGGCCAACAAGCCCGGCTCCAGCCGGATCGACAGCGGCGGCCTCGACACCAAGATCCCCTCCTTCGCTGAAACCAAAGGTACGTACCTCTACTCCAACTAGGACTACTACTGTCGTACCACCAGTCACTCCACTCACAACCGTCTGTCTGCTCGCCAATGCCTTTGCTCGCCTGGTCGCAGCCAAGAAGAAGAAAAAGGAGCGACAGCAGGAGCCGAGCGGTACGCAAACCATCTGACGTCATCATACTAGTTCAATTTTTCTTGTCACACATATGAATATGTTAACATGTTGTTGTTGTCGCTATGACAGGCGCGGCAAGGTCGCCGGCATCGGGACGGCCGGACACGACGACGCGACCGTCGTCGTACCCGCGCGGAACCGGTTCGGGTATCTCGCCCAACGCTTCCGCGCCGTACCTGCGTGCCGAGCTGGATCGGCTCCTCGGACAGGCCCAGGAGAAGGAAAAAGCCATGATCAAATATCGCGTACGCATCATCGCACGATCCACCATCGATTATTGTTTGTCTTGCGTGTTGTGCGTTGCGTGTTGCGAGTTGTGCGTTGCGTATGTTTGTGTGTGTTGTGTCTTTTTTTGGCTCATGGCCTATGTTTCTGTTTGTCCACACAGAGCGAGATCACGCGGCTCAAGCTGCTGAACGAACAGTGGAAGACGGAGGCGCTCGCTCTGCGCGAAGAGGTCCAGACTCTGCGCGAGATGTGTCGATGCGGCGCTCTGGCCTCGCCGTCGGCACGCACACCGTCGGCGGGCAAGGTTGGCTCGCCCGCCGCCACCATACCGCGCAGCTCATCCGGATCCGGCGTGCGCAGCAGCTCCAGCAGCAGCGGCAGTGGTACCTCTTCGCCGCTGGCTTCGTCGTCCAGCGGCGAGTCCAAGCAGCACGGTGCCCGAACGCCGCCGCCTCCACGGCCGCCCAACACGACCAAGCCCGCGACGACCGTGCCGGGGCGCCTGGTCGAACTGCGCCACGTCGAGACGCGCGAGGAGCGCGAGAGCCGAGACCACGACAACAAGCAGCACGTCCCGCGGGGCGAGGAGAAGGCAGCGGAGCAGACGGCCAAGGAGCGGCGGCACAGCGCCAGCGTGTCGGGCACGTCCAGGACCCCGGAGGCGGCGGGCACGTCGTCATCGCCCAAGAGCCAGCGACGAACGACCGACGGCAACCGAGGCTCGCAGTCGATGTCGTCGCCGGCTGCCTCGCCATCGGCGCAGCGGGGCGCGGGCGACGACGTAGTGATCTCGGCGCCGACGCCGGTCCACCTGGTCTCCTTCTCGTCCGGGTTCAAAGACTCCGGAGTCTCCTCGTCTCTGCCCAAGGACCTCTCCCTACCGCCGCTCAACCCGCCCGCGCCGCCAAACTTGAATGGTACGTACTCTCCCTTTCCACGCACGCACGCACGCACGCACGCACGCACGCACGCACGCACGCACGCACGCACGCACGCACGCACGCACGCACGCACGCACGCACGCACGCACGCACGCACGCACGGCTACTGTGCGCACTGACTGCGCAACCACCGCACCACGGCACACAGCGTCGGCTCCTGCGGTGCCGCAGTCGAACAAGAAATTCCAGCGTCTCCTCAAGAATGCGGCCAAGCGGATGAGCACGTCGGAGTACCGCAAATCGCAGAGCCTCAAGGGCGGCGAAGTGCGCCTGCTCCAGCAGATGGGTACGCCCGCCAGCCTCTCTTTGCATCACTCGCCTCCACATGGGTCCTTTCAGGTGCGCACTATTATGCGGCTGACCTGCGCGTGTGCGTGTGTCGTGGCGGCCCCTGTGCAGAGATGAGGGAGAACGTAGTGCGAGAGATTCTCACCACGGAGCGCAACTACAAGTCGTGTCTGTCCGCGCTCATCGACGAGTACCAGCAGCCGCTCAAGGACGCCATCGCCCAAAACCCCGACGTACTGCTCTCCACACATCTTCTGTTATGCGTGCGTGTCGTCGTGTGTCGTGTGTGTCGTGTGTGTCGTGTGCCGTGTGCCGTGTGCGTGTTGTGTCTCATCTCACAACTCATGTCGAAACGCCTCATGTCCAGGACTGGGACATCAGCCCAGAGCAAATCAAAACGCTGTTTTGTCAGGTGGAGGTTGTCATGAGCTTCACTACGGTGCTGCTGAACAAGGTACGTAGCCACTCGCCGCCGCCGCAGCCGCGATCCATTCACCATTTTCTTTCGTACGCAGTTGGAAGCGAGGCTTGACGACTGGAATGCGCTCACCTCGACGATTGGAGATATCTTCGTGGAGATGGTGCGTATCTCTCCGCATTCTTTCTCATGTGTGCGGTGCCGTGCGTGTCGTGCGTGTTGGCAGGTGTATTGACGGTGTGGTCCATCGTATATATTTTTTATGTATACATACATATATAGAGTGCCTTCATGAAGGTCTATCGCAGCTACATCGTCAACTACCAGCCAGCGCATGATCTGCTCAAGAAACTCAGCAAGGAGGACAAGAAATTTGCCGACTTCCTCGAGGTGCGGTCACACACACTGTCTCTCAACCTCGTGTCCTGTGACCGACACGCACCAACCACCGCACACGCACCACCGCACACGCACCACCGCACACGGACCGAACGCTCATCAGAAATCGCCTTTACACAGCTCGCGAACCAGAGGATCAACAAGCAGAAGCAATTTTTCGGATACGACATGGAGTCGTTCCTCATCACCCCCGTCCAGAGGGTGCCTCGCTACATCTGCCTCCTTCGCGTACGTCCCCCACCCTGCGGCGCAGCGCGCACGGCGATATGGGCAGTGCATAGGCCTAAAACGTCGTGTGTCGTGTGTGTTTTAGTCGCTGCACCAGTTCACGGGTCCCGACCACGAGGACTACGAGCTCATCGGCGAAGCCGTCAAGCGCGTGGAGGCGGTGGCCCAAGAGAACAACCGAGCGCACGCGGCCAACAGCAACATCAACAAGCTGCTGGCCCTCCAGGAGATGTTCAACGCACAGGTGCGAATCCACTCCCCCCACACGCGGGCTGTGTGCTCGCCTTGGCTTACGTTTTTCCTTTTTCTCTCGTTTTCTTTTTTTCCTCTCGACAGAACGTCAACATTGTGGAACCGAACAGGCGGTATGTGCACGAGGGCAGAGCCTGGATTGCTCAGGTACGCACACGCACACGCACACGCACACGCACACGCACACGCACCACCACACACGCACACGCACACGTACCACCGCACGCGCGCGTGGCTGACACTGACAGCACTCAGGTGGTCAAGGGCAAGGTGACAAAGGAGGAGAAGCGGCGGTACCTGCTGCTGTTCTCGGACCTGGTGGTTGTGGCCAAGACCAAGGAGAAACGAGTTTCTCGCAGGACCACGACCAACGTCACCAAGGAGGCCGCACGTTCGTGCCCCTCTACTCCTACATGTTGTTGTTCTTGTGTTTGTTGTGCGTGTCGTGTCGTTGGTCGTGTCGTTGGTCGTGTCGTTGGTCGTGTCGTGTGGTGTCATGTATCGCGTGTCGTGTCGTGTCGTGTCGTGTCGTCGTGGTGCGCTCTCAATGCGTACGTAGTGTGTGTCGTGCCGTGTCGTGCCATCAGCGAACTGACCCACCGCCGGCGTTACAGCGATGTCCCCCGGCGGGCAGCCGGTGACGCCCGACTTGACGTTCCTGTACCAGATGGACCTCCAGGGCATGAAGCTCTTCACCGAAAAGCTGGAGCTCATCCTCAACAGAAACACCGATGACCTGCAAGTCCAGGTAAATCAACGCTTAAGCCGCTGCGTGTGTTTCGTTCGTGTGCGCGTGTGCGTGTCGTGCGTGCCGTGCGTGTTGTAAGTCGGCACCTGTCAGCTGATTACGGACTCGCTCCTCCAGAACGCGTTCCTCTTGGTCACCCCCGAGACGACGTGTTTCATTTACACGGCCACCTCACAAGAGAAGCAGAGGTGGATCGACATCCTCAACAAGGCACACAACACCTCCCCAACCGCACGCACGCGCACGCACGCACGCGACTAACCTGTAATTGTATGGGTGTGTGTCTGCGCAGACGCTGAACGAATACGGCGAAGAGTCCAAGACCCGCCCGCGAGCTGCCGAGGCGGCTCCGCGCCCGACGACGCAGAGGAATTCGCTCTTCAAGAAGCGGGCGTCGATTGGGCCCTCCAAGGCCCGCGGCGTCAGCAAGTCCGTTGGCGGCGGCCAGCCGCTCGACCTCATCTTCTCCGCCGGCAGCAAGGATGACGTGGGCGAGCAGATGAAGAGCCCACGCAGCAGAGAAGACGAAGTCGAAGGGAAGGAGTCTAAGGAGAAGGACAAGGACAAGGCAACCGAATCCGATGCCGTGGGCGTGTAGTGTAGTTGAGTTGTTACTCACGCACCCCTTGTCCTTATTTTTTTATTATCAATTGTATATTTACACCACACCAAAAAAACTCAATAATCTTGTTTTTATTTATTTAGTTATTTGTCTACTATTAATTCTATAATTATTTCTCACATTCCATACGTTAGGTAGGATTCGGCCGAACTGTGAGACGACAGAAAAAGGTGGAGACAACCGCAGTTAGCCCATCATTTTAGTTTGTACCAGTGACAGCTCAACAAGAACCATGCAGCAGGACCCGCCGACCGACCAGCAGAGCGTCCGCTGCGCCGGCCTCACCTTTCGCCTGGAGCCGCGGTCCACCGACGGCAAGTCCCTCCTGGCCATCACCGCCGAGCACGCCGCCGACCCTCTTCACCCCACCACCTACAAGCTCGACGTTCCAGGTGAGAAGGTGGCGGCCACCACGCACACCCTCTGCCAAACGGTGGCCCACCTGGCCGAGGGGGTGGGGGCGGCCCTGCGGCAGACCAACGGTTGGACCGCCGCCGTGACTGTAGACGCCAAGCGCCAGCAGGTGCGGGTCACAGTGCGCCACGCTCTGGGCTTTCGCGATGTCGAGTTCGAGCTGGTGCTGTCGGGCGAGCAGCTCAATGTGAGCGAGCGGCTCGACCAAGTGCTGCGCGTGGTGGGTCCCCGCACCAATGATCTCCTGGCCGACCGTCACCCCAACATCGACCAGTTCCACGGCGGACTCGGGGCCGTGGTCGCCCGGCCCTGCGGCCTGCACGCCAGCGTCACGACCGGTGTCGAGTTCACCGCGGGCCAGCACTACCTCGAGTGGCGCCTGCTGCGGTGCCTCAACAACGCCTGCATGCTGGGCGTGGCCGAGTACCCGCTCCAGGTCTTCACCCCATACCCCGGCAGCGCGGCACTGACCAGCGGCCGGTCCCTGTACGGCCACAACGGCCACCTCTACCGCGATGGGGCAAACGCCCCCTATGGCCTGGGCGTGTTCGGGCCGGGTGAGTATGTGGGCGTGCTGCTCGATATGGACGCACGGACGGTGGCCTTCTCGATCAACGGGCGCCTGGGCGATTCCCTCCCCCTCTCCGGCAAGGGGGGCCACTGCTTTGTGGCCACACTCTACACGCAGGGCGACGCCATCGAACTGTTGCCCCAGCACTGCTGGCATCGCTACGCGCAGTAGTTCTACCCCCAATAGACTTTCTTTCTTTCTTCCCTCGATTCTGTTGCGTTGCCATGGAACACCCCACTGCAACTGATTGGAGGCGCAGTTGAAAAGGTTGAATTTCGCGGAAAACTGCATCAATGGTAAGTGATATTTCCTTATGCGTCATAATTATGTGTGGGGAAGCAGTGCTTCTTTTCATTCTCACTTTCTTTTTGTACAACTAGCGGCTCTACAACATGGGCGACCACCACGATGACCACGATGACACCGCGTACCTCCTCAAGTCCGGCCGTGTCCACCTCTCTCTCGAAGAACTCTCCAACCTTCTCCGCTCAGTCCAGAAGCCCACCAACGCACCCAAGTCCGGTACTAGAGGAAGCACACTTTTTTTTAAATTTTCTTTTTTTTCCAGATTAACATTATTTAGTATATATTATTTTTGTTTTTAGTATATATTATTTTTGTTTATTTTTCAAAATTCTAATAATAATATGTTGGTGTAGCGCTGGGCAACCCAGGTCCGTTGGGGCTGGGCGGCTTTGCGCTGACGACGATGACCCTCTCCATCTACAACGCCGGCATCCTCACCGACACCAGCAACATGGTCCTCGCCCTCGCCCTCTTCTACGGCGGAATCGCCCAATTCATCGCCGGTACGCGTGTGCGGTGTGTGCGGTGATGCGTTGGTGTGTGTGTGCGGTGTGCGTGTTCGTGTGCGTGTGCACTGACACGAAGACACACTTGTGTAGGACTGTACGAATACAAGATCTCCAACACGTTCGGCGCCACGGCCTTCTGCAGCTACGGCGCCTTCTGGTGCAGCTTCGCCACCTACGTCTACTTCATCGTGCCCCACCTCCCTCCCGGTACATCAACCAAACGACACGCAGCACGACACGCAACACGACACGCACTACAGAGAAGAGAGGCTGACCTGGTCTGTGCGCGCAGACAAAGTGCACGAGGCGTCGGGTCTGTTCCTGTTCATGTGGCTCATCTTCACACTCTACATGACCGTGGCGGCGCTCCGAGTGTCGTTTCTTCTGGCCGCCCTCTTCTCCGTACTCTCCGTCACCTTCGTGCTGCTGGTCATCGGCGACTGGGCGTACGTGTCGTGTCGTGTCGTGTCGTGTGTGTCGTGTGGCGTCGCGTCGTTGCTGACTGGAATGGCCGCAGTGAGCTGGACGGTGCGAAGAAGGCGGGCGGAGTGCTCGGGATGGTCACTGCCGGGCTGGCGTGGTACGGCAGTGCGGCCTCCGTCATCAACACCACCTGGGACCGCGAACTACTGCCCCTCGGCCTCTGGGTGCGACCAAAGCCCAAGGTACCCACGCAACACTCACGCACACGCACACGCACACGCACACGCGACATGGTACTAATGTGGAGGCTTGCACGTGTAGTACCGTAAGGAGAACACTGAGACGGTGATGCCGCTGCTGGAGCTGACCACCATGTCGTCAGAGTCGGACGACGAGGACGTGGAGAAGGGCAAGGACCGCCACCGCCACCACCACCACAAAGAGCGCGTCTTCCTCTCATCGGTCAAGGAGGCCCCCGCCAGGAAACAGTCTGGCCACTAAGACACAACACATGACAGAGCTGAGAACCACCACGTACTTTTGATCTCTTGCCAAAAGGCTGTGTGCACGCGGTGTGCTCCGCAGAAACCGACGCGGCGGTCAATCTTTTACGATGACTACGTAGGTCCTACTTGCCTTGCTGCTGGCCTTCTTCCTGGCCGGCCCTTCCGTCTTGGCGAATATCGAGCCAGGCACAGACAATCACTTCCATCTCATAACACATTCTCTTCCATCTCAGAATCTTCAATGGGCTGACGTTTTTTTAATACATCAGCACTTGTAACGGCTGGAAACAGCACCAGAGCCGATAAAACCCAAGCCATGAGCAGCAGTGTGACCCATGAACTGGTACATACGAATCATCCAAGCTCGTGATTTCGATGTTGTTAATTTAAAAAAATATTCTTATGGATTGATGAACGATTTTGTAACAGGATTCCTTCAAGCTGGAAATTATGGAGAAGCTGGCAGAGATCTCCGCCAGCATCTCCATCTTGCAGGTAATTTCCAATTCTTACTCTCTTATGGCAAGTTACTAACACTTCTTTGATTAACAGCGCTCTTCCCAAGCACCCAACGAAGCTCCTTGGTGGGGTGTTTTTGTGCCATACGGCATGGTTTCTGGTCCCACACACAGCAAGGGGGCAATTCATCAGCAACTTCTACACCCTCCTGACTGACATTGGTCGCGGCCTTAGCGCAGTGTGGGGATCGATCACACTTGACAAGCTGCGTGAAGTAGTGGCCTACCTCATCATCCTCTTCCTCCTTCCCAATTTCCCTCTGGTACAACAGCTCTTGGCCAAGGCTGTCAAGATTGGATCAGACATCTCATCTGCAATAAATGCTTGTACATATATTTTTATTGTTATGCTTCACATTTGTTGATCTTCTCTTGCTGGTCCACCCACTGTCTGTTGGCCACCTTGCCTGTATCCACTTCATCCATGCCACAAAGTGAGTGGTAGAGCTCCTCTTCTTGGTGTGAGGGAGTGCCAGCAAACAGTGTGTGCTGTTCCAGTAAGGTCACACACTGCAGCAACTCATACACCCACCTTGCCTGATCAAGCACAGTGGAAAGGTTGGAGTCAGCAGACACCACCAACAACAGCACAACACAACACACACCTCATTCTCCAGGGGTGTAGACTGGTGTGGTTGAGGGGCAACTGCAGGCTGTCATTGGTCATGTCATTGGTCAGGCAATATATAGTTGTGACTAAATAGGTCCTAAGAGATAAATACCCTACTTGTTGCTGCACATTATTAAATAGCACCATCAAGGTACAGGTTGATCTCTTCCTCGTTATTCTTCTCCTGGTGGTGGTCTCCCACCCGCTGCCTCTTGGCCGCCACATCGCCTGCATCAACTTCATCATCGCCATCAAACGAGAGGTCAATCTCCTCTTCGTTCTTGGCGTGCGCAGGAGCGCTGGAGAACAGCAGGGGAGTCGCTGTCGGGAGATGGCCCACCGTGAGCCCCAACGGCAGCAGCGAAACCGCCACTGGGTGGTGGTGGTGGTGCAGCGGTGGTGGTGGGCCGCCAGGCTGGGGCTGGGGCTGGTGGTGTTGGTGGTCTGATGGCAGGGACGCGGCCGCCGGGTCATAGGCGAGGAAGAGGTCGGGCAGGTCGAGTAGTTCCAGAAAGGTCGTACGCTGCGGCGACTCGCACAATACGCCCGCCTGCTTGCCTGGTTATAGTGGAAAGAGTCAGCGGACACGACACGAACAACGGAACGACACACGACACAACACGACACACCTCTTTCTCCGGGAGTGTAGACCGGTGCGGTTTGGGTAAAATTGAGGGGCACGCGCAGGCCGTCCTTCTTCGCCGCGACACGCTCTCGGATCCACTCGCGCTCTTCTTGCGTGGGCCAGTAGTCGAATCTGGGACAACCCACGCATAGCACGTCAGTCATGCGCGTGTGCGACGCGATGAGTAAAGGGGGCACGCACCGCTGTGAGGAATGGGGCGTCGGCATGTGAACGGTCCCGCGCCGAAACGAGAGCAGGTGATTGGTGGACTTCACAATGGCGAGCCACTCCTCGTCGTAGGCCAACTCTCTCGGACCCTTGGCTTCGGGAAACTCCCACACCTGCAGAAAGTCGCGGTTGGGCAGGACTTTGTCCAGGGCCAGGAATTTGGTCACTTGCCCGCTGGCATGCTGAACCACTGCCGGGAACTTGACGTGCATGTGCGCCGAGAACCAGTACTATTCACACGACAACACACACACACACACAACACACACACAGCGAGAAAAACGGTTAGATTCGAGGAATTAGGTTCACTCAGCTAAGTGTGGGCGCGTACGTCAGGCTGCAACAAATTCAGGAGCTCCTCAGCAGGTGGCGATCCAAACACGCCCGACTCAATCTGGGCCGTGCGAAGGGCCTAAGTGAGCGATTGACTCGACTCCCCGGCGAACTGTTTTTCGTGGTGTTCAAAACGACCCGTACCTCGCCTTGAAGGAAAGGCTTGGCCCGCAGCAGTCTGCGAAGGTCGCCGTAGTGGGCGATTCCCCGCGGCCAGTCGTGCGACAGCATCACGTCGAGGCGTTGGGTGAGCTTGGGAACAAACATAGAAGGGAATGACCGTTTAGATTGGAGCCGCAGCTTCATCAAACTGTGCAGACTGAAGAAGAAGAAGAAGAAAACGTAGTAGTAGTGGTACCTGCTTGAGCTTGAATACTTCAAACTCGCGCACGTGGTACACAGAGCGCATGGTGTCGTTGCTGTAGGGCGGCATTTCGTAGTGCCCTGTGCGATGCGCGCACACGTGGGTGGCAGGTCAAACCACTGACCACGAGCGGGCAAGTGTGAGGTGGGACACCAACACCCGCGTACCCTGCTTGTAGTCGAACTTCTTCCAGATGCCGGACAAGCCGCCGATCCGCAGGCCGCCGAAGTTGACCACGCCCGACATGCCCAAGAAGTAGATGTTGGGTGCCACCCAGCCACCGTAGTAGCTGTGGTATGTAACGTGCATGTAGCGAGAGTCAGTAGGTTCGCGTAGCGCCTCTCAGAACTTGGGCAACAACAACAACAACAACGTACAGCTCTGTGAGGTGGTTGGAGGCTTCGTGGTTGCCGCCGATGAAGATGGTCATGACGGGAGCCACCTTCTCGCCCGAGTAGTACTTGTAGAAGGTGTTGATCTCGCGGTACTTGACAGGGCAGGCCAACGCGTTCAAGTCGGTCATGTTGCGCACGGCCTGTGCACCAGCCACGGCACCCCTGTCAGCGAAGCGCGCAACGAAAGGGGGGAGGGCAAAGGCGCGGGCCTACCTGGAAATCGCCACAGCACAAGACAAGGTCGATCTTGATGTTCTGCTTTTGTTCGAGGAAGACGATAGATTCGTACATGGCGTCCAGCTCGCCATGGCAGCACCCAATAATCACTACCTGCAACCCCACCCTTTATTGCTGAAATCTACCTCATGATGATGGATGGCAGAAATCGCACCTTGAGTCCGGTATTAGGATCGGTCACAACCTCTGGTGCCAGCGACGTAGTAGTGGCCTCTTCGCTGCTTTGCTGCACGCCTTCCGTTGGCTCCGCAACCGACTCTTGCTCCACTTCCATTCTTGTCGTGTATAAATAATCCGTAAAAATTCAGAAAATAATTGAAATTATTTATTAACGCTCCATTTCGCATTTAGCATCACACATTCATTGAAGGAAGGAAGCCATGTCACAGAGCGGATCGCCTCATCGCAGCCGCAGGAAGGATAACACCTCGCAGCAGGGTTCGAGGGACCAGTACTCGCGCGGCAATGCTGGCAAGTCCTCCAACCCGACCAAGTCGTCATCACTGGCCAAATCGGATAAGGCCCATGGCGGTAAGCACTTCTCGAATGGTGGATCCTCGGGAGGCAGCAGCGGCAGCCACGAGATCAAGGTCTCCCGCAACCCCCAGTCCTACACGAGCGCCGTCAGCAGATATTCGGATTCGGACAACATCGATGGCCCCTCCGAGCGCACTCACTACATTGCCATGAATCTCATTGTACATCCATCCCCCCTACCAAGTCTTTTTTGTTTGCATATTCCTGCGATGTGCTGAGGCTGATCCTTCATCTTTGTTTCATCTTTTGTCCATTTGCCTCTGCAGGGCCAGCAAGTGCGCGCGGTGCTCAAGGACGGTACCGTCTACGAGGGCCTCTTCCACAACCCCATTTTTGATCGAGGCTTCGGTGTGGTTCTCCACATGGCCAGGAAGAAGGTGCCCCCCTACTCTTACTACTTCTTCTTCTGGGTCTTGACGCCACATCTTCTGTTTGGCTCAACTCTTCAAAACTGTTGCCTTTGCCTGGTTCTCTTTCATCGCAGGAGAGCGGCGACTCTGGGGTGATCAGGACGCCGCCGATCGACGTGGTCACCGTGCAGCCGCAGGACCTCGTCATGCTCGACGCGCCCGAGGTGGCCTTCGTCGAAGACAGCGCCGAGTTCAAGAAGCAGATGATGCGCGAGGGTACGATATGTCTCTCCTTTCCCTTTCTCTTTCCCTCTCGCCTCTGCGTGCAGTACACAACTCACGATCATTGTGTTACAGGTGGGTTCAGGACAGACACAGAGATCAGCGGCCGGGACTTCAGCGAGAGGGAGCTGGTCCCCTGGCTGGCGCCTGAGGAGGCCGGCGGTATGGGCGGGCTTGAAGAAGATGCAGGGTACACACAACACACACAACACACACCATTCACTTTGAGGCGTAAGTCATGAAGAGTGGTAATGCTAAGTCTGCCTTCAATATCGGTCGCGCAGTGCCCGCAACCGGTGGGATCAGTTTGAGGCCAACGAGAGGTTGTTCGGCGTCCGCACCACCTACGACGAGAGGTTCTACACAACCGAAATTGACAGACAGCGCGTCTCTAGAGAGGTGAGACACCCTTCTCGGCGCCAACCCACCCCCTTGTGTCACGGCCACTTCTCCACTCCGACTCACACAATCTCCCATCATTGCGCAAATGAAAGGTTGTGGAGAAGGCCATCCGTATCGAACGCGAGATCAAGCACCAGACGACGAGCAATTCGCATCTTGCCGAGGAACGTGGCATCGTGGCACCCAAGGACGACACCGAAGATGAGGAGGACAAGTACGTACTCCCAGTACTGGTGGCCGTGGGTGGTGATTGACAGAAACTGACGTATTTGCACGCCATCATCATCACCGTATCAGGTATTCGTCCGTGATCCGCGACCAGAAGGGTCCCGGACCCAAGTTTGGCAAGCAGGACGCCAAGGGCAACTCGGCGTACGTGGTGCCGGCCAAGCGGAAGCAGGGCGGCGAGGAGCCGTCGGCGGAGGAGCGCAATAAGAAGCCCGAGAACGACAATAGAGACAAGGCGCGGGAGCACGAGTTCAAGAAGCAGCGACAGAGGGAGCTGGAGATCGAGAGGGAGCGCGAGCGCGAGCGTGAGAAGGAGAAGGAGAGGGAGAAGGCGCGACAGAGGGAGAGGGAGCGGATTGACCGCGAGCGGGCCGCCAAGGGCCTCCCGCCGTCGTCGCCGTCCTCCAACCTCAGCCGAAGCGCCACTTCCATCGCAAACCTGGCCGAAGAAGGTATCTACGCCGAACGAGGTGTTTTTGTGAACCATGTGTGCGCGTACGTACTTACACGTTTGCTGTGGCCGCAATGCAATGCAGCTCTCAGTACTTCTGGTGAACGCCCGCGAGCTCCCTCGTCGCCCAAGGTGGCGAGCCTGTCCAACTCGCCTGGATTCCGTCAGCGCTCGTTCTCGATGTCGAACCTCGGCGCGGCCACCGCTGCCGGTACGTACGCACGGTTGCGGATTGCGCGGCGCTCACATTTAAGCTCTACATGCGTTCATTCCACCACCGCTTCTATATCACCGACACTATATAACTCGGCATTCTCTCCATCTCTTTGTATGCATGTACAACACACGCATGTACATATTCCCTATTTCTCGATCCATCTATACGTGGGCCCGTTGGCTGCTAATACGCAAAGAGGGATCGCCTGCCGGCAACCTAGACCCCGACGACCCGCAGTACATCGAAAAGCTCCGTGTCAGGCAGAAGCTGCTCGCCGAGATGCGTTCGCAGGGCGTGGAGCCTCGAGCTGTACGTGCCACACCCCCTTCTTCTTCTTCTTCTGCCCTTGTGCGTGCAGCTCTTTGCGCTCGTGACCAACTCTGTGTCGTGCAACGGCCCGATTAGGCACCGGAGAAGCTGAAGGCCGAGCCCTTCCACTCGCCCATTGTCGGCCGCCCCGAGCAGATCAAGTCTCTCGACCTGTCTCCCGCCGTTCCTCGCGTCTCTGGTACTGCGGCCATTCACGCTCTCTCGACTGAGGCCTACCCAATTAACTTTTTCAATTTTTCTGTGTTGCCACAGAGTCGGTGCTCAACGAGTTCCAGCAGTTTAAGGACCGGAAGCGCTCGCTGTCGAACGCGTCCCCGGCGGTGCCCAGCAAGCAGGATATGGTCAACTTCTCCAAGGAGATCGAGAAGAAGACGTCGGCGCCCAACTCGCCGGCGCTCAGGGCCAGGCGTGGCGAGCACCAGATCGCGCCATCGCCGCTGTCGCCGCGCTACGTGCTCGACGCCACCGCGGCCAAGCTGGAGAAGGAGGGGGAGGCCAAGGGGTCGACGACCACTACCCCGGCGCCTGCGTCGGCGGTCGCAACGCCGGTCACCACCCCCGCCGCGGCCACACCGGCTGCCGAGTCGCCCGCGTCGACCAGCGCCGCCACCACACCGCGCAAGAGCGACGCCGCAACCGCCGCTGCTGCCGCCGGGTCGGACGCGGCCAAGCCGACCGCAGCCGCTGCCACCGAAGGTGCGTCGGCGGCCGAGAGCCAGCCGCCGCTGTCGAAGATTCAGCCGCCCAGCATCAAGTCCAAGCTCAACCCCTTCGCCAAGGCCTTCACCCCTGTACGTTGCAGCATCACGTTCACTTCCCTTCTAATTAGCTAACTCCCCCCTCCCCAAACAGAAACGCCCGGCTGCGGCGGCACCTGCTGCCGACAAGCCTGCCGGAGCCTCTCCGCCTGGTGCGTACTTAACACCTGTGCATGCCACGTGTCGTGCCGCGTGTTTTGTATGTTCTTCGCCTTAACGCTTTTGCTGGGGGAAACAGGGAGCGCTGGCAAGCCGACGGTTGACATCAACATTCCGGTGAGCAGCTTCTTCTCGCAGGGCATGCGTCGTCTTCAGGACAACCCGGAAGACCCCGAGCAGGTCGCGCCCGTGTGGCCGTACGGCCGTGTGCCCTACAGGCAGGAGGACGGCGGGATGCCCATGGAGGGCTACCCCTATCCCCCGGTGCCCACCATGTCTCCTCTTCCCCCGCAGGGCCGCCCAATGGTACCTCCGCGCTGTGTGTGTGTGTGTGTGTGTGAGTGTGTGTGGATCGCCTCACCGATCATCCGCTTTATTTTAGGGCTACCCCGTGTCCTACGTCACGTCTCCGCCGCCGCAGATGGGCTCCGGCCAGCCGGTCATGATGTTCCCGCCCGGCCAGCCCGTTCCTCGCGGATTCGTGCCGCAGGGCTCCATCCCCGGCGGACCGGTATTTCCTTTTTTTCCCATTTATTCATCCATTTACTTCACTACTTATTTGTTCTTAAACAAAAAAAAACACAGGGAGTGTACTACCCTGGAGGACAGCCCTACCCGCCCCACATCTACTCGGGGCCGCCCGGTGCCGGGCCAGCGGCTGGCGGGCCGATGGGTCACAAGGGCCGCATGGGGGGACCCTACCCGGGACCCCACGGCCACGTCCCGCCGCATTCGCCCCACGCGCCGCCGCACTCGCCGCAGGGTAACCCCCAGCGCGCGGGGGGTCCGCAGGGTGGCGTGCCGACCGCCGCTGGTGGTCAGCCCGTCCCTCTGGCCGGTGGTCCCCCGCAGGGCTACAGCGGGCAGTTCCCGCCCAACTCGCCGCCGGCCTACGGCGTGCCGCCCCCCGAGCACGGCGCCCCGCACTCGCCCCACGCTCAGCCGGCCTCTCCCCACTCGCCTCACGCTCCTCGCGCACAGCCGCACATGGTACGTTTCACTTCACCACCCGCGCCGTGCGTGTGCACACACCTCCGCACACACGCGCCGTCGGCTTACACAGCTGTGTGTGTGGTGTCGCATCAGGTGCCTGTGAGCCCCACGCAGCCGATCTACTCGTTCCCGCCCGCGCCACACATTCTTGGCGACCCCCTGGCCGTCCCGCCCGGCCGTGGACCCCACCAACCGATCCCGCAGCAACCGATGGTACGTCAACCCACCCACCCTCCCGCCACCGCCCAGCCTGCGGTGCTGACCGCCTCTGCCTCCTTCAATTTAGCAGGTGGTGCCGGGCATGGCTCCACGAGGAGGCTATCGGTACCCGCAGGGTCCGCCTCCGCAGATGGCCCGGGGAGGTGGAGGAGGCGGCAGCGGCGAATACATGAACGCGCGGCCGGAGGGCGGCGGCGCGCCCAACAAGTCGCCCGCCCAGGCGCAGCCCTTCCACCCGCGCCAGGGCAACCCGAACGTCAACGCCGGCGCCTTTTACCCCGGCCAGCAGCAGCAGCAACAGCAGCAGCGTGGACCCAACCAGTCGCGCGGTGCCGCTCAGGCTGGCGGTCCTCAGCAGCAGCAACAGGTAACCCGTCGCCTTCCTCTCAGTGTAGATGCTCCTCCTCTTCTTTCTTATTGATTTCTTGTTCGCAGGACAAGGAGCGCTTCAAGGTGCCCAACACCGACGTCCTGCCCCAGCAGTAGGTGTAGGGGTGGTTGCCTCTGGCCCGTGGTTGGCACCAACCATCCGACCAATAAGAATAAAAAAATGTATAAAAATGCCGTGTGTGTGTGGTGTTGCTCTTTATCTTCAGTGGTGTGGGTGGTGAGGTCGCGGAAGAAGAAGAAAAGGGAGGGGAGGAGGTCTTGATAAAGGAGCAGCTGCATTCGTAATCATTTTTATTGTTGTTATTATTATATTTCGAGAGCCGCTCGGAGAGGGGGTTGTCTTGGAGCCGTGGGCCAGTGCTGGTTTCGTCAAGGGCAGCCCGTGCCGTCGCCAGCCGACCGGCGGCACGTGGTGTCGTCCGCAACGGGGACTTCGCCGGTCGTGCTGCTCCCGCCTTCCGTGTCGCCGCCCGTGCCGTCGCCGCCGCCGCCCGTGCCGGTCCCGTCAAGGGCGACTCCCTGCTCCGGGGCTAGGGTCACAGACAAGGGCCGGCGGGACGGGCATGACTCTCCTCCAGGGAGCCCAGGTAGGATCACATCCGAGGGCAGCTCATTGGAAAAGCGGTCTAGGTTGCCCATGATGCCGTTCGAGTTGTAGGGGGATGCGGGGAAGTCCCAGGTATCGCCAAAGTAGCCCCAGGGTCCTTCGATGCACATCTCGGACAAGTAGGCCTCGGGTTCGAAGTAGGAGCCGGACGCCGGGTAGCCGCGGGTCTGCCACTGCTCGCCATCGATGAGCCAGATCTGGTCGGAATAGAGCCTGGGGGCCAGGCACGACCTGTACACCTCCCAGAGGTAGGGCCGCAGCTCGTGCTCGGAGAACAACAGGCGATCGCACAGCGACTTGAGCGAGAAGACGCGGCGCTGGGTCACGGGTCCAGCTACATCGGCCGTGTAGAAGTTCTCCACATGATGCCAGGCGCAGAGCGAATCGGGAAGCGACTCGACGCAGTCGAACAAGGCCTCGCGGAAATCGGAGAAGGGAATCTGGCGCAGCCAGGGATCGGCGTCTTCACGGGTGGCCAACGAGTGGTCCCTTTCGTCACAGCAGACCTCGAGATCGTGCAGCAGCGCGGCGCAGTCGGGGCCGATGTTGAGGACGCCTTGCTTCCAGGCTAACCACCCCTCCATCGTATCCATGGAGTACCGGCCCTCCGGTTTCATGCACAGAGCGTCGAGCGACAGGCCGCACTTGGCCAGCTCCGGGGCCCAGGCCCTCACTTTGACCACGTGGGGGCAGTTGCTGCTGCGGTTGCCGAGATTGAGCTCTGCGGAAAGAGTCCGGGAGGGCCTGACGCTCCAATCCTGCTGGTAGGGATAGCGGTCCGCGTCTGCAAATGAGCGCTCACGCGTCAGCATTCCACGAAGTGGAACCAACCTAAAGGTATGCATCGATAAATAGAGAGATGGATATCAACGAATACTACAAGCTTACCGATCATTTTAAGGTATTTGGTGGTCGTCGTAAGGCGCAAAGGCGAGGTGGTGTCGAGGTTGAACGGACTGACCGAGTCGGCGATGTACACATACAGTCTCACCTGGTTGGGGAATTGAATGATGTCATTTAGCCCACGAAGGGAAGTAAGAGGCATGAGAGAGGGGTTGGCACCGACTCCGTGCCGTCTGGCTGAACCCTGGCGTCGATGTTCCAGTTACTCGTATAGACTCCTGGCACTTCGGGGGGCATCCCAGCCTCCAGCTCTTGTTGGTTGATTCTCACCGTTTCCAACTGAGGCGGGTTGGTCGACAAGCGCATCCGGAGCAGGCGGACCCGCCGGACGCCCTCCGTGGGAACGAACACCTGCACCTTGGGAGCTCCACCCTCCATGACATGCCTCAGCATGACCGGCCTGATCGTGGTCGCCGAAGTTACAGGATCGCCATAACTGTCGCATGTAGACGCACGCACGCACCCGGACATCGCACAGCCAAGGGGGATATGTCGAAAGTAGGTGGCGTGTGAGTGGGGGGCGGCGCTTTCCGGGCGGGGAGGTCATGGAAGCCCAACGCACGTCTTTTTGAACTCGAGAGGCACGTCCGCGTAGGGGTCAAATCCTTCCGCCAGAAAATACCTCGGTCCCTCACTAGAACCAGAGGGTTGAGACCACAAGTACACATGACGGTCTTCTGCTTGACTGAGCACGCAGGTACCGGCGGCCAGCAGTAGGATTACAAGTTCGCACCACATCAGTTAACGGGGAAGGGTGCTGTAGAAATAAATGAACTTGGAAAGTCAATAAAGCAAAATCACGAAGCCAATGCTTACCCCCAATTGGCAAGAAAGAAGGGTACTGGGACCAACAAGAAACCTGGCGTCGTCTTTTAGATATGTTACCACGCAACAACACACTTTCGCTGCACTTGTCGGAGCCAAGGATTTGCGCACGTGGAATGGTTCCTGTTCTGAGAACCCCCCGCCTCTCTAGGCAACCAACCTTATCACATTACGGTATGTGACTTTGTTTCAAATGCCTGATGACAAGATCTAGATTTGGGGGCACTACGAGAAGGCAGCAGTGGAACCTTCGTATAGGGCCAATGCGTTTGGGTTCCAACTCAACGCCAAGATCGCCTTCGGGTTAGGCAACGCCTGGCAGACCGGCGCGGAGAACACAGGCTCGGCAACGACCGAGCAGATCGCCGTCGCGCTCGACACGGTGGCCTCCGGCGACGACTCGGTCCTCGTCGACCAGAACGGCAACCAGGGGCTCCCTCGACATCGAGCTCTCAACTCGATCCCGGTCAACCGCAAGAGAAGGTCACCAATGGGCACCAACGCCCACGAGCAGTGGGTCGGCCAGCAGTCCGGCCGCTCCCAGAACACAGGGTCCCTCAACCACTCGTCCGACCGCAAGGCCACCAGCGGCTCCATACGCGTTTATGGAAGCTGCACATCACCAGGGCATCTCAGTGTTGACGGGCTGTGCGAGGACTCCGCAACGAGCTCGGCGTCGATCAACCAGGACCAGACGCATCGGTACACAACTTCCTGGAGGCCATCTCAACCAAGCACGCCTACCGCGTGCAGTGTCCATTGTGCTTGCTGTTTCCTCCAGAGAGCTCGCCGTGGGGAGGAAAAGGAAAAATTCTCGGAAATCATCAAACCAAAAGAGAAAACCTGCGTAGACGTTTGGCGGGAAGGGTGCGCCAACGGTCGACATACCAAGGTGTTGCGATCGCAAGGAGAGGAAAGATGGAGCAACGTAGAGGCTCGGCAAGGCCGCGGCACAACATGGCGATGGAAGATCCGGATTTGTGGGTCCTGGAGTTCGGTCTCTTTCACGAGCTCGATCAAGTCGCGGCGCAAATCAAAGAGAAACGCAACCGTACGAACTCATTAACCCCCCCGCAAATCTTGTCCTCCCCTATTGTCGTAACTTTGTTGATCTCGCCATCGCTGGGCGCCTGCATTGTTCATGTGGTTGATTTAATAATCGACGCCATCTACAGTGACCAGAGCGCAGATCGAGGCCAGCCCGCTGTTTAGGCGGATGAAGCTCAACAGTCTGAGCGGCACGCTCGCGAACGAGAGGAAGTATCCCGAGTGGGACAAGTGGCTGACCGTGTTCGCCAACTGCTGCCCGGACGACTGGGACTCGGGTCCCGACTCCCCCCACCACGCGCTTCTCAACGAGTACAAGGCTCAGGTACCCGCTAGTGCTCCATCTCCCATGTGCCACAGCACCTTACAAGCGTGTGTGTCGTGCGTTGTGTGCGTGTGCGTGTGCGTGGGCAACAACAGCTGGTGTTGCAGCCGCTGCTGGGAGAGTCGCCGGACATCAATGCATTCCTCGCGCGTCGGAAGACCTATCTCCCCTTCACCTCCAGTGCCACGCCGGGTGAGGCCGCACTCGCCAAGGAGATGGCCGACCTGGCCCAGCTCCTCAAGGCCCGCAGCGCCAAGCCGGCCGACATCCGCCGTGCCATCGACGCCGCCGTGGCCGACCACCCGATCGACAAGTTCAAGCGGAGCATTCTCGCCTTCATCACGCGCGTCAAGCACTGCTCGCCGCGTCCCTTCCTCTACCAGGTCTACGATGACATCGCCACCGGGCGCTACGTCCCTTCAACCAAATCCAAACCGTACGTCCGAACCGTGTGTCGTGTGTCGTGTGTGTGTCATGTGTTGATTTGTTTGTCGCTTGCATGTGGGCAGGTTCACGGAGAAGGAGCTGAGGGAAGTCTATGGCGATGACAAGGGGTGGAAGGCAATTGTGAACCAGACGGACCCGGACGTGGAGGAGTTCGCAGGGCGCGGCCAGCGGGCCAGCAGCAGCCGGACCGGCGGTGGTGCCCTGGTGCGCGCCGACGCTGAGACCGAAGATCAGCAGAAGAAAGCGAAAGCGACGACGGAGACCCGCGAAGGCGCAAAGGCGAAGACGACAGCGCCGGCCCAGACCGCGAAGGGAAAGCGAAAGCAGCGGGACGAGGATGAAGACGACGAGGAGAAAGAAGCCGAAGAGGAAGGGGAAGGAGAGGAGGAGGAAAAGCCGAAAGCCAAGGGGAAGGAGGCGAAGAAGAGTGAAGAGAGCTCCAAGCGCGCTCTTAGCTCCGTGAGGGACCTACGAGCCAAGTCCAAAGTCCTTCGGTACCTCTCCTGCTCGCGTCGTTTGTCATGCGATGGACCCGTGGACGAGCCCTCACCCACAATCACTTTATTATTATTATTTTGTTATTTGTTATTTTTTCGACTGCAGGGAGCAAGCCAAGAAGCACGACCCCTTGCCTGGCCTCCTCGCCAGGAAGCAGACCACCGCTGCGCCGGAGCCGGTGTTCGAAGGGCGAGACAACTATGGCGACGAAGCCGAAGCTGAAGCATACGACAGCGCCGACGAAGGAGAGAAGGCCAAGCAGACCAGCGCGTCATCGAAGCGCCAGTACGCCCTTATCTCTCTGTGTCGTGCCGTGTTGTGTCACGTGTGCGGTCTGTCGAGCTTCTCTTGACCTCCAGTCCGTCTCACGGTGCCGTACAGGTATATCGAGCGTCACCCCTCTGCCACCCGCCTGAATTGGGACAGCGAAGATGGTATGCAGTCACCCTCGTGAGCCTTCTTGAAGCTTTTCTGACGTGTGTGGCGTGTGTCGTGTGTGTCGTGTCGTTTGTTGCCATGACGACCTCTGTCTCAGAGAGCCCGCTCAAGACGCGCGACAAGCAGGAAGTGATCCGTGCGGCGCGGGCCACCGTAAGGCGGCGAAAGATCACCTCTGAGTCCGAGTCGGACAACGAGAGAGAGGCAGAGGACGACGACAACGAGGGCAAGAAGAAGAGGGCGACGAAGAAGGTCAAGAGAGACCCGTACGAGTTCAAGGTGCCCGGCGAACGTGCCAGACTCGCCGGCGGCCGCCGTAAGAAGCGCTTCTGGACCGACGACGAGATCGAGTTGCTGCTCGAGGGCGTCCGCACGTACGCCATCATTACCGTGCATGTCGTGGTCGTGTGTCGTGTGTGCGGCCAGAGCCTCACGTGCGCGTGCGTGTATCATAATATCAGGCATGGCCTGGGTTGCTGGGCCAAGATCCTGAGCGAGTACGAATTCGCTCCCGGGCGCACCTCGGTCGACCTCAAGGTAAACCTTTTTTTTTTGCGTAAATAATATTCCTGTTAATTTTATTATATTTATTTTGAAAAATAATATCAATGTTGTGGTGCAGGACAAGTACAGGAATCTGCTGAAGCTGCAGGCCAAGGAGCAGGAGGCGCACCGTGCGAAGAGGGCAGCGTTGGCGTCAACAGATGCCAAGGCCCGGGGTCGTCAGCAACCACCTCCTTCGAAGAAGAGCAAAAAGGGAGACGACGACGAAGAAGAAGAAGAAGAAGAAAAGGAAAGGAGCGAGGAGGAAGACGACTCGACCACCACCGTCGGAAGCCAGGGCCGCCGTGAAGAGGCCGAAGAGGAGGAGAACGCCGCCGACCGCCGCAATCAGAAAGAACGAAGTGAGAAGGAAAAAGAGAAGGAGAAGGAGAGAGAAGAAGACGAGGAAGAAGCAGAAGAGGAGAGAGAAGAGGTGGAGGACAAGAAGAGCAAGAAGGCTGCAGCGGTGGCCCAAAGCCCGAGGGTGGGCAGCAGCACCACGCAGGCCGCAGCGGTGGCCCAGAGCCCGAGGGTGGGCAGCAGCAGCAGAAGCACCAGCACCACGCGGACCGCAGCGGTGGCCCAGAGCCCTCGGGTACTGGGCAGCACCAGCAGCACCAGCACTAGCACGCAGGCGGCAGCGGCCCAGAGGAAGCAGCAGCTTGCGGCGAAGCGGAGGGAGGACGAGGACTACGACGAAAACGAGCTGATCATCGACGACGACGAAGGCCAAGAGGCCGAGGACGACGAGGTGGTGGCCAAGGTGAAGGAAAGAGAAGAGAGCGAGAGCGAGCGGGAGAAGAGGGAGCAGGAACAGAAGAAGACGCCGGCGGCGGCGGCGGCGGGGCAGAGGAGGATCGCCAAGAGGCGGCAGGCGGGTCGGGCGCAGTCAATCGCTGCGCCGTTGCTGGCGGCGAGCCAGGAGGCCGACGATGACCGGCCGTCGTCCTCGGCGCCGGCAGTGCTCAGCGCCTCGGCCCGCGCGCGTCGGGCCAGCGTCGCCGCTCCCCGCAGAAGCGACGAACTCGACTACAGCGACTGAGTCTCGGGAGGCCTCGAGGCCGCGGCCTCTGCTACGCCTTGGGGTGTGTAACTGTAACTTGTTTTCCGGGAGGAGAGAGCAGGACCGACCAATGGGCGAGGGTTGTTGGTAAAAGAAAACAAAGGGCACCCAGTAAAAAAGCGAGGAGAGCTCTTCGGTTCTCGTTCGTTGTTGGCAGTCCGGCCTGAACTTATTTCAGCGCCCCGTAGTGGTTCGTGTACGGCCGCGCGGCATGTCCAAGGGATTGCAGGGGCAACCGTTCTGCAAGTCGACGACCACCTGTCGAGTTGGGACTCTCAGCCTGTTGATAAGAAAATGGGCCGTGTGCTGGGTTTGTACTCTTTCAAGAAAGACTGCTCGAAACCATGAAGATCACTCTCTTGGCCCTGTTCCTTGCGCTGCTCGTCTACGCCCATGCCCAGACCTCTGTTCCCTACATGACCAGAGCGTAAAAATTACCCTCCCACTCACTTCTTTTGAACGCTTCTCACACACCTCTCTCGATCTAGGCCTTCGCCCAGTGCCGCCCAGTCGCCCGGAGCCAGTTCCACGCCCCAGCCCAGCGTGTGCCCCAAGATGCGCCAGCTCAGCGATGAGCTCGACGCTGAGGTCTACTCGCAGGAGCCCCAGGGGATCAGAGCACCTCTCGCCGCCGAGCAGGTCAACTGGACCCAAGTATCGACCTACCTCGCGCCCAGCTTCCAGTACCAGGACTACAGCTATGTATGGGTTCACCCCCCTTGTAGTGTCTTCTGCTGCGTTGAGCTGATTGGACGTTCGTGTAAATGTTTGAATGGGGATTGGTTGCAGTTCAACTCGGCCGGCAACTACTCGGACTATCGTACCTACTGGGAGGCGCTCAACCCGGTCTACGAGCGTTGGCCGCTGAAGAACGCCACGGTCGATTGGTACTCGTGCGATCCAGTCAACCGGCGCCTCACCTCCCAGTGGAAGCAGTACTTCGGCTCAGCCGCCGACCCCACTGCCAACGCGACCAGCACCTCGCTCTACGTCACCGAATACGACCCCGACTACAAGATCACCCGCCAGGCCTACTGGACCTCGGGCGACATCGTGGACCTCCTCTCCACAGCCTCCAACACCACCACTCCCTGAGTCTTTTGCGATATGTTTGCCAAACGTTTCAAGCATTTGGCGAAACAATGCATAAAGGGCTGTACGGGCCAGGGTCATGAGGAAGAGATGGTTGATGTCTTGTGCTTGTGAGAAGTGACCAAGTGTCCTGTATGTACACACCAACAGGCGCCTAAATGGTGGAGGTGAAATTGTCGGCGTGCTGGATGGGCATGGTGAGGTTGGCGTTGTAGGCGGCGTTGAGGTACTCCACCTCGAGGCGCTTGGACACGTAGAGCATGCAGTAGTTGCCGTACATCACCGAGCCCACGTAGGACGGCAGACCGTTGGCCACCGCATTGGCTTCCGCGCTGGCCAGCACCACGGCTTCCCTGTCCGCAAAAAACATGAAACATGAAAGCATAAAAATTAAAAAACAAAATTGATTTGTAGCCATAAATCGCCATCTGAAGGGGTGGGGCAGCGATTTGGGTGATTATGAGAAGATGGAAGGCGTACCTGCTGGGATCGAGCACATCCTGACCCGCGGCATATTTGATTTCGCCGGCCCGGACGGCATACGACAGCATTAATGGCCGTGCGCACGCAGGTGAGGTCGGTGCAGTTGGCCGCCGGCGGGAGGTCGGTCACGTTGGTCGGGGCCTGCTGCCGCTTGACGTAGTCCGCGTCTGGTCCGACCCGCACCGCCAGCATCGACCGGAGGGCATCAATCTGCTCCTCGATGCTCGCCACCAGCTTAGCCATGTTGGCGTTGACCTGGGCCTGCGTCAGCGGCAGCTCGACCACCGGCACCCGGTCGTTACCACCACGAGCTGCAGCCGCGCCCATGGGCGACAACGCAGCCAAGCCTGTGAGGGCCACGACGATGGTAGCCAGCCACAGCGGAGCAGGAGCATACATGATGACCACAGTTCGATAGACAAAGACTTGATGTTGCCGCCAACAACACCAACACCGATGTTGGTGGTCAATAAGAAGCAAGACTCCTGTTGGCGGAAAAGGAATGCAGGGTGTTGGTTATTGGTTACAATTAACGTGTGACTCCGAAACGGCACGCAACAGTTGGGCCTTGGGCGGGTGTTGCAAGAGTAGTTGAGGTGGTGGGTCAAGCAGTGGTTTGTGTTTGATGTTGGAGGAAGTCCTGAAGGTTGCCCGACGTCCACAAGGCCTGGCGAATGGCGTTCAGGTCGGCGTCGAACTCGATGAGGTAGATGGACCGCATGTTGATGGTCTGGCTATGGTTGGAGGCCGAAGTGAAGGTCTCCTCCCACTGGGCCACCTCCCTCCGATTGACCGGGTCGCACGAGTTCCAGGCCTCGACGGCCACGTCGCGCAATGGCCAGAGCAACTCGTTCATGATGCGTCTGGTCCAGTACTCGTGGTAGTCCGTGTAGTTGCCTCGTGAGGGCCACTGCGTGGTTGAACAAGTGTTACTTCATCATCGGAACTTGCACTTGATGCAGATGCTGAAGTTGATGATGGTTGTTTGGTTGTGTACCAAGCTGTTGTCGTTCCATTGAAAGCCAGGCGCGAGGAAGCTCTGCACTGCGGCCCAGTCGACGCGGTAAGGGTCGAGCGGTCCACCCAGCCCGCCCTGGAGGTAGAGCAGGGCGTCGAGGTCATCGCTACGCTTCTTGATCCTGGCACACAGCTGGGCGAATTCTTCATCTTCACTACGAACATCTCAGAAGATCATCATCGTTAGCTTACGACGCTGGTGATGAGGAGTTAGATTGGAGTACGTGTTGGTTGTGTCGTTCTGTGCCTGCCCAGCGAGGAAGTGGCAACTGAGCAAGAGGATCATGAAGAAGGTGGATGTGTGAAGCATGTTCATTGCTACGTGAGGTGAAGCAAGCACACTTGACCTCCTCCTCTGCAGCGCGCTGTGTTGTGTCTCATCTCAGCAGAAGATCGATCGCCACGGGACACGACACGCTCAGACACCCTGATTTTGGAAAGCTGGGCTCGCACACACAGTCCCGACTGTTCCCCTTTTCTCACCTCCGACCCACTCTCGCTCAGCTTCGCCCGCAACGCGGTCGACTTCTCCACTTCACCTCCAACCCCCTTCATTGTAGGGGGCTACTTCATGGTGACACCACCCTTCAACAAAAAGAACGAGACACCTTCACAAGGAGCAAGACTACACTCTGTGCTGTGGCGACGCTATGTCTGCTCGTTCGCAGCGATGAGTATTTTGGCCATGTTGCTGGTGGTCCACCAGGCCTGTCTCGTGATGAGCAGCCCGGAGGGGTCGAACTCGGTGATGTAGATCGACCAGCTGGTCTCCCGCACGATGGGGTTGGCCCGCCGCCCGTAGGTCTCGCGCCACTGGGCCACCAGGCGTCGGGTGAGGGGGTCGCACGAGCGCCACATCCGCACGGGCACCTCTACCAGCGGGTAGACGTCCTGGTTTGCATTGAGCTCAGCCCAGAACTGCCTCGCGTTGGTGTAGTTGCCCTGGGAGGGGAACTGTTTATTTGGGGGGGGGGTAAGCAACATGTTTACAACGCTGGGGAGGGCCTAGACTTGGGGGGGGGGGTACTGGGCTGTAGTCCTGCCAGATGAAGTCGATGGCGAGGTAGGACTGCACGAGGGTCCAGTTGATCCGCTGCGGGTCGAGCGCGCCGCCCACGCCTCCCAGGGAGTAGAGCATGGAGTCGAACTCGTCGCTGCGCCGCACCATGCCCAGGCACATCTGCGAGAACTCAGGCGGCATCTGTTCTCCCGAACTGAAGGGGGTGATGTTGTTCAGGTCTGGCCTTGTTCAAAAGATGAAGAGAAAAAGGTACTCAGGGGACTGGGCGAGCGCAGGGCTGGCCCAGAACAGGGGGATGATCAGACCCAGTACGAGGAGGAGAATCAAGTAGGTCGTCTTGTGCGCCATTTCTGAACGGAACTGAACTAACCGCAGTGCTCCAGGGATAGCGTTGATGGGGCTGGTGAGGTATGCTGACATGTCCGTGTCCGATACCATACAGGCCAATCACGTGATCGTAACCCTTTGATTTCGTCCGAAGAGTCGGGCACATTTGCTGTCGTGCAAGGACCTCACCTCGCGAAAAGGTCATTTTTTATTTTCCTTTTTGTTTTTCTGCAAATGAAAACAAATAAAAAACAGAAAAACAAATCAAAAAAAATACGGACAAGGATGGAGAAGTCGCCAGCCGATCTTGAGGAATTCGTTTGGGTCGATAACAGGGATTTCTTCGCAAACCAACCACCAGAGGTACCGCTGCACAGTTGCTTTATTCCTATCAATTTATTATAATCTGTAAAATGATTAAATACAAGATTAAGAATACGTTACTGATTTCTCCCATCAGGTAATACTGAATATATTCAGCAAGCTGGCCGTGAAGGACCTGGGCCAGGCTGCCCTGGTGTGCCGCCAGTGGTGGGCCGTCTCGCTCGAGCCCTCCCTCTGGCGCTCCCTCTTCCTCGTACCTACCATCTTCCTTCCTCCCCTCATCGCGCACACGCACCACCGCACACGCACACGCACACGCACACGCACAGCACTGACCCGAGGCCGAGGCAGGAGGCCAAGCGGGCGGGCACGATCGAGAAGCCGGCCAGGGAGAGTGTGTCAGCGCCCGATGACTCGTGGGTCCGTCTTCTACCCACCACCACCCCAGCCGCTGCCCCGTCAAAGCCCTCACCGTGTGTGTGCGTGTGCGGTGGTGCGTGTGCGTGTGCGGTGTGTGCGTGTGCGGTGTGTGCGTGTGCGTGTGTCGTCAAGGAGGACGAGTTGGTGGACTGGAAGGAGCGGTACCGGACGACGTACCACTTCCGCAAGGGCATCTTTATGGGCGACCGCAAGAAGAACGAAATCACCATCCGCCTCGACTCTGCATGCCTTGTCGCCGAAGACCCGGCGCTCACGCTCACCGGCGAGGTCCGCACACGCACCACCTAACCGCACACATCACCGCACACCCTGACTGTGCGGTTGTGTGTGTGTGTGTGTGTTTCGCACAGGTGACGCTCATCGTGGCATCGAAGAGCATCACCACGCACGGCATATACATCGAGTTCGAGGCCTACGAACGACGCTTCGCGCCCGATGAGGAGGTTTGCCTTCACCTGCGGCACTTCCTGCGTACCAATTCCAGTCTTACCATTTCCCCTTTGCCACCGCACACGCACACGCACACGCACACGCACACGCACAGAACGAAAAGAAGAAAACGTTATGGACGCTGCACCACTCGGTGACGGACGAGGTGGCCTGGGAGGCGCGAACCAGCCGCAAATTGACCTTCATGCAGGGCACGCACCGCTTCCGCTTCCGCGTGCCATTCCCGCGCTCCACCGCCCCGCCGTCCATCACCAGGTAAGGGAAATCCCATCGTGTGCGCGTGCGTGTGCGGTGATGTGCGCGTGCGATCGTTGTGTGCGTGTGCGATTGTTGTGTGCGTGTGCGGTGGTGCGTGTGCGTGTGGTGACGTCGCTCGGTGTTGTTGTTGCGATGAAGGCACATCCAGTCGATCCAGTACTCGATCGCCTACGGGATGCGGGGCGTGATCGCCTATCCGTGGCCGTTCCTCGACCACTGGAACCCCATCGCGCTCTATCCGCTGATCGTCCTGCCCAGCCCGCACACGCGGCTGGCCCTCATGGTAAAAACTCCCCTCTCTTTCATTGCATTGTGTGCGTGTGCGTGTGCGTGCGTGTGCATGTGTGTGCGTGTGCGTCGTGTCATGTGGTGTCGCCCCCAACTCATCAATCATGACCGTTCCCCAGACCGCGGCCAGAGAGGCGCCATTTGAGGAGACCTTCAGCCGCCTGGGACCGGGCCTGGAGTTCACCATCTCCCTGCCCAAGTCCGGCTTCTTCTTCGGCGAAAAGGTTTCGTGCGTGTCGTGCTGTGTGTGCGGTGCCCGCTGACTTGTGTGAAAAAATCGATCGAGCAGGTGCGAATGACGATCAGCGTGCGCAATGCGATGCCCTGGGACTACGAGCAGATCACGGTGCGGCCGATCGAGCTCATGCGCTGGCGCGGCCAGCCCAAGTGGAACAGCGTCGAGCCCACCAAAGCCGAGCTCGTCGCCCGACACCTGCGGCAGCACCAGCAGCACCAGCAGCGCCAGCTCCGGCGGCTCCTCTCGCCCCGCACCCTCGCCGCCGCCCACCAGCCCGACGCCGCCGACCACGCCGACCCCGACCAGCAGGCCCTCGTCGACGCCCTGCTCCAGTCCTACGTCGACGCCGAGGCCCAGGCCGACGGTGATGATGGCGTCGAGGTGGTGCGACCAGAGCCGAAGCCGGCGGGCGGCCGCAGGAGCAGGTACGCGGGCGAGCAGGTGTTCAGGGTGGCGGTGCGGAAGAACAGCGCGCGGCGGTTCGTGCTCGAGTTCGCGGTGGACGAGGCCCACGTGCACCCGACGCCGTGGTGCCTGCCGCACACGGTCGAGCTCGAGCACCGGTACGCGCTCAAGGTCAAGCTCCGCAAGCAGGGCCTGTGGGCGGCCTCCACCACCGAGAAGGCCATGACCGGTTCCATCGTCTTCGACACCCCGCGTCTCCTCCTCCACCACCAACACCAGACATAGCATGCATCGTGCGTGTCGTGCGCCGTGCGTGCGATGTTCTCTTTGTTCTCTCTTTTTTTCACACAACTAAAAGAACGAAGCGAAAGCGATTTGGGGGGGGGGAGGTGAATGCGTCAGGGTTGGCCGCGGACGAGGTTGGCGATGTTGCCTGAGGTCCAGTAGGCCTGGCGGGTGGCCTTGAGGTCGGAGTCGAACTCGATGGTGTAGATGGAGGTGCTGACCTCCTGGCGAGTCGGGTCGGCTGTGGAGGCGAAGGTCTCGCGCCACTGAGACATCCCGCGCAGGGCGACCGGGTCGCACGAGACCCACTGTTCGGTCGACACGTTCTGCAGCGCCCATTGGCTGTTGGCCATGTTCAGGGCCTCCCAATAGGCCTGGTAGTCGCTGTAGTTGCCCCTCGAGCCGAACTGTGGGTTTGATAGAGAGGCCACAGTTGAACATGAGCATGACAAGATTAATAAATGATGATGCTAACGGAGTAGTTGGTTGTTGATATGTACTGCACTGTAGTCGTTCCAGGTGAAGTTGGGGGCCAGGTAGGTCTGCACTTTGTCCCAGTCGACCTGGTTCACCTGCAGCGGAGCGCCTAGGCCCTCCGTCTCGTAGACCAGAGCGTCGATCTCGTTGCTGAGCCGCCCAAGCTCGGCGCACACGTCGTCCATGCCACCGGCCCCGGCGGCCGTGCTGGGCCTGGGCCTACGCGAGAAGACAGAGCGTCAGCTGCAGAGCTCTCCGCCACCACTCACTCAAGCCAGAACCGACGCAGTCGGTGAAGAGCAACTGCGTACGAGGTCGTCTGGGCCTGGACGAGGCAGACACACACAAGGAGCAGGGACAAGCTGAAGAAGGAGGTGGTCGCAGTCATCTCTGGTCTGGTGATGCTTAAAAGTGTGGATGGAGAGAGCGGGAGGTTGTGCAGCTTTATAAGCCAAGTCCTGAGCACTCGCGGGAGTGTCGCTGGGAGCCCAGAGGCTAGTAGGCCGGCTCTTCTCTGGATCGTCCCTTGCTTCGACCATCTCAAACAGGCCACCACCGCACCTGCTGGTTGGGCACCCAACTGTGCTGGACGAGTCACAACCTCGATCCATGGAAGCGTGGTTGGAGGTCTGGCCATACATTATTCCTCACTTGTTACAGGGCAGGTGGCTGCTTTGCTGGTTGGTCGATGACAATTAAAACGAAAACCGGTTTGGCTGTTTTTTGTTGGCTAAGGAGGCGGGGGGTTGGTGGTGGTGGTGCAAGAGAGGGCTTGGCTCTTCTTGAGGGCCGCATCGAGGCCCTTCTTGCCGTGGTAGACGAAGGTGACCGCCTCGCCCTGGCCCAGGAAGCAGTACGGGTACATGCGCATGTCCGGGTCGTCCCGCAGGACCTCGATTCGCGACCGGGTCGCGATCGGTACGCCGTTCTTGTAGAAGTACAGGAAGGAGGGGCTGGAGGAGGAGCCCTTGGTGGGGGCAGACCCCTGGTGGTCGGCCGCCAGGTTGATGAGGATGCCCAGACTGTCGCCCTTGCGCCAGCGCGGGAACTTCTTCTCCGTAAGGAGCAAGCCGCTGAGCCCACGTACGTATGTCAGCAGTTTAAATATATTTAAATATACATTCACAACATATTCACATATCTAAACATAATAAAAAATCACATTTCTCTTTGTAATATATATTAGCAGATGTAAAAGAATGTGTTGAGGGAGTAGGTACCGAACGTAGACGTTGCCGTCGTTGTACCATCCAATGCCGCGGTCCTTGGCGGTCCAACCGCTCAGGTAGGACCGCGAGGTGTCGATACCGCTGCGATCACAGGACAGGAGCCATGAGCGAACCCACGATCAGGGGGACGGTTGAGCAAACGTCGAGCGAGGCGCGTACTCATTGGCGACACCAAAGGCCTGATAGGTGGCGGCGGGCTCCTCGTCGATGCGCACCTCAAAGTAGTGCATGCCCCGATTGACCCCTGGTCACCATTGCGCACACGAGAAACGGTTGAGTTTCTTCTTCTTCTTCTTCTTCTTCTTCTTCTTCTTCTTCTTCTTCTTCTTCTTCTTCTTCTTCTTCTTCTTCTGTTGGTGTGAACGAGCTTACAGAAGAAGAAGAAGAAGAGAGAGAGAGATGGGGTACCGCGAGAGCCACGCACGGGGCAGTAGGTGGAGAGATGACACTTGGCGGAGAGCCCGTCGTTGCTGAGCCGGATGTTGTGGTGCTTGCCCGCCTCGTCCCAGCCCCACCTGAGCTCATCCAGACAACAAAGAAGCCATGAGCTCGAAATCGTAGCACACGCACACGCACACGCACGACACTCATGCACGTCACATGTTGTGTCTTGTGCGTGACCACAGTGTACCTGTAAACACGCTTGTAGATGTCGATGGTGGGTTCTTCGGTGTTCTGCGCAGTGATGAGGCCAAAGTCCTGCTGCACCAGCTGCTTCCACAGCTTGCCGTCTGTGGCCACTGTTCGCAGCGGCGAGCACACCTGCATACCAAGAATTAAAAAAGAAAAAAGATTCTGGTTAGGATCATTTTATTGTTTATCCACGAAATGATTGCAATTATGCCAGGGATAATTAATAATTACAAAATAAAACTGACATAACAAAATAGCACAATAAAATATAGGCCTGTACTGGCAGACTGTAGAATAATCAATAATCAAGAAAGGGAATATTGGGCACAAAAGATAGCCTTCCATTTACCTGCTGCAGGCGGCATAGGTCGGTGTGAAGTAAATAGCCGAAGATCTCTACGAGGATCTCGGGCGGAAGCCCCAACAGATCGCAAACTGTAGAAATCGAGGCGGCCTTCAGCGCAAGCATCATCTCCTCACTATCCGCTGCAGTAGAAGAGGAGGAGGTCACACACGCCGTAGCGGGCGTTGCCCGGGCAAGAAGCTCAGCCATCCAATCGTGTAAATAAATAAGATCTTGATTTTTGTTTTAACGTTTCTGGCGCATTCTTTGTTTCTGCGGTAGGGTGTGTCGACAATAAACGGCCATTGGTGATGCTGACGTCATCTTCGACTTTCGGTCAGATCAGGGGAGGTGCTGGAGGAGCACGCGGCGCATGTTGCCGCCCATGACGAGGAGGACCTCGTCGGGCGTGAGGCCGGCCTGCAGGAGCCCGTTGGTGATCTGCACCAGCTGCGAGGTGTCGAAGGGCGTCGCCACGGTCCCGTCAAAGTCGCTGCCCAGGCCCACATGCTCCACCCCCACCAGGTCCCTGCACACCGCGTGAGATGGACACCGACACGACACGACACGACACGACACGACACGACACGACACGACACGACACGCACTTGATGTATTTGATGGTGTTGATGATGCCCTCGAGCTCGGTCTCGCCGCAGATGGCCGGGCGGAAGTAGGCCACGCCCAGCACGCCGCCGGAGCGGGCGATTCCCTTGACCTCCTCGTCGCCCAGATTCCTCTGATTGTCGCACACACCACGCACCCCTTCTCTCGCCAGTCCCGCCCGGGTATGGTCAGGTAGTGTGTCGTGTGTCGTGTGTCGTGTGTCGTGTGTCGTGTGTCGTGTGTCGTGTGTCGTGTGTCGTCGTGTGTGTGCGTGTGTGCGTGTGTGTGCGTCGTGAGTGTGTGCGGCATGGTACCGGTGTGTGAGCTGAGGATGGGGCGGGTGGCGATCTTGGCGAGGTCCAGGATGGCGTTTTGCGAGGCGTGGGCGACGTCAACGAAGATCTTCTTCTCCTCCATCCGCGCCACCACCTCACGTCCGAACGGGGTGAGCCCGCCCTTGGCCTTTCCATGGGCACTCCCTGCATCATGACCCATGGTGGGGAGGAAAAAAAATGAGAACGACGGCGTTGTGTCGTGTGCAGTCGAGGTACGCACCAGCGAGGTCGTTGTCGAAGAAGTGCGCAAGGCCCATCATGCGCACGCCAGCATCGAAGAACACGTCCACATTGGTGATGTTTCCGTCCAGCGCGTGCAGCCCTAAAACACACACACACACACACACACACACACACACACGAGACACACACACACACGACACAGCCAGCAGTTGACTGCTGTCAAAGGGCCGGCAGAGATGCGGTGGTGGAGAGTGGGTTACCTTCGATGCCGAGAATGGCGGCCACCTTCCTCCTGTCGGCCTCCCGGGCCTTGATGAAGGCCTCCAGATCGCTGCGGTCCCGCACCACCTGCAGCGTCCCGTTGGAGCGCCTCGCCAGGTCGTGCATGTTGTTGGCCTGAAAGAGCGTCCGGCCGGCATTGCTCCTCAGCGCCTCCCAGCCCCAGCCCTGCCACCACTCAAATCAGCCCGCCATCCAGGCGCGTGTCGTGCGTGCCGTGCGTGCCGTGCCCTGTCGTGTCGAGCTCGAGAGAGTGGGTGCCTGGGCGTACCTCGACGGCGACCTTGGGCGTGAGCTTGTCGATGGCGGGGTGGGTGGGGGCGTAGTTGGACTCGATGCTCTGGCCGTAGGGTACGCTGGTGACGATGGTGAACATCTGCAGCGCCACGTTGCCCTCCTGCAGGCGCGGCAGGTCGACGTGCGCCCACGCGTTGCGCTTGAAGAAGTCGCGCTTGGGCCACAGCAGCGTGTCCGCGTGCATGTCCACCACGAACGCCTTTTTGTGCAAGTCTGCATTTACATTATTTATTTATTTGTTTGTTTGTTTATTATTTATTGTTTATTATTTATTATTGCTGTGATTTGAGATAAATAAAAAAGATAGTGAAAGATCGAGGGTACCGTGAGCGCGAGAGGAGATGGCGGGCGAGTCGACGCGATGGATGGTGTTGAGGCCCACGTCGACCAGCATGGGGCCGAGGGCAACGAAGGTGCCCAGCGCAATGGCAAACGCCAGCGGACCGGCCACAGTGGTCCACCGCAGAGGCGCCCGACGACGCCCGCCCACGAGCGAACGCAGCAGCGGACGAAGCGAGAGCAGGCACCACACGAACGAGATGGCCAACGCCAAGCCCAGCGCTCGCAGCGCCCACTCGAACACGTTGCCGCCCAGGTACTTCTCCATCCTTCACTTAGAAAATTAAAGATAACCCCACTGTCTGCCTGTGTTACTTGAACTAGTTTAGGGCTTGGCGGCCTGAAAAAGTGGCAGACACGTCGCAGACAGCCTAAATATCCCGACGGGCGGCACGGATGGTAGAAGCGGGTGTCAAAAAAAATAAAGGATACCACATAGTAAGGCTCCAACTCTGGGCGCTTGCACACCCTTGTCTGGGCGTAGAAAGACTGTGGAATGCACAATAGATGAGAAGAGCAGGCCAGCAGTATTGGCTAGACATGTACAGGTTCCCACTCAGTATGTGCAGAGATTTCAAGGGCTGGTTGATTGTATAAAACAGCCACCATGCCAATGCATTCTTCTTGCTCCAACAACCACCAGCTCCACATCACCATGGACCACAATACCCCTGCTCCTCAGGCCTTCGCTGAACTCCTGGTGGAGCACAACCTAGACATGAGACAGGTGCTGGGCCACCTGGCAGCAATGGCTGCACCCCAGGCAGTCAACCAAGCCCCCATCAAGACTGAGGCTCTGCCACCACATGGGATCCACCTAGACAAGATTGGTCACTTCAAGGTATGGTTGTCTGTGTGTTGAATAGCTGTGACTTGTAATGGTAATGTGTGTGTATATGTGGTTGTGGGCATTGGGGGGGGGGAATATGGCAGGAGCAAAGTGACCACTTGATCACACGCTCAACAACTACCTTCAAGAAGGGAGTCATACAGCCTGAACTCAAGGGCTTGCCACAAGAGCTTGCCTGTGTTGAGTGGACATGGTCCATCAACGCTAACCTCACCAACTGCATGTTTGCAGACATCCTCATCAATGTGGTGCAAGTGCTAGACAAGTGCAACACAAACTACATGGATGTACACAGGTTCTGCAAGCAGCACTACTTCAACTGAGACCTCAACTCATGCAAGTGTGTGATGCACCAAGCCAACTCCTATATTGCAGAAGTGACCTACATGTACATTGTCGCTGTCTGTTAAGCCAGTTGAAGTGAAGTCTTTACTAACACCCTAGACAGGGTCTTAATGGATCAGTTTTGTGGTGGGGCATCTTTGTGATGTTGCAGTTGTGGGAGCAGGTGACCCCCCCTGTGGAAGCTGAGATGATCTATGTGCCTGTCATTGAGACCTTTGATGCCATGCTGGCAGCAGCATGGCGTGACCTCTACAACCAGAACATTGACATGACCAACTACAGGCACTGCCGCTTCAAGGGGAGGTGGATGTCAAAGGAGAAGGGGCCCATTGCAAAGTGCACTTGGTTGAGCTGTGCACATCACAAGGCTGAGAGTGATGAGGAGGAGGAGGAGGAGGAGGGGGACAACAACGACAGCAATGGTGAGGAAGATGACAATGTGGAAGAGGAAGAAGAAGAGGACCAAAAGAGCTCCAAGACACCCAAGAAGGTACAGACATCAACAATTTGTGTGTGCAATCTAACCTGGAGCTTTGTGTAAGTGTAGTACACAATAGGTAGTGTCAACAACAGCCAAGATCTTGCTTGTTGTGTATGGTACAACAAAAACAAGAAGACCAAGTGGACCTGGCAGGAGGCACAAGACAACCCCAACTTGGTGATGGAATCATGGTGTGGCAACTGGAGCACCACCAGACACTTTGTCACCAAGTGGTGTCTGGACTGGTATGTATTCCATGTCTTGCAAATTGCGCAACACACTCACCAGTGGCATGGAATGTGCAGCAAGCCAAGAATGAGAAGCTTGCAGCAGAGGTGGTGGAGCTGAAGCAGAAGCTAGATGCCAAGGAGCAGCACCACCACCATCACAAGAAGTGCAAGCGCCCCAACACCCTGGCAGTGGCGGCCTATGAGGACCCCTTGATGCAAGAGCCATTGGAGAAGAAGGCCAAAGCAGACAAAACAGTACATGAACACTAAACACATGGTCCAGCAGTGAGCTCATCATTCTAGCCCATGTGAAGGAAGACAAGATCCTAGCCAAGGTACAGCATCCTGCTGTGTCACACACGGCCTCCCCCCCTCAGAGTGACCAGGGGCTAGAGGCTGAAGCTGCCAGGCCTAGTGTATGCAAACTGTTCCTGTTGAGTGTATGTCCAGACACTATGCTAATTTGTCTATACAGATCACAGGCGTGCTCCTTGTGCACAACATGGAGCTGGAGCGCCCAACCAAGTCATGCGACAAGTGCTGTGCTGTGCTAGGCCCAGTGTTCAAGTGCATCACCTGTGCATTGCACGTCCCACTGTGCAACGTTGAAGTCTGCATGTGGTGCATCAGGCACCTGTGGACCAATGCTGACCACAGTGGCCACATCTGGCAGGTGGTGTACCAGCCCACTGATGTGGGTGTTGTGGTGGAAAGCCTCAGGCCTTGGCTCCAGGCATGAGTGCAGAGCCATGTGCCCACCTGCAAAGAGATAGACGCTGGCCTAATGCAGCAACTGGAGGTACATCTAGACATTTTTCTGCTCCAGTCTGGGAATGACTAAGTCTTGTCTGTGCAGGCCATTGGCTCCTGTGTACACAGCAAGGCGCTGGCGCCCACTGAAGAGCAAGGGCAGGAGTACAGTCAGCAAGAGAAGCAACAATCCTCATCAGGAACACCCAGCTTGGAGCCACAGAAATTCAAGGACAAGATTGGGTCGCAGGACAAAGAGAATGAAGGGGAAGGGGAAGAGGAAGAGGAAGAAGAGAACACAAAGCCTGGTACATGCCAGCCTCTCTCCCTCTTTCTCTTGTATCTTAACATGTGTTTGTGTCTTGTTGGCAGAGTCCAGTCACTGCACCATCATTGGCTGTTAAGGTATGCCACCACCCCCAACTCTCAGTCTGCACATGTAGTACATGATGATGCAAGATCACAAGCTCATCAACAACCTGCAGCAAAGACGCCTTTGCGCCCAGCCAGCTCCTCCTCACAGGTGTACCACAGCTAGGCAAAACAGCAAGGACACCACCTCGTGAGGAACCTTGTGATCCTCTTCTCTTATGCAATAAACACACTTTCACCACAGACAACAAGGTGATTGCTTCCTTGTCTAGACAATGCCTGGGCAGGTGGTACTGCAGATCACAGGTGGTTGTTTGAGGCCAACAAGAAAATAAACAAGATGAAGAGCAAGTGGCAGATGGAGCACAGCAACACTGCACCACGCCCTACCCCTATAGCACCACACCCTACCACTGGCATGCACCTGCGGCCACACATGCAACACTATCAGCCCTGTTGGCTTATAGACTACGTGGTCTATACCCCCCCCTCACAAGTCACACCACCTCTCATGCATGAGCCCCCTTCTATCATCATCAATGAGCTGTGCTGTGAGTGAGATGAGCTCCTCCAGAAGTTGGCAGCGCAGAGGCAACTCCTGGAGGAGGCAACATCAACACTGAAGGCAGCAGACAAAGCTGTCATCCACCACATCAGCACCTCCATCCTGATGGCCATAAAGACCACCTACTCCATGGCACCCATGGACATACAGGTTGGCTGCTCTGTGGAGTTCTATGATACCTTCACCCACAGGTGGACCAATTACACCCCTCAACGCCGCCACTCCAACTATGACACCTACCATCTTTGCACCAACATTGACCTGCTCCAGTCCATACTGCCAGGCTGGGAGCTCACCAGATTGACGTTGCTCATTGCTGAGGATGTGCTCACCTACTGCCTTGTTGCTTTGGCCAAGCACCTGATCTACAAATCTACTCAGTGGGCTGTGTGACCATGGGCCTGAGCTTCTTCTACCTTCCCAATCCACTTCCTGTACACTTCATTCCTTGCTACACTAAGGGCACCCCCTTCCACCAGCTCTTGTTCTACCAGGAACACCAGCCAACCACACACAAGCAGAAGGGAAGAGCGCAGAGGAGCCTGACCCTGAGGCCCTCACTGCAACTATACACAGCCCCACTTCACCTTCCCCACATGCCCAAGCTAATGTCTACTCTTCCTCTCCACACAGCACATCTGACTCTGCCAATATGTGAACCACAGCTCTTGTTTATGCATAAACTCATTTCCTGACCCAATTGTCCAGATGTGTCTGACTGGTGGCCACAGTGAACTTAGAGGCCTTGGCCATGGCTGTGGGCCTGGCCTTGGGCCTCTTCCTTGCCAGCTACTTCCCCAGGTGGATAGCACATGCTGGTGCAGTCCTCTTCCAACCAGCTGGCGTTGCTGCAGTCATGTCCTGGCGGTCATAGACTTCATCCTCTTCATCCTCTATGAACAGAATCTTGTTGTCATTGTCAGCAGTGTCAGTCCATGGGTCCACCTCATGGTACCATTCCCCCCCACAGTTGATCCACGCCATTGACATCCTCTCAGCGCCTTCATCCTGGACCACACACAGGTATGTCCAGTCCTGTGGTGGGGCTTGTAGGTTGCTGAGGATGAAGGAGGCCTCCACCAGCATCCAGTGTGGATCCTCAGTTGTCCCCAATTGCAGGAAGGGTGAGAGTGTCTCCCTCTTGTGAGCAAGGGCCTTGTAGTCATGGTCCTCACTCTCAGGATTGTCAATGTTGTCAATGAAAAGCTCAATGAAGACCTTCCATGGTGCAACTGTCCCAAAGGGACATTTGATGCCAAGGTGCTGGAATGCATGGTCACACATGTCCTGCTGCTGGTTGAGGAATGCCAAGAGCTTGCTGACGTAGGTGTCTGTGTGTGGAAGCCTGGTCCCAGGCCTGCAGCACAGCACAGGGTAATTGTATAGCTTGTCCTTCCTGGCTTCCCTTGCCTGTGTGGCCATGGTCACTTGCTCTTGCTGTGGTGGTCCCCCAATGGCCACTGGGCCTAGACATGACTGCCCTTTTGCTTGAATGTAACAGTTTGTCTATGACTTTTCCCCTGGTGCTGCTTCAACCCCTGTGGACTCTGCACTGGCAGATGGAACAAAGTGGTGTCTAGCATTGATACTCCTATTCTCACAATGCAGTGCAACAAGCTTGCTGCCAAGGTTAGCGCCACCACCACTGCCCTCATGCAGATCTGGGGCTTTGATGGACGCCAACACTATGCCCTGGCCCACATGCTTGCCACCTACTTCACCTTCAAGCCAGCAGCCCTTCTCAAGGAAGTCATTGCCCTCAGCCTGACCGTGCCAGACCAGCAGCAGTCTCTTGATCATGTGCTCCTCACCAACCTGCAAGACCTCCTCACCCAACCTCTCCATGGAGCTGCAATCATCAGGGCGTTGGTCTCTCCTTCAGTCAGTACAAACGCCTCATCTTCTACCTTGGGAAGGATCCCCACAACCCTCAAAATCGTCCTCTCCACTTGTCTACTGGTATGTCTTCTACTCCTACTCACTGATGTCTGCTCACTCTTCTCATCTTCAGGTTCACCAGTTCCCCATCTCCTCCCATCAGTGGAGTCTGTTCACTCCTTCTGGCATGACAAGATCACCAAGGTCTGTGGTTTGTGGACATTTGTGTTGAATGGTCATGCTGCAACAGTCTCAAGCCATCCTTCACTGTGCCCGTCACCCTTTGAGTGTGCTCCAACGATCCAATGCTTCAGTTCTTCCTCCAGCAAGGGCCAAGCTCAACAGAATGGTGCTGCATCTACTGCTTTTGGCTGCGCCACTTCCCTGGCTCACAATCCTCCCAGCTGCTTCATGTTGATGTCATGCGCAGACAGGCCACCACACAGGGCCTGGGAGGCTATCCAGATCCCTCTCACACTGAGCCCCTGGTCAAAGGTGTCAAGCCTTACAACATCATGTTCTGTGTTTTACATGCACTCACCCACATTGGCGACCTGGTGGTCAACTGGCTCCACAACTGGACAATGAACCAGCCAGACCACCAAGTCCTTTTGGTCAAGGTAAGCTGACTGTGCCTCACCCCCTCATCCCTCATCCCTCTGCTTGCTCACATTGCCTTTCTCCCTTCCCTCAAAGCTCAACTCTGTCTTGTTTGGCCAATGGGTGCACCTCGCCATCTCTGACATGGCGCCCATGCAAGGCTGGCACCTAAAAGGTTGCCATGCAGCTGCTCTTCTCAAGGTACTTCCTTCTCCCTTTGTCTTGCCCTCACATCTGCACAATTTCAACTTGTCTCAACAGGCCTTCCCCACAATCTGCACTGCAGTTGGGGTTCCACTGGAGGTGGCTGACTGTGTGGAATCAGTCCACCACCTGTTCCACATCATGTACATCTTCAACCCATTCCTCCCTTCTCACAAGGAAGATATGGTGTGGTTCCAGGCGAACATGAGGCAGGTCATGGAGACCTTCACCACCATCATCTGCAGCCACCATCAGCCCAACTATGTGCATGAGATCACTGAGCATGCCACCAACCTTCTCAGTGCTGGGGGGCTCTGCCCCTTCTGCAACGACACACAGGAGACCCTTCAGTGCATGCTGAAGGCCGCCTTCCACAACTGGTCTCCCCACTACAGTGGCACCTCCACCATGGACATGCTTTGGATGGTGTGGGAGCAGTGGTTTATGAGGATGCAGGTCTGTGTCCTTGAAGGCTGTGCATTGATTCCCTTCCTCAACACTGACCTCAAGCGCCAGCTCAGCATTGAGGCCCTCCTCTCTTCCCCCTCTACTGCTGGCGTTGTCTAGCTCTGTCTGATCATGTTCAGATGGTCTCTCTCACACCTCCACCTCATTTCTCTTCTCTTTTCTTTTGTATCAACCACATGTCTTGAACTGCCATCTCTCTTGTCTACCAAGATCTCCCACAAAGCTCTTCCCTCCAAAACGCTGTTGTCTGGAAACCTATGGCATTTCCCCCCCCTTTGCTTTCCCCTTTCGTCTAGCAGCTTCCGTAGAAGACCAAACTAGTTCAAGTAACACAGGCCGACAGTGGGGAACTGTATTTTTTCTTTTGTTATTCATTTTCAATTATCATTTTTCGCTTTTAGGTAATTTGTAGAGCATTTATTTTGCTGGGACAAAAAGAGGGGTGCGCATGGCCACGGGAGCGGACGTCACTTGCTGGACTGGGCGAGGAACCACTCGCGGGCCTTGGTGGTGATGAGAGGCGCCACCTGCTTCCACTCGAGGCCGCTGGCCGCGAGCTCGTCCTTGCCCTCCTTCTCCACGTCGGCGACCACCCACTTGATGAACGCCGCGATGTGCTTCTTCTCCATGCCTCCAACCGACTGCACGCCTGGGGACACGACAAGTAGGACGCGAGTAATCATCAGATCACAGCACCGTGTGCGGCGTGTGTCGTGTTGTGTGTGTCGTGTCGTGTGTGCGCTGACGAGTTAGGGCGAGGTACCCTGCTGAAGGCGAGGCTCGGGCAGCATGAGCTCGACGTACTTGCTGGCGTTCTCGGCCGTCGGGGCCTTCACCTGGGCGGCCTTCTTGGTGCCGACCACTCGGTGCTTCTCGCCCTTGGTCTTGAACACGAACGAGGCGTAGACCTCGCCCGACACGGCCTTCATCTTCAGGCCCTTGGCGCTGGGCTCATCGTCGGTGGCGAGGTCGACGTTGATGGGATACCACACGAGGCCCTCGCCCGGCCCGCGCACGCCAAAGGTGCGCAGCACCCACGGGTCCTCTGAGTCGATGGCGTCGGTGAGCCCGTTGACTGTGTCGAGGCGGCTCTCGACGTGGGCCGTGTCGGCCAGGTTGAACTCCATCGCTTCGGTGTGCCACGGCAGCACATGCATCTCATCGGGCAGCTAGATGACCGAAGCGAAGACGTAAGATGCGAGAAGAGTAGTAAAGTAGAGGAAGAAAGTTGAAGATGAAAGGGTGGGCGGGTGGGTAAATACGGGAACGGTGTTGTTGTGGGTGAGGAAGGCGGTGAGGTCTTCGGGCTCGTAGAGGATGGCATCGTCCATCTGGATGGCGAAGACGGCAAAGATGGGCTTGGCCAGCATGCTCAGGGCCACGCCCTTCTGCACGCGCGCGCCGCACCACTCGCCAAAGACGGAGAGGCGGGTGTAGGACTGGTCGGCGTGGGGGCGGAAGAGATCGGCGAAGTAGGCCCGGTTGTGGTGGACGTACTCGCCCAGCCCGGTGCCCTTGTCCAGGAAGGTGTTACGGCTCTGCGCGCCGACCCTGCCGCCAGCCTCGATCGTCACGCCGCCATTTTGGCCTATGGATGAACAATTAATTACAACAAGAGTAGAAGGAGAATGGAGAAGGTCAGCCACTCGCTCTACCCCGTTGGGGTGTAGATAGACTGGAGATTGTGTAGTGATCGGATTCGAATTGATTCGAGGGTTGCTGCAGGGCCGCGGAGGAGAAGGGCGAGCATGGAAGAGTAACCAGTGGAATAGGAAGAGTCCCCCTTACTCTTCCTATCCCACCGACTTCTCTTAGCTGCCATGGCTTGGGTGTTGTTGGATCTTCTTGACGGCTGGCTCGAGCTTGAAGCTTGCACCTCGTACCTTGCGAACGCTGTATGGAAATTTGGGGGGGGGAGGTGAAGCGTACCGTGGAGCTTGACCTTGCCGCGGTACAGCAGGGGCTTGGTGAAGGCGATGTGGAGGGGCATGATGGGTTGGCCCAGCAGCTTCTCGGCCGCAGCGGACTTCTCCAGGGACGTGAGGACGTTGTGGAGGCCCTTGATCTCCGGCCAGGCCACGAAGGTCACAGATTCGTTGTCGTAGTTCTCCATTCGAAGTAGTAGAGGTAGGGTGGGTTGGGTTGTTGTGTTTTGTTCCAAAAACAAGAAGGGCCATTTATGTGGGCGAAAAGACCGGAATCAGTGAACCCAGAGATGGGCGGAACTCTGTTCACTGCAGTTCTGGAGCTGCACGTTCCTTTGCTTTTCCCGCATGCTTTTGCAATTTGGTAGCACACAAGTGTCAAATTACTGTATGCACAGACACTACCCAATTCTTGGCTGTGTGCAAGGTTGATGAAGTGTTACAGGCAACACTTGCGCACACAGCCATTTTCCATCCAATCGTGCTGTTGGGGTTCATCAATTTTTATTATTATTATTTTGTATTGCTGATAGATGTTGGTTCCCACGACTGGTGGTGCTCGTAGGGTACGAGAAGCAGCCAACCGCAGTACCTTCTGAGATGCCCGTTCAGGACAGCCCAAGCGCGCGCCGCGCCCTTTCGTCTGGGCAAAAGGGAACGGGACGCAAGCGGACGGGTGACCGCTGCGTCCAGATAGAATGCCGTAAATTGTTCGCCGTTTCTGCTCCCCATTTCGCTATTTGTACGCCCTTAGTCCACGCCATCATTGTGGGACACATATCACCGTGCAATAAAATAATTTTAAATTGTATTATTTTTATTTCTTTTGTTGAGTTCTCATCTGTTCCCGAACCATCTTTCGGTGGCAGTTCACCGGTGCGCACTCGCCAGCTGAACGGTTGGCTCGCTGAGTTGTATGGACACCATTCGCTCCATCTTTCGACGACGTGCCAGCCAAGCCTTTGCGCCTTGGAGAAGACAGGTATTATTTTATATTTAATCCTTGTTTTTGTGTGCGATGATGAACTGCATCACTTGGCCTTTTGGGGGAATGCTAAGGTGGTGGCCGCCTATGGACACTGCCAGATGAGTGAAGAAGAAAGCGTGAAACAGCCTGAGGACTGCTGGCTCCTGCAGTTGATGCCAGCCGAGCTGCTTCACGAGATTCTACATGCCCTGCTCGCCGCGGGCGAGAAGGACTGCCAGCGGCAGCTGCGCGACGTAGCGGCATGGTGCCTCACCTGCTCGGCCTTCAACGACGTCTGCGACGACGAGACGCGCTGCCGTCTGCGCTGCCTGGCCGCCTACCCGGGCCTCTTCAGCCTGGCCTTGTCGCCCCTCTTCGGTGCACCCAACACCCACTACGTAGCACCTTCATCTGCCTCATCTACTTCCCTTTCATCTTCCCTCTCTACTTCATCTTCTACGTCATCTTCATCTTTTCCCTCCACAACGACTTCATCCACACAATCCGGTTTGTCATCTTCTACGTCGATGCCATCCTCCTCTCAGAGGAGAGGAGCTGCCGAGGACTACTACGTCGACGGGCTCAGGCCGCCGCGGCTCACCTGGCGCCAGCGCTTCGCCCTGCTGCCCCACCTGCCCCAGCGCATCGCCCTGTGCGCCAGCGAGCGCGAGGCCGCACACGCCGCGCAGGCCGCGCACGCCGTCGTTGGCGGCGGCCTCCTCAAGCGCATCTTCCGCAAAGAGGAGGACTCGTGCTCGGCCGAGCACGACGAAGTCGTCTTCACCGTCGACGCCAAGTCGGGCCGGCACCACACCAACACCACCGGCCTGCACAACAACCTCCTCGCCGACCACCCGTTCTTGTCCACCAACGAGGCCGCGCTTCTGCGAGTCTTCGACGGCGATGGTGGTGCTTGTGGTATCGACGCGGCCAGCGGTGTTGACGGCAGCGACGCCGCCGGTGCCGGTGATGAGGTGGCGAGGCGAAGGCGCGCGCTGTTTGTAGACTCGCTGCTGTACCGGGGCGTGGAGTACTTCGAGATGGTGGTGCTCAACAACCAGGTGAGCTGGAATCGCGCGGTGGCGATCGCCGTCGCGCAGCACTTTGACAGCATGAGCTTCCTCGGGTGGACCAGTACCGCCATCGCCTACCACTCCGACGACGGCACCATCAGAGGCGGCGAAGTACGGCTTTCCTCACCCTCCCACCAGCACCTTGCGTTGCTCGTGCCCTGAGCTCACCGCACACGACACACACGACACACACGACACACACAACACACACAACACACACGACACACACGACACACACGACACACACGACACGCAGGAGAATGAGGTGTACAGATCCAAGATCTTCAGCACGGGTGCGATCGTGGGGTGTGGCATCGACTGGGACGCGGGCGATCTCTTCTTCGTCTGCCTCGGCGCGCCCAACGAACCCGCCGAGGTCCACCTTCATCGGCCGCGACTCGACCGGTTGCCGTGGTACCCTGCCATCGGTACGCCGCTTCTACACGCCTGGCGTGTGTGTCGTGTGTCACATGCGTGTGTGCCGTGTGCGGCTGATGCGAAGGATGTGTGCAGCGTCGATGAGCAGAGGCGACGAGGTGAAGGTCAACTTTGGGCAGGAGCCCTTCGTGTTCGACCTCAAGACGTTCGTGCACAAGAAGCGCGCGGGCGATCTGTCGTCCCTCGTCGTCCACACCGCCCTCCTGTAATTAATACCTCTTTTATTTTGTGTAAACTAAATCCGCCTTTTTTCCAACTTTTGGTGGGGATTTACCCCCCAGTCTCCAACACGCCGCTCGGTTCGAGGCAGGGGATCTACAGCGCGAATTCGTCAGCCGCGCAGTTGTAGCCTTGACTGGCAATGGAAATAGGCGCAAGGGTCTCCGTAGATACGACTACCGCAAGGCGCTCCTGAAGCGCCTGGGCCACGAAGACGACGAAGTCAGCCTGATGGGATGCTGCATAGCGGACTTCAGAACGCATCTGCTTTGTGGTGCCGAGATCGAGCGTTCTTGCACACACGGGAGGTTTTGGGAGAAGAGGTGAGGTGGACCGTGACTACGGCCACGAAGCGTATGCATACTGAGCCCCCCACCACTTTGCCTCACGAGCAGAGGAAACGAGCATGACCAGCAGTGGCACGGCGACGAACTACAGCACCGGGAGTGGTGTGAGGAGGCCACGCCCAATGTTGTGCTACCTACCAACAAAGGCGACGTTACCAAGCTCGTGCATGTCGATGCTCATCCACGGCACGGGCAAGACGGCGCTGGCCGCCGACCTGGCCGACAAGAGCGGCAGCGACTTCACCCAATAATGCTCTTTATGTATTTGAGTGTGAAGAGAGATAAAACAGACAACAAACAGAAAGGTGGAGTTGTGTACACAAACGACAGGTCGGGCGGCTGGCCATCAGCAGCAACACACATGCGAGGCCCCCGAGATCAGACGATGCCGGCGCATTCGGAGGTCAGGAATCGGGTCACGTTCTCGTCGCGCAGCGAGGCAAGGATGTCGTCGGGGCACTGCCAGAGGTTCTTCCTCCTCTCCCGCAGGCTCTCGAAACACGCAAAGAACGGATGGTTGATCGCGTCGTACGCCGTAATCCTGACACACACCGACACGACACGACACGACACGCACCGCACACGCGCAGACCTGTGATGAGTGGCGTGGCACGCACAAGACACAACGACCGAGGGCGGGTCGGTGGTTGCTGCAGTACCGCTGCTCGGGGTCGAAGGTGAGCATTTTGCTGAGCAGGTCGAGAGCCTCCTCCTTGGTGCGCTCGTCCATCACGGCCACGGCGCCGGCGTTGGCGAGATCGAGCGGCTCGTCCCTCCCAGGCGCAGCCACCACGGCGGCCTTGGCCTTGCCCTTGGCCGCCTGGCCCTGGCCCTTGCCCTTGCGCCGCAGCGATCCCGCTGGTGGCTCGTCGTAGTCCTCCTCGGGGAAGAACAGCTGCCGCAGCGATCGGGTGGGCTCGGCCTCGATGGCCGGGTGGGTGTTGAGCAGCGTGAACCGCGAGGGCATGTCGCCCAGCGTGCGCACGCAGTCGGCGTAGGAGAGGATGCTCTTCAGGATCCGGTCCTGGTGGTCCGTGCCCGTTCCCACAAACAGCGGCTTCCTGCACGCCGCAAGTTCGAATGAGACAAAGCGTGTTGTGTGTCGTGTCGTGTCGTGTCGTGTCGTGTCGGTACTTGAAGAGAAGTTGTGCGAGGATGCATCCGCAGCTCCACACGTCGGCGGCCTTCCAGTCCTCCTCCGACAGATTCTTCTGCAGGTGGGGCGCCGTCAGGATGATCTCCGGCGCGCGATAGCCCAGGTACGACGAGGCCGGCAGGATGTCTGCACCCGAAGGCGGACGCGGACCACACAATCAATTATTAGTCACGCCAGCGCGGAGCTGTACCCCCCGGTGGTGGTGTGTGTTTGTGTGTGTGGTTGTGTGTGGTGGTGGTGTGGGGTGGGTGTGTGTGCGTGTGCGTGTGTGTGTGTGTGTGCGTGTCAGGATTACGAACCAAAGGGCTTGTTGCACAGATTGCGCGCCTTGCCGAGCGAGGTGAGCCAGATGCGCCCGTTACCCGCGTGACTGAGCATGATGGAGGTCGGTTGGATATCCCTACCAGCGCGCCGGAGAGTCAGTCAGTCATGGTGATTCCCCCCCCCCGACATAGGAAGAATGTGACAAAATAACAACAACCATGAAGAAAAAAAAACAATAATAGTAATTTGTGCACAAAGTGGGCACCACTGGTGGACTGTACCGGTGCACGATGTGGGCTGAGTGAAGATAGCAAACGGTGAGCAGGAGCTGGTTCATCAGGTGACGAAGCTTGATAGGGAGAAGAAGGATATAAAGAAGGAAGGAGGGTGAGCCAGAGGAAAGTGGTCCACTGGATTGGCACAAACAAGTGATGGCACCCGGGACCTACCTGGGCTGTGTTGAATGGGGTGTTGATGGCGTTGATCGCGTGATCTAGATCATACTCGACGAAGGGAAGCACCATGTAAACATCATTCTTTGTTTCATCCCGCATTATGCCTGGCCAATGACACGACACCAACACACGACACGACAGGACACACGACACGACACGATCAGCAAACCACAGGACGCGCCCATAGACAACGCCGGCCAGGTGTTTGTTGTTACCTTTAAGCTCGAGGATATTGGGGTGAGAGAGACTGTGATGCAGCATGGGCTCTCGGAACACCAGCGTGTTTCCTCCGCTGCTGGGCAGCTTCTTCAACGCTACTACGTCCCCTTGCTTCTTCTCCACGGCTCGCCACACCGGACAGTTCCTGTGCGACCCGCGCCTACAATCGATCTTGTAATCTGCAGGAACGGAGCAGCGAGACTGAGTACGTCTGCGGTGGTGCGCCAGGGTGTGTGTGGTGTGTGTGTGTCGTGTTGTGTGTGTGTGTGTGTGTGTGTGTGTGTGTGTGTGGCAGGGCTGCGCAACGTACCCGTAAACTTATGGACAAGTGGACCGGTCGGTGTGGACGATCCCCAAATCCACGACGACAGACTCCAGCTCGTGGGCATCTGTGCGTAATAGACAAGCCACACGCACACGCACACGCACACACGCGGTGAGGAGTCCAACCAGATGCCGCAGAAGGGTGGGGGGCATAGTTGGTACCGCTATGGGGACCGACGGTATGTAATTCCAAACTGACCATATCTGCTCCTGTGTCTTCCTACTCTCTGTGTGTTGGTTGTTTGTAGGGGGGAAGACCAGTCAGCCAGGCGGCAAAGGTGGTGGTGGGTGGTGGGGCCGAGACTGTATCGCGTGCCTTCTTCCAACATCATGCACTTTCGTCGCAGCTCCTGCATCTCCTCCTTCTCGATGCGCAGCTTTCGTTCGAGCTCGACTCTCCGGCGCTCCATCTCCTCCAGGCGGTGCTTCTCCTCCTCCTCGCGCCGCCGGTTCTCCTCCTCGCGCTCTCGCAGCTTGTGCTGCTCCGCGGCCGTGCGCTTGCGCGTGTCCTCCTCGAGCCGCTTGCGCTCCTGCTCCTCGGCCCGCCGCTTCTCGTCGCGCTCCAGCTCCAGCTGCTGGTGCTGGCGCCTCATCTCCTCGAGCTCGCCCATGCGCTTCCGCTCCTGGTCCTTGAGCCGCGCGAACTCGGCTTCCATGCGCCGGTTCTCGGCTTCGATTCTCTCCTTCTCGGCCTCGAGCCGGGCCTTCTCCTCCTCGGCGCGCCTTCGCTGCGCTTCTTCGAGCCTCACCTGCTCGCTGAGCTCCTCGCGGTGCCGCCTCTCCTCGTCGATTCGCTGTTTGTCCTGTTCGGCGCGGCGCCTCTCGTCCTCGGCGAGCTTGTCGCGGGCCTCTTTGTCCTGCAGGTATCGATCGATGGCCTCCCTGAGCTTGTAGTTGGGCACCACGTCCTGCTTGTAGAAGTTGGTATTGCATACGGGGCAGGTGGTCTCCTCGTCATCCTGCAAGATGCAGGCAGCAGAAGAGGAATGAGATCAAGTTGTGTACAACTTTTTTGAGATTCAATCTCGAAGGTAGACTCGATCGAGCGGTTGTGGTGAGATGATGTACCTTGTGCCAATCAGCAACAGTTGTCTCGCTGAAGGAATGACCACAAGGCGCCATCACAGCATTTTCCTGATGCATTATAACAAAAAATCGATTGATTGAGCTGAGCCAAAAGGAGGACCCAAGAGTTAATGAAGTCTAGACGTTGTACCATTATCTCGTATGTTACGGGATCTTCGAAGATGAATCCCATCGATTCATCCATCGGCTGGCCTTCTGCAGTATCCCAATTCATCTTTTTCTTCTTTACGAGCTTATCGGCAGACCTTGATCTAGATTGCGTTTCGCAGGTGCCTCTCCACGCGGCACGATTTATATAAGCTTGGCGATAGAGATGGGGCGGGGACTTGCGTCTCCTTCCGCCGAATCTACTCACCAGGCCGTCCTCTCAATCTCAAGTTTGAGCGTGGTTGGAAATTTCCCTCCCCGGTTGTGCGAAATTCGCTTTTCTGGTCAGGTCGGCTCTTAGTTGTGGGCGGAACGAGTGCCATTGTGGCTTCGCTGATGCCCGATGCCACTTCGTGACCGTCCCGTTCATACGTACGCCTTCCCGTTATGCACCACAAGCCTGGTGTGCATGATCCTGGAAAGAAACTTAGTGCCGTTGAGAGACATCTTCCTACCAGCTGCTCGTGGCGGAGTGCAGGTGGGGCACTTCCAAGGAAGGCAGGGGAGATACACACGCAAACGGAGGAGTTGTAAACGCAACCATGGTCTGGCGAATGTCCGCTCTGCGCAGCTCTTCATTGAAGGCGAGTGGCCTGTCGCGTCGCGTGGACGCACAGCACACGCAAGGGAGAAAGTAAATGGTGGCACGTTGCTCCGGGCAGCCGTTGCAGTTTTTTCCCACAGGCTGGGCATTTTGCGGCCAACCTGGTGGACGTTTTGAACATTGTCACTGTACGGCCATCCATCATCAATCACTCTGCACACATCTCCCTTCTTGATCTCTTCTCTCAATCAAATCAGCCTCTTCGCTTCCTGTCTCCTCCGAGTCCGTGCCATTTAATAGTATTTTTTTTCAATTTTTATTTATTGTACATCCCCATCCATCCGCATCCTCATCTGGCTTGTAGAGGTACTCCCCACTCCTTCTTGTAACAATGCTTGATTGTCAAAGCGGACCGTGAGGCGCAAAGGAGGCGTTATTGCCACTTCACGAAGGCATCACCCTGGCTAATCGCTCGCTCATCAAACGTAGGCCACAGCGCTTTGCGCAAGCACTCCCGCTCGAGGCACGTTGGGGATGGAGAAGGAAGAAATCCATCAACAGCCGATTCCTCCATTCGCGTGAATCTCAAGACAAATCGATCGATTACCATCAGATTGGAATGTCAGCCACGGGCACGACGGTGAAGAACAAGGGGATGAAACGGAAGGAGCGGGACAGCGATAAGTTCTTTGAATTCATCGAGAGCCCGCCCATCACGAGCCACGCAGCGCCTGGTGCCGAAGAACATGGAGAGGAAAGCGGAGATGGACAAGCACAGGGGGAAGGAAGCAGTCGCGAGCCGCATCCACAACCATCATCCTGCACACGCGAGGGAGGAAACGCCATGATCGAGGCTGCCAGTGCCGGCACGGTTGAATCGTTGGCCGCTATCGTGCGGCCACCATTGATGGAATTGATGGGATCCGAGTCGCTCAAGGATGGCTTGTGCCAGCCCGTTACGCCACTCAATCCTGAGGAGGAGCTGCGGAGCATTCGCACCTTCGTCGGGACGATCGCACACGGCATCGGGCAGCTCCAGCACACGCTGCAGAGATCGCAGACCCAATGGCACTTCAATCACATCGTTGGGCAGCTCTCTCAGCTCTCGCAGGAGCTCACCGGCCAGGTCGAGCAGACCACCTCCCTCTACACTCTTCTGGTTCGCCTCCTCCTCCTCTCTCGATTTCTGATTTGGAAAAAAATCAGCCATTAATCTTGTTCTACTTTTACTGCTTCTCTTTCATTCTCTTCATCAGCAAAATCACAACTGCCTGGATGAGATGAACCGCAAGGGAGCGTCCTACGCCGGCTTCTTCAGGTGCGCACCGCCCTCGCTTTCTTCCGAGTGTTTGTGTGTTCATGATCTCACCACCCGGCCATCTTTTTGCTCGCTACCGCGCAGCGTTCTCCCCGAGGAGTGCACTCTGCAGGTACTCTCGTTCCTCTCCGAGCGCGACCTGGCGAACGTGGCGCTGCTCAACCGACAGTTCAAGCGGTTGGCCGAAGACGACGCCATTTGGCGACTCTTGTCGATGCGGTACCACAACACACAAACACACACACACACACAACACACCGTCGCACACACTGCCGCACACATGCGATTATTGAGTCGTTAACGACTGACACGAGTCACCACCGCTCCGCGCGCAGGCGATGGAAGAAGGCGAGGGACAAGGGAAAGGACAAGGCCAACAAGAGGCGACGGCACGCGTGGCGAGAGTACTTTATCGGTCGTCGGCGCATCGACGCCAACTGGCAGGAGGGGACCTACGCGCTGCGCACCCTCACGGGCCACGACAACCAGCTCTACTGCGTCCAGTTCGACGAGGACAAGATCGTTTCGGGCTCCGAGGACGAGACCATGAAAGGTTCTCTTTCCTTCCTCTGCTGTGCGTGTGCGGTGGTGTCGTGTGTGTCGTGTCGTGTCGTGTGTGTGTGTGTGTGTGTGTGCGGTGGTGCGTGTGCTCACCCCATGGGGTGCGTGCAGTGTGGGACATTGCGTCGGGCAAGTGCTTGAAGACGCTGAAGGGCCACACGTCGGGTGTGTGGTGCTTGCAATTTTGGCACGACCGTTTGCTAAGGTACCTTAAATAGAAATAATTAATACTCGAACAAATAACAAATAAAGAATAAAGAATAACAAATAAAGAATAACCAGAATAAAGCTGTTATTTTTAAAAAAATTATATTGACAATTGTTTTGCTGTGTAGTGGGTCAGAGGATTCCACTATTCGGCTTTGGAATTTGGAGACGGGCAAGTGCGAGCACATCCTGAACGGGCACCGGTACGGCGTGTGGAGCCTCCAGTTCGACGACAGCCTCATGGTCAGCGGAGCCGAAGGTACCACCACCATCACCACCACCACAACAAATAAATAAATAAATATAACAACAAACAAATAAAGAACAATAAATGAATAATAATGCTAATGTAGCGTGTGCCTGACGTTTGTGTGCGCTGCCTCGTCCTCCCCCCACCCCATAGACCAAGCGATCAAACTCTGGGACATGAACACGCTGCAGTGCACGAACACGCTGCTGGGCCACAAGAGCGACATCTGGTGTCTGCAGTTCGACGCCGCCCAGCAAATGATCGTCAGCGGCAGCGGCTACGAAGGTATGTCTAGCCACGAGCCGCTCTCTCTCTCTCCCTCTCTCCCTCTCCCCATTCAAACACGCAGTAGGCTCACTGTGTGTGTCGTGTGTGTCGTGTGTGTTGCGTAGATCGAACGTTGAAGTTGTGGGACATGCGCACGGGCTCCTGCGTGATGACGATGGCGGGCCACCTGGGCGCGGTCAACTCGCTCTGCGTCTTCTACGCCTCGCAGAGCCATCCGCACTGCATCCTCTCCGGCTCCGCCGACCAAACCATCAAAGTGCGCACCCGTTGCCTCTCTCTATGTGCGTGCGTGCGTGCGTGAGAGCCATCACAGAGCTGACCACATTGTGTGTCGTGTCGTGTCGTGTCGTGTGCGGTGGTGCGTGTGTCATGTGTCGTGTGTCGTGTCGTGAACCGCATAATAGGTGTGGGATAGGCGCATGGGACTGTGCGAGGCCACGCTCGAGGGGCATCAAGGCGAGGTCCTGTGCATGAAAATGGCCGACTCCCGAAACCCGCGCATCGTGTCGGGCGGCGGCTCCACTTGTAAAACTATCAAAGGTACGAAAGGCGACGGGGCTTCCCGCCTCCACCTCTGCCGCGTTGCTCACGCCGGTCTCTCTTTCTCTTTCGCTCTCTCGCTCTCTCGCGGGGCGTAGTGTGGAAGGACTGGTACAGCAACCTCAGCAGCGTGACCGCCAAACGGGACCGCATATCGCTCTCCCTCTCTGGCCATGACAATGGCGTGTGGGGCCTCCAGTACGACGAGGTACCCCCATCCCCCCCTCTCCAAAGAACGCGCGTGCGGCGTGTGTCGGTGTGTGCGGTGTGTGCGGTGTGTGCGAAACAAAAAGTTATTAACAACAACCAAACAGGACAAGATCATGTCGGGGTCGGCGGACAAGACCATCAAGATCTGGGACTTTAGTTGCATCGTCGACGAGGAGCAGCACCACCAGGAGCATGTGGAGGGAAGAGGAGGCGAGATGACGATGATGATGGGCAGCGGCGGCGGCGAGAGCGTGGTGGTGGTGCGAGAGGAGGAGGACGAACACGAGCGACGGACGTACGTCATGGAGACCGACGACGACGGGGACGAGGAAGGCGGCAACAACAACGGCGGCGGCGGCGGTCTGACGCAGCGGGTCATCGTGCAAGGCAAGCGCAGACGCGAAGAAGACGACGACGAGAGCGCCTGATAGCGATGCCGACGACGATGGCGATGATGATGATGGTGATGGAGGAGGAGCAGGTCTGTATGGAGTGTGTATTGGACGGATGGATGGCAAATGGAGAGTGTATCTACAGGCGAGAGAAGAGAGGACTGTACAACAAGACGAGGCGAGAGAGGGAGAGATGAAGAGAGGTGACTGCCGTCTCTCTCTCTCACTACTCGAAGGGGAGGGTCTTGCTCCATACGATGAGGTTGATGCGTTCGCCCTCCTCGAGCTTGACCGCCTGGTGGATGTGCGAGCCCAAGTGGATCAGCGCCGTCCCGATCTCGTGGTCCACCTGCCCACATCGTTACGACTTCGACGTTAGGGGTCATTCAAGAAGATGAAGATGAAGAAGATGAAGGTGGAAGAGAGAGTGTGCTATACCCGATGCTCCTGCTCCTCGGCGGCGTAGCGGTGGAGCTGCTTGGGGAGCCGCACGACGGCGCTGTCCTTGCAGCCCTGGAAGAGGAGGTGGCCGCCCTTGAAGCCCTCGCGCCCGAGGCACACGTTGAGGGTGATGTCGGCGTTGTCGACGTGCTTGTCCAGCTTCTTGTCTTGCGTCGGCGAGTAGCGGACCGTGAAGGCGTGATGATAGCGCAATCCAAGACCCTTGCCCTTGCCGACTCCATCTTCGGCTTCTCTGCTCGGCGCTTGAGAGGGCAGCGAGGAGAAGAGGATGTCGGCGATGGGCGAGATGATGCGGGCGCAGATCTCATCCATGAGGGACTTGAATCCGCATGTGTCGAGGATGGCGCCGTAGCGATTCATGCTGTTGGGTCGCGCCATCTCGACGCCGCTTCGCTCGAGATGGTCGAGCTCCTGGATGAGTCGATCGCAGAAGTCTCGCCGCAGGCAGGCAAACTTGAACACGCCGAACAGGGGAGTGTCCATCACGCTCAGGATCGCATCTTGCGTGCCCTCGCGCAGCGCTTCCAGTAACCGGGGCTCGATGAACTCCTCGTGGTACGTGTACAGGTCCGGATGCAGCGGCGTGTAGTGTCTCGGTAGTTGCTGGCTGTCCATCTTTTTATGATCTATTTAGATGAATTAAAAATCAAGATGAAATAAATAAATTGTTTTGTACACCTCAGGTGACGTTCTCTTGGTTGTTCGTCGTCGTCGCTCCTTCTTCTTCTTCGTCTAGTCGTCTTCTTGTGCTGCTTTGCTTGACCGGCCACCTGCTGTTCACTCCACCTTCGCCTCTCTTTCTCTCGTCTTTCCTTCCGCTTCCCCAATCGCTCACGCTCCGCTCTGTCGTTTCGATCAAAAGCCACCATCAACTCGCCGGCGAGTGCGCTCTTTTGTCCGCCTTGGCCAGGGCGTGCGCGATCGTGTTCTTCACGTCGACCTGGAAGCTGAGCCGCACCGTCTTCCACCTTTACGTCACCACCGAGTCAGCGACGCACACGCACCACCGCACACGCACACGCACACGCACACGCACGACAGCGCTAGAGGGGAGGGGAAGAACCATTCGGTGACTTCACGCTGGGTGCGGTCCATGACCTCGGGGTCGGAGAGGTGGTTGAGGAGGGCCGGCAGCTCCTCCGTCCAGTCCTCCTTCACCGCCGGCAGCGGGCAGTCGTCACCAAACGGGATGAACGAGTCGTTATCGTAATCTGATCCAGCACACGCACACGTCAGGTGATGCGTCGTGCATGTGTGCGTGTGCGTGTGCGTCGTATGCGTCGGGTTGCGTACTGGCCCACTTGGTCTTGTCGATGATGGGAATCGAACCGGCCTCGAGCGCTTCGTAGATCCGATGGGTCTCCCGGTTGATGGCGCTCGGTGCGAGGGTGATGGCCGAGTCGAGCATCAACCGACGATCGCGCCAGATGTCGTAGTCCTCCCGCCGCAGCTGCAGACCACCGACGACCGACGACGACGACACCCATGTGAGCCATTTAGGGGGCACATACGGCGCCCTTCGACCATTGTTGTCAGCGTACCTTCATCACAAAGCAGCGGCCGTCCAGCAGAAGGGATCGGTAAAACGCGTCCCTGCAGCGCGCCAGGGCCGGTCCAGATAAGCGGCAGTGTGACACGACACGCACGACACGCACACGCACACGCACACGCATGCACAAGCATTACCTGCGCGAGGAGACGCTGCCGATGAAGGTGCACAAGTGCGATCGTCTGCTGGCCGTGGGCACGATGGAGTTGGAGTGCAACAGCGAGCCGAATCCCGCGCGCGTTCCAAGCGGCATCCACCTAAGCGCCATACAACCGCATACGGTCAGCCCAACGACACACACGACACACACCACCTCATGACACACACGACACACCGGTGCACTACGCTACGACGTACTTGACGTTGGGATAGCGCTGCTTGATGGCGCGCGACCAGTAGGGCCGATACACGAAGTTGGCCTGCGCGTACCAGTCGCGGTCGGCGCACGTCGACTGGGGCAGCACACCACCGCCATTGCCGCCATTGCCATCACCTTCTCGCCTGCCTCGCTTGGCTCGCTCCAGCGTCGCGTCGTCATCGCCTTCAGCTTCAGCTTCGCCGTCGTCGCCGTCGTCGTTGTCTGCGGCCTGGCCGGCGCGGGCCATGGCCATGGCGACGTCGTCGTCGGCGAGGAGGCCGGCAGAGGTGGTGGAGGCGGCGGGCTTGCCCTTGCGCTGGTAGTCGGGGTACTCGTCATCGGAATGGATGACACCGAGGACGGAGATGCCGAGCTGGCGCGCCTGCTGGAGGTAGTTGTGGATGAACTGGTGGTCGCGGCCGACGGGCGAGCAGGCCTTGGTCTGGACGACGATGATGGAGTGATTGCAGAAGAGATTCTTGTAGCGGCCATCGCGCCACAGGTGGATCTTGCGCTCCTCGCGCTCGCGCTCGCCCACCATCGCATCGCCCTTGCGCCGAATGACGGGGCCGCGCAGGTCATCGCCCAGATCGGAAGATGACGATGAAGATCGGCCGCTACTCGATGCAGCAATCTCGGCTTCTCCCTTTTCCAGGATGAGATTGACGCTTCGGCGCGGCTCGACCGCTTCGAACATGACGGACTGTATCCAATCGTGAACGAGGAAGTCGGGCACCACCCTGCTCTCGTCGAGCACGATCACGTTGAGTGCGGAAGCGTCGCCATCTCCATGCGCGCAAAATCGATAGGGATTCGTCTTGTCGAAGGAGATGCCGCCGGCCTCCTGGCCGTAGGAGACGATCTGCACCAGGCTGGCCTTCTCCCGGTGGTAGCCGAAGAGGCCGATGTAGAACATGCCGGCCATCACCAACAAGGGGAAGGTGAAGACGAGGCAGTTCGCCAGTCCCTTCTTTCGCACGGTGTGAACTGCTCGTCGCAGGGCCATCATTGACAGCCACACCATCCGCGCGCACAGCGAAGACGCCATGGCGTATGTTGCAGACAAATGATGAAGAGAGATTGGGCCGATTTAGATTGATCTCGAGTTTAAAAAAGAAATCGGCTCTTTTAATCCCTCACTCCGGAGGAGGTTGACACGTCCGTGTTGTGAAAGATGATGAACGTGAGAAGCGAAAAGAGAGAAGTTGAACACACAAGTCGTGTTTGCATGGATCGCAGGTGTACATCGCAATGGTCGTGAAAGAAGAAAAAGAAGATGATGGAGGGAGAGAGAAGGTCATCGATACTAGAGGAGGCGGACGACCACGGCGCAGATGTCGTCGCCGCTGCCGAGGTAGTAGGAGTGCTCACGAATCCGCACAGCGGCGGTGAGTGCATTCCGCTCCTTCATCGCAATGGCCGCCGACTCCTCGTCCGACAACACGTCCCACACCTTGCCACCGCCACCGCCACCGCCACCAAGGTCAGCTCTCCACGCACGCGCAGGCTCACGCCAAGTTCGTGTGGTGCGTGTGGTGCGAGTGGGTGACGTACTCCGTCGCAGGCGAGGATGAGATAGGCGTGCTTGGCGTCATCTTCGTCGTCGTCCTCGACCACCTTCTTCCTTTCCTTATCGCGCGAAGACTTGAGAGGCGCCGGTGACGCCGCAGCCTGCAGCCAGACGAGCGCGCGCGTTTCGTGAACGTGCATTAGCAACACTGCACCCGCGACGCACACGACGCAGGGCAATCTCTTACCTTGGAAGGGAGTGGAATGGTCATGATGGTGGGTTCCTCCACCACCTGAGGCGACCACGAAAAATCGCCCAACGCGCGCGAGACCGCCAGGCCACCGAATCCGCCGCCTACGGCCGGAGTCGAACCGACGCACGCCCGTCAGCTCAATGAGTGAAGGGGGGGGGAAGCAGCGGCGGCGTACCGGCAAAGAGCTTGCACACGCGGTACTGCTTGGCGTAGTCGCTGTCGACCTTCACGAGCCCGCCCACGGCCCGCACGCGTCGCGACTCTTCCTCCAGGTAGGGCTTGTGGTCGAGCGACACCCGCTGGACCTGGTTGCCGTAGCAAAAGACCGCGCGCGAGTCTCCCGCGCCGGCGACGTAAACCGTGTTGCCCACGATCAGCGACACTGTCCACCACCAACCACCACCAATCAGCCAAGTTTATGATACCAACACACGACACACACGACACGGACGAGGAGAGAATAGAGTGGGGGTGGGGGTGGTGGGGGTACCGATGGCAGTGCAGCCGCACTCCTCGCGCAGATTGCTCTTCTGGAAATAGGTGAGCATGCGCTGGTGCACCTCAGCGAACGACCGGCGAAGCGCGCCCTCGGGGTCGCTGGGACTCAACGCCAATTGCTCTGCACACCACACACACACACACACACACACACACACACACACACCACACACACACAACACAAGCCGAGCCAGCCGGGCAACAACAGCAACGGGTCAGCCCGTACCTCCGCCACAAGGGGGATGGGACAGTGTGGAGCCAGCGGTACCGCTCAGAATGATGTGGAGGTTGTCCGCCGCGAACCGCGACGCGTGCTTGCCGCCGTGACCATCGAATACGGCGAAGTAGTCTTCGTCGTCCCTGCCGGTGAGAGAGCTCCTGACCATCAGCGTATCCTCGTTCTTTCGTCCCAGGCCTACATTGTGCGCGGGCGCGACGAGGCCGACATACAGAAGCGAGCGATTGTCAGCACATCGCTCACAAAACGCAGTGCGTGCGTGAACGTACCGATCATCTTGGCGCAACCGAAAGCGAAGCGCTTGCTCGGGGTTCCCTCTTCGTTGGGGGTGATGTAGAGCGGCCAGTCCTTGGGCAGGCGCGGTCGCTTGGGCACCTTCTTGCTGCCCTGGTCGCCGCCCTTGCCCTTGCCCTCTCCCGAGCCGTCGCCCTTGCCGCCGCCGCCGCTGCCGTTGTTGCCCTTCTTCTCCCCGTCGCCGCCCTTGAACCGCTGCAGGAAGCGGCCGCCCTTGCTCCGCTTTTCGTCCTTGTTCTTTTGCTTCTTGGCCTTCTTTTCCTCCTTCTCCTTCTCCTTCCGCCTTTGTCGGTCGCTCTTCTTGCTGTCCTCTCCGCCGCTCTCGGCCGCTGTCGACGCCGGCGCGGCCGCGCCGCTCTCCGCCGACGCTTTCGGCTCGCCTTCGTTCTTCGACGACGCTTCGTTTTCGCTCTTGTCGGCTTCGGCCTTGTCCTTGTTCTTCTTCCCTCGTCTTGCCGACTCGGGCGTCTCGTTCGACGAAGCCGCAGCGTCGCTCCCCGAGGCAGCGGGAGCGGGGGTCGCTTCATCATCAGCCGCCGCAGGCGTGGCTGTGGCCTTCTCTCCTCCTTCCGGCTGGGCGGCCTCGCCATTTCCATTCTCCTTGTTGGGCTTCTCGCCACTCGCCTCGCCACCGGGGGCCTCGGTGCTCGAGGCCTCGGCCTTGTCCTTCTTTTGGATGTCCGACCCCGCATTGCCATCCGCTCCCTCCGTGCCCGAGGGCAACACCGTGTCTGTGCAGGTTGTGTGTTGTGTGTTGTGTGTTGTGTGTGTGTGTGTTGTGTGTGTGTGTATGTGTGTTGTGTGTGTGTATGTGTGTGTGTGTGTGTGTGTGTGTGTGTGTGACGACAACCGCACCAAGCAGCGAGCGGTAAGCATAGGACGCAGGCGGGCGGGTCAAGCGCGGGAGGAGGAAGAATGGGTGTCTCACCTGGCGAGACGTCGATCTCGATGAGTCGGGGGATGAGCTTGCGCAGGGAGGTCGGCACGTTGGCCAGCTGGGTGCCCCGGAGGTACAGCCGCTCCAGCGAGGCCAGCTCGCCTGTTGAGGTTTAGGATATGGGCAGAAGGGGAGGCGTGTGAGCAAACAGGCGCCGATTGCGCAGTCACACCAGTGCACACACGACACACACGACACGACACACAGATCTGCAACTTACCGAGCGACTCAGGCAGCTTGAGCGGAATGCGATTGTTGCCGAGCGACAGAAGCATCAAGCGCGACAGATTCTTGATTTCTGTCAAATAGGGAATGTGTGGTTTGCCCCAGCCGATCAGCATTGCGCAACAACACGCGCGAAACGAACAAAGTAAAGTGTGAGGGTGAGTGGGTGCGTGAGTGGGAGCGAGAGAGTAGCAACTCACCATCGGGAATTTCGGGAACGGCATTGCCCGAGAAGTGGAGCTCGTGCAGACACCGCAGCTTGAGCAGCTGCGGCGGGAAGGTCTCGAAGCGGTTGTAGCTGAGGATGAGCTGTCGGGAGGAGCTGCCGATCTCGGGCCGCGGCTCGCAGAAGGAGGGCAGGTCCTCGAACGAGTCGGGCAGCACGGAGACGAAGTTTTGGTAGAGGTTGATGTAGGTCAGGAACTCGAGCTTGGCCAGCGACTGCGGGATCTGCTTCAGCTGGTTGGCGCCCAGGTGGATCTCCTGAAGGCTCAGCAGGCCACTGTAGTGATGCATGATATTTGGATGGTGGTCAGTAGCCACGTCACACGTGCTTCTTCGTGGCACAACTACACAACCATGTGCGCACACACAACACGCATGTGTTCTTCGTACCCACACATTCGCTCCAACATCTCAGTGTATCTGAGGCGATTGTTGGTCACGTAGAGGATCTGCCAGAGGAGTTGCATTTGTTAGTTTTTATGGGGAGGAGGTGGGTCACCACGACACACCGCTGGCGAAACCGAAAACCGAACCTTGAGCGGCAGCTGCGCGAGTTCGATGGGGAGGTCCTCCAGCTGGTTGTAGGACAGGTCGATCGTCTCCAGGTGCTTGAGCAGACCCAGCTCCCGCGGGATATGCCGGATTGAGTTGTGTTGCAAGCACAGAACCTGTGATCGATCAGGCCGAGAAGCCGTCAGCTGAGGTTTTTCCAACATTTCCTCCATCAACGTAAATATATATTAAAATTGGAAAATAAAATAATAATAAAATAATAAAGAAAGGCGCACCTTGAGTCCCTTCATGGCCTTGGCGATGGACATGGGGACCTCGGTGAGAAGGTTGTTGGTGATGTGGAGCCTCTGCACCCGCTTCCACTTGACCGGGTCGTCCTGCTCCTCCTCCTGCTGGCTCTCCTGCTGCTTGGCCCGCTCCCGCTCCCGATCGAGCTCGCGCTCGAGGTCGATCTGTCGCCGACGGCTGAACTCGTCGCTTTCCCCTTCCTCCTCCCCTTCCTCTCCGCCCGCCTTTTCCTTCTCCTTTGCCTTTTCCTTCCCCTTTTCCTTTTCGCTCTCCTTCGGCGCAGCGCCATCGGCCGCGGGTTTCTGCTCGCCGGCGCCACCATCAGGCGACGTCACCGTGGTGGCCTCGCCCTTCGTTCGTCGGCCCTTCGCAGGCGACGCTGCCACGTCGTCGGTCGGCTGCTTCTTCTTTTTCTTCCTGCTGCTACCGCCGCCGCCGCTGCTGCCGGTCTCGCTGGGCGCGCCGCCGTTTTCGCTCTTTTGGTCCTTCTTTCTGCTCTTCTTCTTCCACCCGTTCTCCTCGGCGGCGCCGGTGTTGATGTCGGTGGCGGGCAGCGCAGCGGAGGAGTCGAACACGGGCGGGTAGAAGAGGCGGTCGAGTCGGTTGTTGCTCATGTCGACGTTGGCCAGCGAGGGCAGCTTGGCCACCTCAACGGGGATGGTGTCGATTTTGTTGTCGAAGATGAGCAGGCGCAGCAGGTCCTTGAGCTCGCCAAACTCGGGCGGCAGGTAGGTGAGCTGATTCTCGATCAGGTTGATGTCCGTCAGCTGCCGCAGTTTACTGTGTGGCAGACCACGCGCCAAGCGCCCAATGACCGGGACAGGGAGAAATCAGCCAAGCCCTGGGCACGCATGGCCATTGCGCACGGCGACGTGTGTGGTGCCGGCAGGCGCGCGACGAGGTGGAGAGACGAACCCGATTTCTGGCGGCAGCAGCTGGAGCTTGTTGTTACGAAGATTGAGCGAGGTGAGGATGCTGAGCTGCCCGATCTCCTGCGGCAGCGCCGTCAGGAAGTTGCCTGCACAGAGAAGAAGAAGAAGGAGAAGAAGAAGTCCGGGTGAGTCACACGGCACGTCGCCCAAGGCGAGTATAAACATTACGTAAAGCCAAGAAACAAAAAACAAACAGAGACAAAATGCAACAAGAAAGAGAATAAAAACAAATAAGGCAAAAGAGTAGAGAAGTAAAGAGAGGGCACCTTGCAAGTTGAGCTTCTTGAGGGAAGCGATCTTGGGGAGGAGAGACGCGGGCAGGTACTGGATTTTGTTCCATCCCACATCGAGCTCCTTCAATCGCCTGAACTCACCAAGCTAGGAAGAGAGGAGAGGAAGAGGAAGAGAGCAGGATGAGCATGCGCGCTCAAATCAGTGTCTTACGCGGAGGGAGAAGGTACTGTACCGAGTCAGGAAGAGCGCTGAGCATGTTGTAGCTGAGATCGAGAATTTCGAGATTGGTCAATTGGCCAAAATCAGGCGGCAAGGTGGTGAGCCAGTTGGACTGAAGCTCGATCCGCGTAAGCGTGACCATCGACGCGGCCAGCCCGTCGGGAATGCGCGAGATGCTGTTGTAATTGCATGACAACGACGTAATTTTGCCCTTGAGCTGCAGTATCTCGTGGGGGAAGGTCGCGATGCCCTGGTGGTTGAGATCGAGAGTGCCCGTGATCTTGGCCCTCTTAATGCGATCCTCCAATTCGTTCAAGGACAGCGATACCACGGCCCTCCCGCCGACGCTCTCGGTGTTGCCCATTTCCTCTTTCTATCACTCTTCCGGCCGTCCCTTCTTCAACAACAACCACCTCGTCGCTTCTCCCCTCCTCCTTGCTTGGCCGGCCTTCAATCACAACGCGTTGTTGCGCCCCCCCAGGTGTCCAAGTGCCCGCACAGTGTTGAACTGCTGTTCGTTGCAGTGGCACCTCAACTCCCTGACCGTCATTCCGTTTTTTGCAGACATCAAATACTCCGCATGCCTTGGGATGAAAACAATTTATTGTGAATCATCTTACATTTCTAGGAAATGAAAATTGTTTCTTCGAAAACGTGCAAAAGGGACAAAATAAAAGGATCCACAAACACAGCAACCAACACTCATCCCCTACAAAGAACAATCCAAGCCATGTCGTCTCGCAAGACCAGCCCCGCCACCTCGAGCACTCGCGGCCAGAGGGCTCACCCCTACGCCCGGCCTTCCGCTTCTTCGACCACCACGACGGCCAAGCCCACAGTGCAGAGGCAATGCAGCTTCGGCGTGGGCAACACGCTGCGCCGGGTCGCCGATCTCAAGGAGAATCACGACCGAGTGGCCGCCACGGGAGGCCACGGCCGATTGACCCGCACGCAGGCCCTCAAGCTCGAACAGTGGAACACCGTCCAGACCCGAAGCCGCTCGCGACAGCTCGCCACCAACCACTGATTGTCACAACATGATATCTGAAATACAACACACCTTTTGTACATAATGCGTGGCCAGCTTCATCGTGATGAACCGACTTCTATGAGGTGAAGTGCAGGCCACGGCTTCTTGCAGCAGAAGAAACTCCTGGAGTGATGAGGTTATGTGAAATTGAAGGGACAAGGAGGATTTTTCCGGCCACGAAGTAAAGTAGCCGAGGACACGTGAGCGCAAGAGAGGTTCTTTTTTAATAACCACTACTTTCTGCTTCGCGTAGCCGGCAACATCAAACAGAAGCAGAAATGCAGGTCCCCATGAGCGGCGCTTTCGACACGACCGTGAGCAAGGTCGAAATACGGATCTCGTGCAGGTAGGGATCCCTTCCCTCCCCCCCGCAATCACCCGAAATTCTCCCCTTACCCATTTCGCTTATCATCCTGCTCCCATGCAGCTATTTGTTGGCCAATTCTAAATGCAAATAGAATAAAATGCAAGTGATTTTTTTATCAATTCTTTGTTTGCCGCAGGAATTTGATTCGTTTGGATGTCTTGTCCGAATCCGATCCTCTGGTGCGCGTTGAGCAGTTCGACCCCACCACGGGTCGCTGGAGCGAAGTCGGCCGCACCGAGTGGCAGCAGTACGCACTCTTCTACGCGCCCCACCACTCTCTCTCTCTCTCTCTTCTTCTTCTTCTACTTCTTCTCCTTCTTCTACTTCTCGCTCTTCGGTGGCTCCTCTGCTCACAAACCACTGGCTTCCTCCAGGAACCAAAAGAACCCCAACTTCGCACGCTGCGTCCCGATGGACTACTGGTTCGAGAAGGCACGTGCACTTCTGCAATGCCGCGAAGCCTGGCGGCGGTCATTGTCTCACTCACTCACATCACTGCCGTGCGCGCTACTTCGCCAATGAGAACAGGTCCAAAAGCTGCGCTTCCAGGTGTTCGACATCGACAGGCCCGATTCGAGCTTGAACTCGAGCCAAGATTTCATCGGCGAGGCCGTCGTCAACCTGGGCGACATCCTCGGTAACAAGGGCGGCACCCTCTCCCGCGATCTCCAGTACGTGGCGCTACCCCATCAGTCCCTCCATCGTCTATTGTCTCCTCCTTCTGATCTCTGGACTTCTTCTTCTTCCTTTTCTTCTTCACCCACCATCATCAGGAACCCGCACCACACTTCGCGTAAGAACGGCATCATCATCATTCGCGCCGAGGAGGTGAACGCCGATGCCCAGAACTCTATCGTCACGTACGCTACGCCGCCCTCGAGTGCTGTGTCGCCCGTGTGCGGTCGATTGACTGACCTATATATATATATGGCGGTGTGCAGTTTCCGCTTCAGCGGCTCGCACCTGGACAAGAAGGACTTCTTCGGCAAGTCGGATCCGTACGGACCACCGTCAATCTGAAGAAAAAGCTGCTTCGTCCACACAGAACAATTAACCGTCGTGGCAGGTACCTCGAGATCTACCGCAACAACCCCGCCGACAGCCAGTGGGTGCTTGTCCACAAGACCGAGGTCATCAAGAAGACGCTTGGTACGCTGCCCTCGGCTTCGCGCAGCTCTTGTGGCGGTCGGGGTCAGTTCGATTACTAACCCGCCGCGGCCGCTTGCGTGGCCACCGCAATGATGGGCAGATCCCACCTGGCGGCCATTCGAAATCGATGCATCGAAGCTGTGCCAGGGCGACTTCAACAGGATGCTCATGTTCAAGGTGTGGGATTGGGATTCTGATGGTGGCCACGACCTCATCGGTAACGCAACGGTACGGCCAAGCGTTCTCTTTGTGTTTGTGTGTGTGTGTGTGTGTGTGTGTGTGTGTGCTTGTGTTGAGTATTGGCGTGTGACGTGTGGAGGGGCTAACAAAATGGCATGTCACACTCCACAGACGACGCTGAACGAGATGATCAAGGGCAAGAGGCAGTTCGCCCTGATCGAACCCGACCTCATGCGCAAGAAGCGCGGCTACAAGGACTCGGGCATACTCAACGTGCACCAGGTCGACGTCCGTCGGGTTCACTCGTACGTGTGGCGCTCAGTGATGACTCCATTTGACCCGGGCCTAAGTCCAGACTTCTTCGCATCTCCACAGATTCCTCGAATACATCGCCGGTGGGTGCCAGCTGCGTCTGGCGCTCGCCATCGACTTCACGGCCTCCAACGGCAACCCGCAGGACTCCAAGTCGCTCCACTACCGCAACCCATCGGGCGAGCCCAACGAGTACCTGAAGGCCATGATGGCCGTCGGCGACATCGTTGCCTCCTACGACCAGACGAAGCAATTCCCTGTACAGTGACCACCGATGCCATCTCTGTGTGACGTGCCCACAGCCCGCTGACGCCCCCCCTTCGCTTTTCGCTGTCTAGACGTACGGCTTCGGTGCCAAGATCCCGCCGGCCAACGAAGTCTCGCATTGCTTCCACGTCAACATGAACCCCAGCAACGTATGTCTTCCCCCTTCTTCTGCGCCTCAATGTCGAGCCGACCAGTTGATGTGGTGGTGGTTGTTGTTGAGCACTCACCACCTCAACGCTGATGATGTGTGAACTGCTACCAGCCCGAGTGCATCGGCATCGAGAACGTGATTGGCGCCTACCAGCACGCGCTCAGCTATGTCAAGCTGTCTGGCCCGACCAACTTCGGTCCCGTACGGTCTCCCGTCTCACACCTCACGCCGGTGTGTCACACCACAGTGCACTCACCGTGCGCGTGTTTGATCGGTCTGGTCACAGATCATCAAGCAAGTCGCCACCATCGCCCGCTCGACGCCCCTCCAGCAGCAGGTCTACTGGATCCTCCTCATGATCACCGACGGTGTCATTTCCGACATGGAGCGCACCATTTCCGAGATCGTCGACGCCTCCGATCTTCCCTTCTCCATAAGTACCTCTTCGCCTCAGCCATTCGTTATTATTTATTTATTTATTTCCTGATTATTGGATCTAAATGGCCATTTTCTCTTTTTATTAATATTATTATTATTGATGTTATTGATGGTGTCGCTGACTTTTTGACCGTTTTGACCAGTCATCGTCGGTGTGGGCGATGCCGATTTCAAGGACATGGACAACCTCGACTCGGATGACCGGCTGCTCCGCACCCGAACGGGTAAGACCGCCACGAGGGACATCGTCCAGTTCGTGCCCTTCCGCGACTACAAGCGCAAGCACTACTCGGAGCTCGCTCGGGTCACCCTCGCCGGTACTGCCCCCCCCCCACCCACCCACCCAATCCCTCTCGCCCCCACCGCCCTCGTCTGAGTCGCTGTTGCCCGTCGCACTCACACACTTGTCGCTGCCCACAGAGCTGCCCAAGCAGCTGACCGACTACTACAAGGCGCACAACATCGCGCCCAACCCTCGCCCCGACGTTCCCATGACCCAGGCACGCCCAGCAGCCTGCTTTGTGTGTGTGTGTGGTGTGTGTGTGTGTTGTGTCCATGTTGCCTAACGGGCGTC